ACCTGCTTGTTGTCGTTGAGAATGACGATCATGTTGGAGTCGAGGTAGCCGGCATTGTTCATGGCTTCGTACACCATGCCCGCCGTCATGGCACCGTCGCCGATCACTGCGATGACGTTGTTCTTCCTCCCCTTGAGGTCGCGCCCCACAGCCATGCCTGGGGGAGACGAGGGAGCAGGGGGAGGAGGCGGGGGAAAAGAGGGGGGGGGGGGGGGGGGGGGGGGGGGGGGCAGGGAGGGATGGGAGGAGTGGGGGGAATGGGGGAGGGGAGGGGACGTATAAATGACAAGTGAGCATATGCCATGGCACACGGTGCTCAGTCACCGGCTGTACGACCTCTTGGCCTTCAGCAATGCCAGGCAGTGGACAAGGAAAAAGGGGAAGAGGAGGAAAGGAGTAGAGGGAGAGTGGGTGGGGTGGACTGTAATTACACCTACTGCAATGCAATCGGCGTAAATCCTGGGATGGCTTGTCTTTTTCTCGGTGGTGCCATTCATGGCGTCATGAATTTTAGGGAGAGGGGCTTAGGTTACGGAGAGTGTCCGGATGGAATAGAGGATTGAGGAGCGATGGATGGGTGGAATTCCGAGAGGTCAGAGTCAGAGTTGAATTGAATTGAAGGGGCGAGAGGACTGGGAGAACGGGGATGGGAGGCTCAGGGTGAAGGGTGAGAGAGACGGCCCCCCGTGATTACCATCTCCGAATGTTGCTCCTGCTGTGCTTGATTGGGGTTCGTGGGTTCAAAGAGTGCAGACATCATAGTCAACTGGGAGGATAGTCATACCGTACGGAACACGGAATCACAGGGCAGGAGAGCTACCCACCCATCCCAGTCACTCCCAGTTACGCCCAACCATCTTACCAAACCCAGCACTCGCCCACCCCAGCCACCCACCAAGCCACTCGCCCCCAGCCGCGCCCAGTTACGCCCAGCCACCCACCAACCCCGTCCACTAAACCACTTCCCCATCCCAGCCACTCACCAAGCCCGGCGGAGATACTCGTGGAGCTGTGCCCGGCGCCGAACGCATCATACTCGCTCTCCGCGCGCTTGGTGAATCCGGACAGCCCGCCCGTCTGTCGCAGCGTGTGCATGCGGCTGCGGCGCCCCGTGAGGATCTTGTGCGGGTACGCCTGGTGGCCCACGTCCCAAATGATGCGGTCCTCGGGCGTGTTGAACACGTGGTGCAGGGCAACGGTCAGCTCCACCACGCCGAGTGAGGATCCCAGATGCCCGCCCGTCTTCGACACTGTGAAGATCGTCTCCGCTCGCACCTCCTCCGACAGCTGCTTCAGCTCCTGCTCGGGGGAAGTGGCCGGGGAAGGGGCGGAAGGGGAATGGGACGGGAGAACGCACAGGGCAAACGGGCAGGAGGGATGGGACAGTTAGTTCGGGATTATGTGAGACGACCCTAGTTTCCTGCCCTACTCGGCGCTGACATTCTGCTCTTGGGAAGGGCCGGCGAAAAGGATCCGGGAAGGGATTGGAAGGAGAGGACGAACAAAGATGGCGACACAGACGAGATGGATGGAAAGGGACACACTGTACCAGTGAGGGGCCAGCGACATGGTTTAACGTCTCGAGACTACCGCTTTCAGGATTCGTTTTGCAGGTTATGAAGAAAAGACACCTGAAACCTAAACTTCCAGAGAATTTTGTCCGGCTGTCGATGTACCAGCAGAAACTCGATATGGGAATAGCTTTCCCTAGAGCCTGAAAGTCTGAGCCCCCCCTTCTCTGTATACCCCATCAATTATTGTCGCATTTCCGTCATCGCTCATACTTCTACGAGACCTGCCATTGGACCTTGAACGAGACAAAAAGACGCAACTTTTTTCATATACCCAGTAGAACACGTACCCTGATGCTGAGATTCTTCATGTGAATCGGGTAGTTGACAGTATCGAGGATAGGCGTGGGAGGCTTCTCGGTGAAGTACTCGCCCTTCTCGCTGAGGGTCGCCACAGGACCCTGGTGTTAAGTACACGATTAAAAGGAGGAAAAAACACAGAAATGCATCAGCCATCGCACAAGAAGGTACGAGAGGATAACTTGAAATTACAGTGGCTGGCTACCAGGGGATGCAACGTTAGGGAATCGAAACGAAGGATAGTACTGTGCCCAAATAATCTGGCACGAAATGGATGCAGAAGCTAAGAGCTTACATTGTTGGAGCTTCTGCGCTGGACGTTCCGTCCTCTCTTCGCGACGCTCTTCCTATCCGTGAGATTCACGTTCTGGCGAAGGCCGCAGAAGCTGTCGACCTTGAGAACGGAGTGCGAGGAGGAAGCCAGCACGGGCTCCTGGTTGAGACCAGCCGCGAGCACGGCGTTAGCGCCGGAGCGAGAAGCCAGGGACGCAGCCATGGTCGGTCAATAATAATATAAGACCGGGTGGTGGCTTAGCTCGCGCTGGGCTTGGCGTGTGATCCAACGAGCGGCCTTGGCGGTAGCGAATATTAAATTGACTGACGAAGAAACCAACGAACCAACCCTTCAGACTTCAAAGCTTGCCGCGGGAAACTCGAGGGAGGGCTGCCGTTTTGGATATGTAGGGCGAGAGTGAACCACCGATTGGGGTGCGATCGGACGGCGGGTGGCGTGTCGAGCAGAACACCGGAACGAAGGCTTGTGTTCACTCGGACTTGAGTTGAGTGGTGCGTAGAGGTGAAAGTGTGAACATGAAGTTGTCAGGGACACGGGAGATGAGGTCGGGCAGCCTCGATTTCGTGTGTCTGCGTGGCGTTCCCTGCGTTCTCAGGGCGTCACTTTGTTTGCCCGGCTGACCGATCTCGAAGTAATGGTCAGTTCCCCTGGGGGTGGCAGCGTCGATTCCCAATTGAAAATGAACTGGTTTGGAGAACCTTGGACGTAAACCGGAGGGTTGTGGAAACTCTGGAAATTTCCCTTGCCCTGCGGGATACCGCGGGTGGAGTCTCCAACCAGTTAGGCGGAACGAAAAGCTGCTATCCTCCACGGTCTGAGCGAGACGAAAGTTGGATGCTGATGTGGCAAACGCTTTTGGAGCCACATCATCCCAAACGTATCGGGTTCCGCCTGTCGTGTTCATGTACCACTATGGGATCGTGGATGCGTCCAATGAAAGCCGAGGAGGCTCCGCTGGCTTATCCTGCACTTTTGAGGTCGGCGCTCGCTTTTGTAATCCTTCCTTCTTGGCACACCTTAGCAACTCATTCTCAAACGAGTGATTTTAAAATACACTGCTGTGGTGCGATACTTATTATAGCTGAATTTCCTCTAGCCACAACAAAGGATGAATCGATTTCGACATCACGACTTCCATCATGTCAACTTCAAACGAGGATGTTTTGACATGACACTTCCCCTCCACCCATTTCTGACAGCGATAGATTCAACGCTTGTCACAAACCACACCGCCATTTCCAAAGCACAGCACTTGCATCGCGTGGCGAGTCGCGACGCAGTACCAGACGTCAATGACGAAGGTCGGTAAGACTGAGGTGACGTCCGTCCGTACCGGTCTGCTGTCCACACTCCCACCCATGGAGCTCCGAATCGGTATAAACGTCTTCATGCAAGTACCACCTTCTCGATCAACTCCTGCCGAATTTGGCAGCTTCTACCAGATTCCTCGCCGCCGAACTTCTTAATTCTCGTCAGTCGCCAGTCGTCTACCTTGATCTCTCAACGATGGAGCGGCCGGCGTTCTCGCTGCTCGTGGTCCTCTCGTGTGCGTCGCTCCTATGGATCCTCGGCAACGCGCAGATTGCCGCTGCTGCGGCGATGCCTCCCGTTAGATGCACGAATGGATCCACTATCGGCATGTGCACGATTAATAACGCGTACGGCGTCAACATGGATGGGAGGCCCTGCCAGTAAGTAGAGCCGGTTTCATCCTAATATTTTGTAGGTGTTTTCATTTATTCATTCGTTTGCAGACGGTTTTCGTGAACTCCTGTCATATCACCTCGTTTCATTATCGCTTCCTCACTTCCTTTCATCCCTCTAATCTCCTTACTCTTCAGGCTTGGCAGGGTGTTTTACCCGCGGACCGAGGACGAGTTGATCAGTGCTGTCGCCTACGCAAGCCAGAACAACCTTCAGGTCCGCCTCTCCCATCCACCCACCCTACAAGCTGCCAATTGGCTTCATACAATAGTCATGAAATATAGCTTTACTCCATTTACTATGTTCTGAAAATAATATTTTGATTGATTTCATTACTTTCCTCGTGTTACAGGTGAAGGTGGCGAGTGCAACGGTGCACACCATACCCAAGTGGTTCTGCCCTGGCGGTAACAGCGGGGTTTCCATTATCACGCGTGACTATAATGGGATCTCCATTGACAGGGAGGCCATGACGGCCACTGTGGATGCAGGAGTCATGGTGAGTCGGTGCATGCATGGTATGTGATGTGTGGTGTTGCATGGTATGGCATGGCATGGTATCGTGGGGATCTCCATTGACAGGGATGCCATGACGGCCACTGTGGATGCAGGAGTCATGGTGCATGGCATGGCATGGCATGGCATGGCATGGTCGGAATGTCGTTTTTGCTCTTCCACTTTTCACATGTTGTCTCCTGCTTCACAAATCACATCGCATCTCCATTGGTTTCCGCTCCATCACTCAACCATCATCTCCCGTGTCCCCTTCTCCCTCTACCTTTTCGTCCCCTCTATTGACTTCCCCGTTACTATCCCCAGCTGGATGATTTCTTCGCATACCTGGCGGATCACAACCTCACCTTCCCCACCGCCCCCTACTGGGCAGGTAAGCTCAGAATAATACTCATGCTAGTGACAGGGATTCAATTGATCTCTTGGTTATGCACTTGCTGTTCAGATTTTTTCTTATCCGTGTGTATGATTGATCAGTACACTGTACTGTACTGTACATCTCAACTCTTACGCGTAATCTCACTCACTCCTCTTTTCCTGTTCTATTGGATTCATCAGGTGCCTCTGTGATCGGCGCCATAGGCACCGGTTCCCACGGCAGCACTTTGCAGTTCAAGGGTGGGCGCATGGGAGAATACGTGAGGGGGGTGCGGGTGGTGGTGGCAGCAGATGAGGCGAGTGGGTGGGTGGGGGTGAGGGAGGTGAGCAGAGGAGACGAGCTGCTGGCTGCTCGCCTGCACCTGGGGCTGCTCGGAGCCATTTCCAAGATGACCCTCGAGGTCTACCCCATGTGGAAACGCGAAGTCACCTATTACAACACCAGGTGAAGCTCCTTCTATCCCGTTCCATCATCACCCGTTTACCTGTACCACCACACCACATGAGAATTTCCAATGTCTGGGGTTTCTTAACTCTCCTCCTCCGCCCCGCCTCGCTCCCTTCCCCTCCTGCCCCACCTTCCCCTTCCTCCTTCACCATCACCTCACCCAATGTTTCCCGCCCCATCCATGTCCTTTCCTCTCGTCAACCTCGTTACTTACTACCTGCCTGGTTACACTCCCACCCTTACGCATCTCTGGATCTATTCTGTGGGCCCCTCTCTGCCCTACCCTCCCCTGACTGCCCCGCTCTCCCCTCACTTCCCCGCTCTCCCGTCACTTCCCCGCTCTCCCCTGACTGCCCCGCTCTCCCCTCACTTCCCCGCTCTCCCGTCACTTCCCCGCTCTCCCCTCACTGCCCCGCTCTCCCCTCACTGCCCCGCTCTCCCCTCACTGCCCCGCTCTCCCCTCACTGCCCCGCTCTCCCCTCACTTCTCCACCCATTCTCATTCCACAGCGATGCAAATCTGGAGAACGAGATTCTCTCATTCGCGCGCAATACAACCTTCCCGGATCTCAACTGGTATCCCGCCGCACAGAGGTGAGTCCTTCTGGTGGTCCCTCTGCTGTACCCTTACTGCCCCTCACTATTTTTGAGGCGCCTAAAATGTCACGCAATACAGCCTTCCCGGATCTCAACTGGTATCCGGCCGCCAAATGGTGAGTCCTGCCCCTCACGCCTCACTGCTCCCTCACACGCCTCTTCTCCCTCACACACCTCTTCTCCCTCACACGCCTCTTCTCCCTCACACGCCTCTTCTCCCTCACACGCCTCTTCTCCCTCACACACCTCTTCTCCCTCACACACCTCTTCTCCCTCAACACGCCACGAATCTTTCTCAATCACATCCCTCTCTTGCCTCTCAGTGTCTTACGCTCCTGGTTTCTACACCCCCCTTTATCCAGTCCTCCCCATCCACTCTTCCGCCTGGTCCCACGTCAGTGTGTTTTGTTGGCGGAGGGACAACATGGTGCCTGTCTCCCGCCCCGGTACCGGCTCCTATGCCCTGCCCCTGCCCCTGCCATTGTGTTATAGTCCCCACATACTCACCCGTCTGACCTCACATGCTATCCCTTGTCACCAGTGTGTTCTGGCGGAGGGACAACATGGTGCCTGTCTCCCGCCCCGGCACCGGCTCCTACGCCCTGCCCATCTTCCGAGGCCAGTTCGACTACATCTGGACCGCCCTCGCTGCCCTCGGTGCGTATGGCCTCTCAATCTCTCGGTTGCGTCTCAACTCACAGGGGGTTAGGGGCCCTCAGGCTCCTACGCCCTGCCCATCTTTCGAGGCCAGTTTGACTACATCTGGACAGCGCTCGCTGCCCTCAGTATGAACCCTCTGCCATTTGCCTGCTGGCTCATAGTGGGTTCGGGTTAAGGCACTGGCTCTTTCCTCTTGCACCGGCTCCTACGCCCTGCCCATCTTTCGAGGCCAGTTTGACTACATCTGGACAGCGCTCGCTGCCCTCGGTATGAACCCTCTGCCCTTTGCCTGCTGGCTCATAGTGGGTTCGGGTTAAGGCACTGGCTCTTTCCTCTTGCACCGGCTCCTACGCCCTGCCCATCTTTCGAGGCCAGTTTGACTACATCTGGACCGGCGCTCGCTGCCCTCGGTGCGTGCTTCCTTATCAACCAGGGATTGCAGGTGCCCGCAAGCATACAAGCTCTATTGCGTTTTCTGCACTCTCGATCTTCCAGCCCCAGTTGCATCGACTAACCACCCCAACCATCCTCCACACTCACTCGCATTGTCCTGACTTTCGTTTCGTTTTCCTTTCGTTCCTCCCTTTCCTCCTGTCCCTCCCGGCCATCTCTGCCGTCCTCTCCCGATTTCCTTCCCTTGTCTGTCAACTCGTGTTTTGCTCAACCAAAAACCCCCAATTTCAGACCATCGCACACAGACCTCAACCAACGAGCAGGACATTTGCAACCTGTGGCAGACCGTGCAGGTGCGTTCTGAGTACACTGCATGCAGGTGTGCAGGTGTGCTTAGAAACGCTTCGAATTTTGTACCAAGTGGTAGTGCACGCACGCTACGCATCTCCAAGTCCCTCCGGAACGTTTTCACTTTGTCTTGATTATGCCCACCGTAACCCTGACTTCAGAGCCCGAAAGCCCAACTCTTTCTTTTCCTATTCACCGACCTATGGGCTACCACCCCACATTTACTTGCACTCTTCCCAACATCAAAATATTCACATTCACGTGCGACTTTGTGCTCACTCCAATGCTCCCATCCGTACCCCACCATCAGGTGCCCGTTCTCCTGAATTTGGGGGGAGGTTTCACCAACGATGGCACCCTCTTTAGAGGCTTCCCCGTTGGTAAGCCTGCTGACTCTCTTTAGTTCGCCCTTTGTAAGCACTATGTCTTGTTAGCTAGAGGGTAGCGTCACCCCTCCCACCCCCCCGTCACCCTCTTTTCCCCTCTCCCCTTCACCCACACACTCTCCCAGTGGGGACGCGGGTACCTTCCAGAGTCACCCCCCTTTCTCTCATAACCCCGTCCCTCCTCTCGCCTTCTCTCACCTTCTCTCACACATCCTCCCAGTGGGCTACCACAACCGCTTCCAGACGTCATCTGGCTGTGAGGACGCGGGGCGCACTCCCCTGGGCCGCCAGGTGTGCCCGTGGGACCCGCGGATCAACGGCATTCGATTCTACGAGACCACATTCCTCATCCCGCTCACCAAGCTCAAAGGTGAGACTTATAATGCTCATGTCATGTCACGGTGCAGTGTGGACCTTGTGCCCCTGGGACCCGCAGATCAACGGCATTCGATTCTACGAGACCACATTCCTCATCCCGCTCACCAAGCTCAAAGGTGAGACTCATAATGCTCATGTCATGTCACGGTGCAGTGTGCACCTTGTGCCCCTGGGACCCGCAGATCAACGGCATTCGATTCTACGAGACCACATTCCTCATCCCGCTCACCAAGCTCAAAGGTGGGGAGAAGAGCACGTTCCTTTTGTGAATTCTCCGAACTCAAAGGTGGGGCCAGGAGCATGAGACTCGTTTGAGCGATTCAAATGTCGGACCTGTTGATCTGTTGAACCCGCCTTCCATCTCCCTCTCACTTGCATCCTCTTCCCTCCTCCGCCCCTCAGTTCTGCCCCCTCTTGTATTTTGAGTGGTTGGAACACCTTTCTTTTCCTCTTACGTTGTGTCATCTTCTTTTCCTCTTCCCCTCGCTCCCTTTCTCCACCCCTTGTACCTGTCTGTACCCTTTACGTACTTCATCCTTACAATCAAGCAGCTGGCGTCAGCGCGTCGTCTCGGCTTCTGCGGCCTAGAAAACTACAGAGAAAGCCTCCTCATTACTTCTCATTCCCCTTCCCCTTTGTACCCCTTACAGAGTTCATCCTTACCATCAAGGAGCTTGCAGTAGCCCGTCGTCTCGGCTTCTGCGGGCTGGCAAACTACGGAGGGATCTTCTTCCGCTTCATTAAGGGATCCGACACTCTACTGTCGACAACAGAGGACTCTGTGATGGTCGATATCCAGTACTACCGCAGCGATGACCCGTCCCTGCCACGCACCAGCCAGGTACGCTCCCTCCTTCTAGCCTTTGATATGCTTAAATAATGAATCATCCGGGTTCCGACACGCTGCTGTCGACAACAGAGGACTCTGTGATGGTTGATATTCAGTACTGTCGCAGTGACGACCCGTCCCAGCCCCGCACCAGCCACGTACGTTTTCCTAAGTGCATCAAAGTCTGGAGGTTCATTCAAGGCTGCAACACTCGGCCTGGCAAGCTACGGAGGGATCTTCTTCCGCTTCATCCGGGGTTCTGCACTCTGTTGAGCACAACAGAGGACTCTGTGATGGTTGATATTCAGTACTACCGCAGTGATGACCCGTCCCAGCCACGGACTAGCCAGGTATACTTCCTCCCTCTAGCCTAGGGTATGCCGTACAAAGCTTCATCAAGGTTCATCAGGGGTTCCGACACGCTTCTGTCGACCACACAGGACTCTGTGATGGTTGATATTCAGTACTACCGCAGCAATGACCCGTCCCAGCCACGCACCAGCCAGGTAAGGCGTTTATGGCCAGGGTGTTTCGTATGCACGAAGGGGCCTCGCCTCTGCTTGGGTGCACAGAGGACTCTGTCCTAAGTTGACATTCAGTTCTTCCGCAGAGAACTTCCGCAGCGATGGGCTGATCGCAGGGGAGAGGTTCAACGGCAAGCCTCCTCCCCTGCTGCGCCCTTTGTAATGAGGTTATTTTTGAGACGTCTCGAAAATAACCTCATTTCTCGTGACTTCCGCAGCGATGGGGAGAGGTTCCACGGCAAGCCTCCTGCCCTGCTGCACCCTTTCCAGGCTCTGGTGCCGAAGCTTCCCCTGCTTGCTACCGTCTTCCCCCCTCTCCACGCCTCTCCCTTTTCGCCCGAATGTCCAGGATGTGACGGATGAGTATGAGCAGATCATCGGGAAGATGTTCAACGGCAAGCCGCATTGGGGAAAGAACAAGGATATTTCCTTCATTGACGTCCCCAGCAAGTACCCCCACCTCCCGTGCTTGCTACATCTTGACTCCTCCCCACCTCCCAAAATGTGCAGGATGTGACGGATGAGTATGAGCAGATCATTGGGAAGATGTTCAACGGCAAGCCTCCGTGCTTGCCGCACCATTTTCCAGGCTCTGGTGCTGAAGCTTTCCCTTCTTGCTACGTCTTCCCCTCCCCTTCCATCGTGCAGGATGTGACGGATGAGTATGAGCAGATCATAGGGAAGATGTTCAATGGCAAGCCGCACTGGGGAAAGAACAAGGATGTTTCCTTCATTGACGTCCCCAGCAAGTACCCCAACCTCCCTCGCTTCCTCAAAGTCAGGTGCGGCTGGTTACGACATCTTTTTTATCTGTGTGGCCATGATGTCTTATGTACTGCACTTGCAATTCATATGCCGACATTTTGCACTTTTGATGCGCCACACTCTTACACATTCTGACACACTCTGACACACTCTGACACGTTCTGACACACTCTGGCACACTGAACCATGCTCTTTGCTGTGACATTCTGCAGGGAGAATTTTGATCCAAGAGGGCTCTTCTTGAACGAGTGGGCAAAGCGAGTGCTTGGTCTGTCACAGCAGCCAGTGCAGGTGTATGGCGATCAGTGCGCCATGCGAGGCCTCTGCCACTGCGCCGCTGACGTGCACTGCAACCCCGCCCTCGGATCTTACTGTAGGCGTGGGTTGATTTACACGGATGCTACAGTGTGCAAGACACAGTGAGCTACAGACTTGTATGCATACAGCATATAATATTGATTAAACTGTGAACTTCTTGTTTTAACGAGTCGGGTCTTGAGTGCTGGGCCTGTCAAAGCAGCCAGTGCAGGTGTATGGTGATCAGTGCGCCATGAGGTGGGTTGATTTACACTGATGCTACAGTGTGCAAAACAGATTGAGCAATACAGTTTTGTGCAGTGTGAAATCTGGTACATGGAATGCAGGCAGAACAGATTGAAGTACACCTGCAGCTTATGTAGATCAGTGTATGATTCAAGCTGTCTCCCAGAACCGATTGAAGTACACACCTCAGTAGAGGTTTAAACTTTCAAAAAATGTTGAACACAGATATCATAACTCAAATGCACTTCCACCAACACAACACCAGCTGGATAAAAACTAGTAACATTCTCCTCTCAAGAGGAAATGTATGCCTAAGGAATGCATGCCAGCTGGTTGAAGTGCAAGAACCACTCCCCCAGAGGAGGAAAAACAAGAAACTCAGAAAACGAAAGGAAAAAAGAAAGGAACAAGCCCAGCACAGGTGCCTGGGCAAGAAAAGAGACCAAGGCCCCAAAAAAAACGCAGAGCAGGTTATGGGGCACTTAACGAAACCCTGACATGCTGTGCGCATGACAAGGCTAAAAACTTGCAGTGAGGTCATCGTCAGCTGGAGCATCAGTGTCGCTTGGGTCCATAGTAGGGATGGGCGTGCGCATGGAGACTCGGATTCTTGGGGAGGGAGAGAGGTGGAGGGCCAGGCTGTGGAGCTGGGAGGAGAAGGCGTAGGGCATATCGGGCGACAGGGAGATCTGCATGGGAACGGGGTGTGAAGGGAAAAGTGTGAGAATTGCAAAACTTTGAGAGACATGGTAAGGACTGTGAGAATGTGGCAGGGAACGACATGGCGGAGAAACATGTGAAAGGGAGTTGTGGCAGGGGGGCATGTTGAACAAACCATAGCAACACAAGGCATGGAGACACCCAAGACACAAATGACTCACCTCAAACTGGTGCAGCAGCAGCGCCACAACTGCACGCACGATCTTAAGGAGAACCAGAATGTGCCTAGGAATGTACACGTGGCATGAACCATGGCAACACAACGCATGGTGATAGACACAAGGCACAGCCGACTCACCTCGAACTGGTGCAGCAGCAGCGCCACGACTGCACGCACGATCTTGAAGGAGAACCAGAATGTGCCTAGGAATGTACACGTGGCATGAACCATGGCAACACAACGCATGGTGACAGACACAAGGCACAGCCGACTCACCTCGAACTGGTGCAGCAGCAGCGCCACGACTGCACGCACGATCTTGAAGGAGAATCGCAGCCCCACGCATGACCTCGGCCCGCCTCCGAACATGAGGAAATGTTCCCCCTGCTCTGGAGGCACACACTCGTAGTCTCGCCCTGGCAGTAACCCTTCCTTCCACTTTCCCCCTTCCTCCCCGTCGCCTTCCCTGTCTCCTTTCTGCTCCACCTCTCCTCCCTTGTCTCCCTTGCCTCCCTTGCTTTCCTTCCTTTCCCTCCCTCGCTTCTCTGCCTTCCCTTCCTTCCCTTCCTGTTCATCACTGTCGTTCTTCTCCTGCTGCATTCGGAACCGAATGAAGCGCTCGGGGCGGAATTCCAAAGCGTCGTCGCCCCAAAACGAAGAATCCGTTTGCAGGAGGTGCATGGGCAGCGCCAAAACGGTCCCAGAAGGAACCGAAAGAAACTGCGTGTCGTCAGCACCCACACTGCCCTGCACATCTCCGCGCACATCTCCATGCATTTCCCCACAAGAAGAGCCCTCACTCGCAGAACGAAACCCTCCGTCGCTGCTGCTACCAAACTGAGCTGACGGAGAGACAGGCAGACGTATATTCTCGGAGAGCGCGCACCTAGTGACTAGCGGCTGACACGGCATTAAGCGGGACGTCTCGTATATAACCGCGTTGAGATAAGCCAGTTTCTGCAGATCCTCGTCAGTAGGCGACCCGCCACTCGCTACAGCGCGGATTTCCTGTACGACTTTGTCCTGTGTATCGGGGTGTGCGGCGAGCGCGACGAGAACTCGCTCCAACAGCCCTGGAACCGAGAGATGGCCGTGAAGCATAAGGGAGGCGGCTTCGGCCAATGCTGTCGCCTCGTTATAAAGGGGTTCACCATAACGGGACAGTTCCGACAGCATGGCCGAGAGAAAACCCTCGTGAGGCGCTTCTTGCGCCATGACTCGGCGCCGGGGGGAAATGGGGGGAACGGCACCGGAACCAGCAGCAGCATCAACAGCAGAACCGGTGTTGACGCTGGAAACAAGACCAACACCACTAGAAGGAGCAGCAGCAGCAGCAGCAGCGGCAGCAACAGGGCTCTGTTCGGCTTCATTCCCTTCGCATCCGGAGTTTCCCACGTTGAAGCCTGAGCTGCTGAAATTGGCAACGCCAACGTCGGGTAACCCGCACTTGACGCCCTCGCATTCGCCTGACATGAGCCTTCGCATAACTTCGCGAAACTCGTCGCAAACGCGGGAAAACAGCCAATACGACGGAAGCCAGAACGGCTCGACTGGGAACCGCGAAAACTTCTGAGATCCTGCAGCTACCTTCTCCAATAGACCCTGTAAGCGAGCGTGGATCCTCGACATAGGAAACCCGCTACCAAAAAGAGAACCGCCGAGTACACCAACCGCCATATCCCTAGCTACACCACCCACGTCGATCTCCCCGCCAGACCCGGCCACGGACGTCCAGTGGCGTGACGTCATGTGAACGACAGTTGACGTCACCTCGTGAACCTGAAACTTGAGTGTGGTATGGCAGTGGTAATCTAAGAAGGACCTGCGAGCCCGCGGCTGCATGAGGGACGAGAAGCGAGTGGAATCCGCTCCAAAACAGCGAGCCATGATTCGGCTGAAGGCAGGAGGTCGTTCAAGAGCTCGCATAAGCACTTTGCGAACCTGCGCGGGGTCGCGAATCGATATAAGCAGCTTCGTCGGGCTCATCCAGAGCCTTACAACGGGACCGTACTCCGAGTGAAGCCTTGCAATAAGGTCTGGAAAAGGAGAACACAAAAATGTTTTGTGATGTTAAAACGGCTACACGGAAGGATATGGTTCCAGGAAATGAAAACGCGAGAGACGGAATGAATACTTGCGACGCCAGCAAGCGCGAGCAACGGAACAAATAATTGACACGCTAAGAAAAGCGTACCAGTGATGCTTCCAGCTCCCAAGAGCTCTGCCGTGTTTCCCCAGAGGAAGTGACCCTTGGGACCCGGGAACTGGTTCCCTCGCCGCCATAAAGAGACGTAGGCGAGAAGCCAGTGCAGCAGCCATCCCGTGAAACCGATGAGAAGACACCAGATGAAAGCGTTGACTTGACCAGGTGATAAGTTCACCTGCATAGGGGGAGGACGAAGAAATACAGGTGGATTTGAATATACTGTTAGAACAGAATTTCAACTAGATTCTTAATACTCCTGTACGATGCGATTAAGACATATGTAACAAAGAAATCGCGAACGCAGCAATGCTCAGAGATTAGTCCAAAGACGTACTTGTTTCCTAGGAGCCAATAAATAAGCGTTCACATCTACCGATACGTTAGGCGGATATGGCTGGAAAAAATCTGCCTCGTTGAAAGACATTCTAACCTCCATCACCATGGCGGATGAATCAGGAGGAAAAAATAACCTACCATGGCAGGTTGAGCTGAAATAGCGAGAGTTGAGCTACCACCCGTAGCTCTCTGGGAACACCTCGAAAATTTCTTCCTCGGGTTCCTCACGACTGACTGGACGGTGGAACCGGAGTTGATAGAAAAACCAATCCCCATTCCCTAGAGTTCGGAAAACGAATTTACAGCGCCGCTGTGAACGGTGGGCACAGAAGGCATTCCAGTATGACCCGGTACAAAGTGGGGATTCTAGTATGGAACTGCTGTCGAATGCGTCACTAAGGTCCGTGAAGTGCAGGCTCATCGGATGATTCGTTGCCTTCGAAAGACCACGCATGGCATCGCTCATGAGCTGGGACCAGGCCTGTCGAAGTTTCTGGGGCTCGTACTTGCGCTCCCCAGCTCCTCCGCATCTGACCCTTGGTTGGGTGTAGGTGTGCGTTTTGGCGCCCTTAACGGTCACGGGCGTACCCCAAAGTGAAAACTTGAAATCCGGGCATATTTGAAGTTTGCACTTACACTGTATTTTATTATGGTACGTGCAGTTTTCAACTTATATTAGAAGTTATTCATACCTAATACTACACATGTCTTCAATAGTCATAAAACCTAAGGGAATGTTCGGGTGCTCCAAGGCTGACTGAGACACACTACACACACGAGATTGGCTAGAAAACGCCAAGGGAAAAATCCCCTTGGCGCGCTCTAGTGCAGGCTACGGAGAAAGGGGGAGGGGGGGGGAGGCTCGGGCACCCTCAGGGGGGGAACCCTACGCGGAAACCAAAACTTAGATAAAGGGGAAGGCCTGGTTTCGTCCCTTAACGCATCCGGGGAAGGGTCGAACGAAGCACTTAGTGGCACGGGTGGGGTACGAATCCAGAACTTGCCGCATTGGAGCTGGAGCGAAAATAGCCCTTAATGTTCAGGGCATTAAGGGCATATGCCCTTGAATCGACAGGCCTGGCTGGGACACCTTTGCTGACAGAATCGCGTGTCAAGAATGCGCCCTGGTATCGGCACAGGGTGTGACGAGTGGCGATGGGGGGACTGCTGTGGGCGGAAGGGGAGTGATGCGGCGATCAATGCAGCGATCTGCAATCTTTGGGGACACGGGGAAGGGATTGTTGACGTGCGGAGGCTTGGAAATCAGGGCAGATGCGAAGCAAATTTTATCCAGAGGATCATTTCTGTTTGGGGTCTGGGCAAGGAAAAACTTCAACTGTGACGGTCAGGTAAGGTCGAGAAGGACGGCCATTCAAAGAAGGTAATCTGGTGGACGCACATCAGCCTCATTGGGGCTTGGTGGGTGGGGTGGGGAAGAGCGGAGTGGAGTGGCATGGGGTGGAGTCAATTCTGGACCTGGAGTCAGCCCAAATCAAACAGGATTTGTGCTTGACACGAGCTTTGGGCTGGAGAGTGCGTCTGTCGGGTCAGGTCAGGGGTATCAAATTTCTTTGAGGATTCGGAGTCCTGATTCCCGAATCACAACAATTTCCCGACCAGCACGATTTGGCTTGCAGGTCCATGCTCCCACGTGGGACCTTCTGGAGCCAATCAAGATTGTGATACACACGTGGTACGTGCATGCATGAATCGACAAATATTTTCTCAGCAGAGTGTGCCCCGTTGCAGTATCATTACCACCTTCTCTTAAATTCCCGATATACATCAGATACAAGAATACACCAGTGTACCCCAGTAGGCGTGCATAGCACACTACCAGGGCTGACGTTTCAAAAAAACCCACTCTGAGGCAGGGGAGAAAAAGATTTCGTTTAGTCTGAGGGTCATTTCCCAAGTTCTGAGTACTCTGAAATGTCAGGTTTGAAAAAATCATTAGTCTGAAAAGTTTTAAGTTTGTAAAACTGCATCCGAGTTGGTGAATAGCGAATATCTGTCAAGCGAGTTTGGCCTAGGGAAAACGTTGCGGAGTTGGCGAGAAGCAGGAGTAAGAGGGGGCGGGGGAAGGGGGAGGGGGGAGGGGGGCAGGGGGGGAATTGAATGTAATTCGAGAGAGGGGGAGGGGGGAGGACTGAAATTCGGCAAATTCAGGGGCCATACTCCCTGTAGTCTCGAGTCTCAGTATCGCACAATGAAGTACTCTGAAATTTTCAGAGTTGAAAAACTAACAGGTCTGAGGCCTTCAGAGTTCAGAATACAGGAATACTGAAATTTCAGGAAAGGCGAAAAAAAGAGTCTGAGATTTCAGACAATCAGACTAAAATAGTCTGATAAAATCAGCCCTGCACACTACAATCAAAATTATGCGAAGAACGATTACTGGTAAGTGTGATAAAAATGTGTTACATGCTGTTAAAGGACTGGCCATATGTACATAATATTAATGCTCGTCAGCTTGTCGTTTTTCTGCTTCCGCGGTGCCATTTTCATGCTTCTGGGCAGCATGCAGCGTATCGCTAACAAACGCTGCACCATCAGAACACGGAGGTCTCCCTGTGAGCCTCTGCCTCTTGTGCATGGCTTCATCCCTCTCCACCACATTCTGAGTAATGGCATTGAGAGATCGAGAGCAAAACAGAGAGAGGAGCGGCAGAGGGAAAACGAGATTGAGACAGGCAAGATTCCCCCCTGAGAGCCTCTGCCTCTTGTGCATGGCCTCATCCCTCTTCACCACATTCTGAGGAGATGACATTGAGAGATCGAGAGGAACACAAAGAGGGGAGGGGAGGAGGGAACAACAGAGTGAGAGAAGCAATGTCTCCCTGTGAGCCTCTCTCCCGTGTGCATGGCCTCATCCCTCTTCACCACATTCTGAGGAGATGACATTCAGAGATCGAGAGCAGCACATGGAGGGGGGGAGGAGGGAAAAAAGAGAGTGAGAAAAGCAACGTCTCCCTGTGAGCCTCTGTCGCTTGTGCATGGCTTCATCCCACTCCACCAGATTCTGATGAAAAGAGATCGAGGGACCAAGAGGTGTCCGGAGAGACAAGAGGGATACAGAGGGGAAGAGGGGAAAAGGCATTTGAGAAAGCAAGGTATCTCTGCAAGGAGGTCTCGTACGTAACACCTCACTCTGTTCTTCATACTCTGCTTGTAAAGGTCAATTAATCTATATATTCACTTGTCCGCAGAATGGAGCAAGGTGGAGATAGAACGGAGGGGGGTGGGGGGAATGGACGGGGGTGAGGGAGGGAGGTGAAGCGGGAGGGAGGACAGAAGGGACCTGAAAAAAGGGTACAGATGGGGAGGGGACTGGTCGTTTTCAAGGCCAAACTTTCTACACGGTTTAAGATTCCTTAGAACACCACCGTGGCCTCTCTCTCTCTGACCTTCTCACCCATGCGGATGTGAGCACGTGCACGGCAGCCACATGCCTCGAGAGGTTGACTTTGTACGTGACGTGCTCGGAGCAGCCTGGGAGTGACTGCACTTAGTTGAAGGCTCATCAATACACCACCACACAGTCACCACTGCGCTCACCTGTGCAGGCGTTAGCATGTGCATGGCTGCCACGTGGCGTGAGAAGTTCACTTTGTATGCGAAGCGCTGGGAGCAGCCAGGGAGTGTGGCTGTAATCAGTATAAGGCTCCCTAACACCAGCACGTGCTCTCACCTGTGCGGGTGTGAGCACGTGAATGGCTGCCACGTGGCGTGAAAGGTTGACTTTGTATACAAAGCGCTGGGAGCAGCCTGGGAGTGGAAAGCTCCTGTGCACATACCACAGTCAAGACTGCTCTCACTCTCACCTGTGCGGGTGTCATCTCGTGTATGGCTGCAATATGCCGCGAGAGGTTGACTTTGTATGCAAAGCGCTGGGAGCAGCCTGCGAGTGAGGCTGCATTCGGTCTAAGGCTCACTGCTCACTGCTCTCACCTGTGCGGGTGTCATCTCGTGTATGGCTGCAATATGCCGCGAGAGGTTGACTTTGTATGCAAAGCGCTGGGAGCAGCCTGGGACGGAGCAGGCAAAGGGGCGGTCCTTCTGATGGCACGCCCTGATGTGCGTTCTCAGGTTGCTGGGCTGAACTGAGGAGGAGTGGGGGAGGGAGGGTGAGAGAGGGGAAAGGAAGGGAGAGTAGGGGGAGGTTGACTTGGTATGTGAAGCGCAGGGAGCAGCGTGGGAGGGAACAGGCGAAGGGGCGGTCCTTCTGGTGACACGCCCTGATGTGCGCCCTCGGGTTGCTGGGCTGCTCTGAGGAGGAGGGCGGGGAAAGGGAGAAAGAAAGGGAGGGTAGGGAGACGTTCACTTTGTACGTGAAGAGCTGACAGCAACCTAGGGCCGAGCAGGCAAAGGGAGGATTGTGCTGGTGGCACAATTGTGGCACTCCCTGATGTGCGCCCTCAGGGTGCCGTGTTGCATGGTGAAGGGAGGGAGCAGCAGGTGTTTTCAGCGGGGATCACAGCATCAGCAGTCTAGGCGACTTACAGAGCTGAACGCCTTGCTGCACCCATCCACCTTGCACGGGTGGGATGGTCGTTGCTCCAGCTCATGCTCCTTGAGGTGTCGCTTGAAGCGCGAGAAAGAGATGTGCTTGTTGCACTGCGGGCAGGGCACGGAGCAGTGGTGCTGCTGTGTGTGTTGCTCCAAGGCAGGGAGGGACGGGAAGGCAGTGAAGCAGAAGCCACAGATAGCCCCGTCCGCTCCCTCTGATGTGCCTTCCCCTGCTGCCGCTGTTCCGTCCGCTCCCTCTGCTACGCCCGCCATGCCCTCCCCTGGTGCTGTTGCATCTGTGTCCTCGTCACTTGACGTGTCTTCTTCTCCTTCGCTTCCTGTTGACATTCCCATGCCGCGTTCTGCTTGCCTTTCTTCAGTAGTTTTGCATGCTTCTGACGTCCTCTCCCTTGACTTCCCATCTCTTTCTCTACCTTTCACCAGCTTTCCGGCCGTAACCTCATCTCTTGCCATGTCCTTATCACACCACCTCCTGCGCTTCCAGCTCATCATCCCAGCCTGCTTGTACTTTCGTACCCCCCCTGATGCCACTTCTGATGCCATTGCTCCTTCGCCAACCTCCACCTTCCCCTCACCCGCCCCACCTCCTTCTCCTCGCGTCTTCCCCCCCTCCACTTCCCTCACGCCCTCCTTGATCCTCCCATCAGCACTCCCACCAGGCCCCCCACCGGGCCCCCCACCGGCCCCACTCGTACCGCCGGTCGCCATTGCATCAGCGTCGGTTGCAGTTACCTCACCAACAGCTTCTGCCACATCATCATGAGCACCTGCCACATCACCAACAGCCTTTGCCACATCAGCATCACCAGCTGCCACACCACCTCTGGTCGTCCCCACAGTAGTAGCAGCAGCAGAGCACAAGCATACAGCATCCTGCAGCAGCAGCAACCCATTTCCCCCCACGTGCTTCCCCCTCAGGTTCCCCTTAAGGTGGCCCGCCAGGTGCTCTTCCCCCAGGTGCTCTTCCCCCAAGTGCTCCCCCCTCAGGTGTTCCCCCAAGTGTTGCTCTTGCCTTGCAAGCTGCTCCTCTCGTTGCCTCAGGTCATCGTTCTGTTGTTTCAGGTGCTCTCTCTGTTGCCTCAGGTGCTCCTGCTGCCGCCTCAGATAATCCTCCTCCTCTTTCAAGAGAATCTCCTTCCTCCTCAGGTGCTCCCTCATTGCCCTCAGGTGTTCCTTCTGTTGGCTCAGGTGATTTTTCATCTCCTTACCAGGCTGCTCCTTCTCCTTCAGGTGAACCTCCAGGTGATCTTCAACATTCTCCAGGTGTTTCTTCAGGTGCCGCTTCTTTTGCTGCAGGTGGCCCTGCATCCCTTGCACCGCCCCTTCTCTCCCATTGGTCCCAAGGATCTCCCTGTTATCCTCCTCCACGTCAGCAGATTCTTGCCTGTCTGCTTCAGCAGTATGAAACAATTCAGTATCACGCATTTCAGTATCACACCGCTCCTCACCACTCTCAACCACACACGACTCCTTTCCAGCTCCCTCGTCGCCCAATTTTCTCTCCTCCTCACCTCCTCCCTCCCCCAACTCCCCTCCACTCCTCTCCTCCTCCCCTCCACTCCTCTCCTCCTCCCCTCCTCTCCTCTCCTCCTCCCCTCCTCTCCTCTCCACCTCCCCTCCTCTCTTCTCCTCCCCCCCTCTCCTTTCCTCCTCCCCTCCTATCCTCTCCTCCTCCCCTGCTCTCCTGTCCTCCCGTCCTCTCTGCTCCTCCTCCTCCTCCCTTCTCCAATCCTCTTCCTCTCCTCTCCTCTCCTCTTTCCCGCCTAACCCCTCGTTCCCCACTCCTCTTCTCCCTCCTGTTGCTTCTGCTGCCTTCTCGCATGCCTTCTCTTGTGTTTTATCCTGCGCTTCTTCCTGTGTTTTCTCCTTCGATTTCTCCTGTATTATCTCCTGTACTTTCTGAGTTTTCTCCTGTGCTTTCTCTTTTTTCTCCTGTGCTTTCTCTGTTTTCTCCTGTGCATACTGTGCTTTCTCCTCTGTTTTCCCCTCTGCTTTCCCCTGTCCCTTCGGCTGCCCTCTCTTTTGCGCCTCCTCCTCCTCCTCCTGAAGCTTATGCTCCGCGCCCCCTCCCTTACTCTCTCTCTTCACTCTACGCACCCGATCACCAATCCCCCCCTCCTCCTCCTGCTTCCCCTTGCTCTCTCTGTTCACTCTATCCAGCCGGTCTCTGATCCCTTCCTCCTCCCAGTGCTGTTCCCTCACGTGCCGCTGCATGCTGGCGTGCAGGCTGAACGTCTGAGTGCACTGCGGGTGTGGGCAGGGGAACTGGGGGGAAGTAGGGAAAGAAAATGGAAGAAGAGGATTGGGGAGGGAGACAGAATCAGGGGAACAGTAGCCTCACGTGTCGCTGCATGCTGGCATGCAGGCTGAACGTCTGGGTTCACTGGGGGTGCGGGCAGGGGAACGGGTGGGGTGGGATGCAGAGGAAGGAGAGGATCGGGAGTGGAGATTGTATAAGTGAACACCCTCAAGTGTCGCAGCATGTCTTATGATGCAAAAACAGGCCCGGTCAGGGGCGTGGGATGGGAGGCTGCATGTGGCGCTGCAGGTGGTACTTCCTTCCTCCTGAATGACGTGAGCCGACTCATATGATTAGGATGGCGTTGGTAGCATGGAAAAGGGAGGAACTTACCTGGTCGAAGGCATGGGATGGGAGGCTGCATGTGGCGCTGCAGGTGGTACTTCCTTCCTCCTGAATGACGTGAGCCGACTCATATGATTAGGATGGCGTTGGTAGCATGGAAAAGGGAGGAACTTACCTGGTCGAAGGCATGGGATGGGAGGCTGCATGTGGCGCTGCAGGTGGTACTTCCTTCCTCCTGAATGACGTGAGCCGACTCATATGATTAGGATGGCGTTGGTAGCATGGAAAAGGGAGGAACTTACCTGGTCGAGGGCATGGGATGGGAGGCTGCATGTGGCGCTGCAGGTGGTACGTCCTTCTTCTTGAACAATGAGACTTGTGAGTCGACTCATATGATTGGGTTGGCGTCAGTAGCACGGAAAGGGAGGGACTCACCCGGTCGGGGGCGTGTGACTGCATGTGGCGCTGCAGGTGGTATTTCCTCCCGAACGCCCTTCTGCAGTCCTCGTGTGGACACACAAACGACTTCTGCTGTAAGGCAATTGGTGGGGTGGGGTAGCAGGGAGTGGTACGAAGGCGAGCGAGGGAGAGTAAAGAACCGGAGTGATTGAGTGGGTGAGTGAGTGAGGCCTTCCTAGTCCTCCTCATGCGGACAAAGCCAGCGGACTGAGCATCAATTCCCCTGGAGGGAGTGAATGGCCAAGTGCTGCCTCACATACGATGGCCGGGTGGGTGAGAAACCTTCGGACATTTTACCTAAGCGCCGCTGCTCACTGGAAAATGTCCGAAGATCTGCTAACACTTACGCTTTCTCCAGTATGGCCAAGTGCTGCCTCACATACGATGGCCGGGTGGGTGAGAAACCTAGCATGAGTGCAGGTAAGTGAGTGAGTGTGAGTGAGTGTGAGTGAATGTGAGTGAGTGTGAGTGAGTGTGAGTGAGGAGAGTAAGAGCAGCCCACCTGGTTCGCGTGGGTGGCCATGTGTTGTCGCACATATGCCGGTCGAGTGAACGCCATGCCGCACTGCCCACACTCATACCGCTTCTCCTTCGCCTTGCACCTCCTTCCCCCCTTGCCCTGCTCCACTTCCTCCTCCTCACTCTCCTCCTCCTCTCCCGAATCCTGCTCTTCCTCTTTCTCCTCTTCTTTCTGGTACTTTGACCTCTTTCTCGCCTCCTTCTCCTTTTCTCCCCCCTGCCTCTCCTTGCGCTTCCTCATATTCCTCTTGCTCCTGTCCTCCTGTATATCTTCTACCTTTATCTCCTCCACCTCCTCCTCCTCATCCTCATCCTCCTTACCCTCATCATTCCCCTCATTCTCCCTCTCCTCGTGCTTACTCCGCTTTTGTCCCCTCTTTCTGCCCTTCACCTCTTCTTCCCCCACCTTCTTCTCCTCCTCCTTCTCCCCCCCCTCCACCATTTCAATCTCCTCCACCTCTTCACCCTCTTCCTCCTCCCTCTCCCCTCCGTACTCTCCCTCCTCCTCCTCATGTGCCCTCGCCTTCTCTGTCCCTCTCCGACTCCTCTTTCCCTCTCTTTCTCTCTTCTTTACCTTCCCCTTCTCCCGTCCACTCCTGCCTTTCTCTCCCACTCGCCCTCTTCTCACTTCACCAGCCACTCGCCTTCCCCTTCTCTCTTCAACATCCCTTCCCTCACCATCCCTCCCCCGAACATTCCCCTCCACTATCTCACACTCCTCAACGTCACACTCCCCCCAGTCACGCCCCATACCCTCGCCTTCCCTCGCCTCTCTACCATTCCCCACCTCCCCTCCTCCTTTACCGCCCTTTCCCTCTCCCTTTCCCATCACTGTCACTTCCACCACATCGTCATCCTCTCTCGCCTCACTAATTTCATTCTCCTTATAATTCTCATTCTGCCCATTATTCTCTCTGCCGCCACCACACTCCACACCCTGCCCCTCATCCCCCACTCCCTGTCTCTCCCGTCCCTCCTGCTCCCTCCCTTCGCCCCACTCCCTCTCCCCTCCAACCTCCCTCACTCCCCTCCCTTCGCCCCCATCCGTCTCCCCTCCAACCTCCCTCACTCCCCTCCCTTCCATCCCCTCCCTCTCCCCTCCAACCTCTCTTACATCCTGCCCTTCAATAACTTCCTTCTCCTCTTCCCCCTCCTCTTGCCTCCCCTCCCCTCGCCCCCCCTTTTGTCCTCCCTTCTCTCTCTCCTCCTCCTGCCTCCCCTCCTCCTCTCTCCCCTCCTCGTCTCGCCTCTCCTCCTCTCTCCTCTCATCCCCTGTCCTTCCCTCTTTCCTCTCCATCCCCGCTTTCCCCACCTCATCCCTCACCTCCTCTCCCGTCGCCTCCACCTCTTCACCCCGCTCCTCCCCTCCCTCCTCTCCCCTCACATCCCCATCCCCCACCTCCTTTTCCACCTCGTCCCCCTCCTCATCTCCTACCCCTCCGCCCTCCTCCCCCACCTCTCCCTTCACCTCTTCACCTTTCTCTCCCGCTTCCTCCCCCCCTTCCTCTCCCCCCAGCCCCACGCCAGACCACAGCAGATACTGCTCCAGTGGGTCTATATACCCACCGAGAGGGTCTGTATCCGTTCCCTCTTCTGACGGGTCTATATACCCGCCCAGGGGGTCTGTGACCGTTCCCTCTTCCATGGAACCCCTGTACCCTCCTAGGGGATCGCTGTAATTTTCTGGAATACACATGGGTTCAGATGGGAATGTATGTACATCCGAGGGTTTCGAGGAAGTTTCATCTCGCAAGGAGCCATCTGTACTCGTTACAGGCTTCCTTGTGGTATCTTTCTCCTTATCCTTTCCCTGCTGCTTCCCTTTGCTGCTGCTGATCTCCTTCCGTCCGTTTTCCCCCCTATTCTCCCCGTCCTCTGCCTTCTTCCCATTTTCTCCCTCCTCTTCCGCCTCTTCTTCCCCCTCCTCCTCTTCCCTCTCCTCCTCCTCCCATTCCCCCTCTTCCTCCCACTCCTCCCCTCCCTCCCACTCTTCTTCCCACCCTCCCTCCTCCTCCCCTCTTCCCACAACCCCTTCACCTCCCCTCCTCATCCCCGTTATAGACCACCCTATGTACTCCGCTACAGGGTCAACCCATCCACCTACACCCCCTCTTGCCGCCTCCTCTTCATTCCCTTGCATATCAACACGCCCGTTTGCTGCTGTTGCCCTTTCTTCTGTCGCTGTTACTGCTGCTGTTGCCCTTTCTTCTGTCGCTGTTACTGCTGCTGTTGCCCTTTCTTCTGTCGCTGTTACTGCTGCTGCTGCTGCTGCTGCCGCTGCTGCTGCTCCTCCCTCTGCTCGTCTCGCCTCTCTCCTCTCCTCCGCGTTTCCCTCTGCGCGTTTCCCCCCCATCCCCTCAGCTATTCCCTCCGCCAACCCGTCTATAAGCCCCTCCGCTATTCCCTCCGTCACTCCCTCTCCTACCCCACCCACACCCCCACCCGTGCCCCCAACCATGCCGGCACTTGTGCGCGCATCTCCCTTCTTTCCCCCTCCGCTCAGCCCCTTCAACCCTCCGCCCTGCGCCCTTTTCTCCCCGCTTGCCCCTCCCCCTTTCTTTTCCCCTCCCGCTCCGTTCCGTTCCCCTCCTCCGCCTCCCTTTCCCCCTGCTTGCCCCCCTTCGCTTCTCCCTCTCCTCTTTTTCTCTCCTCTAACCCTAATCGTAGCCTCATTTCCCTTTACCTCCCCTTTCACCTCGCAATTGCTTTTTCTGACCGGCCCAAAACTTTTCCTCCCTGCCCGAGGGGACTGCTCGTCCTCGACTGACGTCATGCTGTCGTCATCTGACAATTCGTCCTCGTCGCTCACAACAAACCCCTTGCTGCTGCAAATGGAACCTTCCGAGCTGCTTCGCGAGCTGCTGCTGCCACTGCTTCCGCTGCTGCGACTGCTACTGCTCCTATCGCTGTCACTAGTCGTCACAGCCTTTCTAGCAACGTCACCGTCCTTCGTACCCGCGCTGGTCGTTCCGCCGGCTTCCGCGCTATTCCTTCCGCCAGCCATCGCACTGTTCCTTCCGCGCGCCTCCGCTCCGCTAACCTGCGCCAGTCGCGTCGACCTCCGCGTGCTACGGCGCGGGAGCGAACCGCCCCCTTCATCTTCTGTGGATGTCATCTCCGCATATAACGGCGCCGCACGCGCGATTTGACAGTGTCTGCGCTGCAGGCACGACCTATTTCTGCCCATGCCTATCTGCGATGTCCGCGCAAGAGTCCGCTGTTGTGGAAGCGGAAAGGGGTTGCTGCTATTTGGTTCGGCTGACAACCAAACCGCTGGTTGTGTGCGTTCTAGTTCGGTTGAGGAGCTCTGCATAACGCCAACATCCTTGAGTTTGCTCATACGTTCGTATAGATATAGACAAATATAGACACATGTAAAAAATGTTAATAAGGGAGAATACTCTAGGAAGTACTCTAGAATATGTGGGGATCTTACTTTTACTCACCAGTCACATTACAAAACATCGTTGGTAAATCCATCGTCATGAATTATTTATGATGCTTTCATCTTTGTCCTGCATAAGGCAAATATCCCCAAACTTGCCTAATCCAGCTTTGCATCCAATCCAATTCTCGAGCTTCAAGAGTAGAATTACAACCAAACCAGCACAACTATATATCTGGGGAAAAGATAATTCCAGCACAACCTCCTGTACAAAACGAAGTGAAATGGGAGCAAACTTCGCTAGGTAGTGCATCTGTTATTCAGCACATGCATCACCTGTTCTCCCCTTGACATCCACTCTCCTACAACCCCGCCCCATCCTCTCAAACTACTATCTCCATCCTCTCTCCAACTTCACCACGCCCCTCTCTCCTCATCCTTCACCCACTCCCCCTCCTCCACCTCCTTCCCCTCTGCCTTCTCCCTCTCCTCTTCTTCCTCTCACCACCCCTCTTCCCCGTTCTCCATCCCTCACCACCCTCCTTACCATGTCTCCTCAACATTCACCATGCCCGTTCCTCTCCCACCATCCTCCACCACCCTCCCTCCCTCCCCATCCCTCACCCCAACCTCCCTTCTTGAACCACACGGACGTACAAAGCAACGATTCTTCCAAATCCGAGTGTGTTTCACCTGAAGCTCCTGGTGCTGCCTTTTACGCTTCAGGTGGTTTTTCTGGTCGTTCAGGTGATCGCTCTGTTGCTTCAGGAGTTCTTCCTGCTGCTTCAGGAGCTCCTCCTGCTGCCTCTGGTGCATCTCTTGCTGCTCCTTCCGTTCCCTCAGGAGCAGCTCTTTCTGTTGCAGGTAAAACTCCTTCTGCACATTCCTTCTATTCAAGTGCTCCTCTTGCTGTCTCAGCAGCTCCTCCTGCTGCTTCTGGTACATCTCTTGCTGCTCCTTCTGTTCCCCCAGCAGCAGCTCTTTCTGTTTCACGTGCCACTCCTGCTGCTCATTTTGTTGCTTTAGAAAGGACTCTTTCTGCCTCATAAGTTCTTTCTGCTGCTTCAGGTGTTCCGCCTGTTGCTTCAGGTGAACCTCCTCCTCCTTCAGGAGAATCTCCTCCCGCCTCAGGTGCTCCTTCTCTGTTGCCTTCAGGTGGTTCGTCAGGTTGCCTCGGCGGCCTTTCCTCCCCACAAAATGATGCACTTTCCTATTCAAATACCTCCTCTGCTCCCTCGGGTGGCATTTCAGGTGGATTTTCCCGCAGCCAGCCCCTTCCCTCTCAACTCCTCCCGCAAGCCGTTTCCTCTTCCGCCCCTCCTGCAATCTTGTGTGCTCCTCTTGCTCTGCTGCACCAACCTCCTCCTCTTCCTCACACTCATTCATCCCGCCACTCCCCACATTGCCATCCCCCCTGGGACAGAGGAGAGTGGGTTCTCCCTCCTCTTCTCTGTCCTCCTCTCCCTCCACTTCTCTCTCCTTCTCTCCCTCCTCGTCTCCCTCTCCTCCCTCCAATTCTTTCTCCTCTTCTCCCTCTTCTTCTCTCTCCTCTTCTTCCTCTTGTTGTCCCTCCTCTTCCCTCTTCTCTTCTTCCTCCTCTTCTCCCTCCTTTCTCCCTCCTCCACCAACGTTACCCTCCCCTTGCACCTGCACCACTGCCTTCCCCACAATACCCTCATTCCCACCAAGAGATTTCGCCGCTCCTTCCGCTGTAACTCTCCCTTCCCCACCGCCGCTGCCCTTTCCATGAAGTGGCATCACAAGCCTTCTTATGCTGCCCGTATAGCCAAGTAAAGACTGAGTTCCTCCCACCTCTCTCTCTCCTCCAACCGCACAGCCCTCGCCTTGCACCGGTTGCTTCGCTGCATCGCGCTGCATTGCTGCCCTTCCCATGTTGTTTCCCTCCTCTGCAGGCACGAATTGGGTTCTTGCTCTCTTCTCTGTCCCCAACCCTCCTCCAACCGCGTTGCCTTCCCCTTGAACCTGCATCGCTTCCCTTCCCATGCCGCCCTCCCCTGAAGGAAGAAAAAGGGGTGTTTCCTCCTCGCCATCCCTCTCCTCCCCTCTTCTCCCCTTTCCTTCCGTCTCCTCGCCTCTCCTTCCATCTCTCCCTATCACAACACTCGTTTTCTTCTCACATTCCTGCCTAAGAACCTCTTCCCTCCTCTCCTCCTCCCTCCTCGCGGCTTCCTTCCTCTCCTCCTCCCTCTCGCGGCTTCCTTACTCTCATCCTCCCTCCTCGCCGCTTCCTTCCTCTCCTCCTCCCTCCTCGCGACTTGCTTCCTCTCCTCCTCCCTTCTTTCCGCTTCCTTCCTCTCCTCCTCCCTCCTCTTCCTCTCCTCCTCCCTCCTCGCTGCTTCCTTCCTCTCCTCCTCCCTCCTCGCGGCTTCCTTCCTCTCCTCCTCCCTCCTCGCGGCTTCCTTCCTCTCCTCCTCCCTCCTCGCCGCTTCCTTCCTCACCTCCTCCCTCCTCGCGGCTTGCTTCCTCTCCTCCTCCCTTCTTTCCGCTTCCTTCCTCTCCTCCTCCCTCCTCTTCCTCTCCTCCTCCCTCCTCGCTGCTTCCTTCCTCTCCTCCTCCCTCCTCGCGGCTTCCTTCCTCTCCTCCTCCCTCCTCGCGGCTTCCTTCCTCTCCTCCTCCCTTCTTGCCGCTTCCTTCCTCTCCTCCTCCCTCCTCGCCGCTTCCTTCCTCACCTCCTCCCTCCTCGCGGCTTGCTTCCTCTCCTCCTCCCTTCTTTCCGCTTCCTTCCTCTCCTCCTCCCTCCTCTTCCTCTCCTCCTCCCTCCTCGCTGCTTCCTTCCTCTCCTCCTCCCTCCTCGCGGCTTCCTTCCTCTCCTCCTCCCTTCTTGCCGCTTCCTTCCTCTCCTCCTCCCTCCTCTTCCTCTCCTCCTCCCTCCTCTTCCTCTCCTCCTCCCTCCTCGCCGCTTCCTTCCTCTCCTCCTCCCTCCTCGCCGCTTCCTTCCTCTCCTCCTCCCTTCTTGCCGCTTCCTTCCTCTCCTCCTCCCTCCTCGCTGCTTGCTTCCTCTCCTCCTCCCTCCTCGCCTCTTCCCTCCTTTCCTCTTCCCTCCTTTTCTCCTCCCTCCTCGCCTTTTCCTTTCTCGCCTTTTCTCTCCTCGCCGCTTCCCTCCTCTCCTCCTCCCTCCTCGCTGCTTGCTTCCTCTCCTCCTCCCTCCTCGCCTCTTCCCTCCTTTCCTCTTCCCTCCTTTTCTCCTCCCTCCTCGCCTTTTCCTTTCTCGCCTTTTCTCTCCTCGCCGCTTCCCTCCTCTCCTCCTCCTTCCTCTCCTCCTCCCTCCTCGCGGCTTGCTTCCTCTCCTCCTCCCTCCTCGCCGCTTCCTTCCTCTCCTCCTCCCTCCTCGCCGCTTCCTTCCTCTCCTCCTCCCTTCTTGCCGCTTCCTTCCTCTCCTCCTCCCTCCTCTCCGCTTCCCTCCTCTCCCACACCCTCCTCGCCGCTCCCTTCCACCACTCCTCCCTCCTCGCTTCTTCCCTCCTCTCCTCTCCCCTCCTTTCCTCCTCTCCCCTCTCCTTCCCTCTCACTGCCTCTTCTTCCCTCTCCTCCCTAACCACCAGTCCTTCGTGCACCCTCATCCCCTTGTCCCCCTCATGTGCCCTCTTTACCCCCGCCTCACTCCCCTCCGCTCCGCCACGCACACCAAGTACCCTGCTTCCACTTCCCCCCTCTTTCTTGTGCTGCGTCCTTGCATGCTTTAACATGCTGCGTCGATTCTTGAAGGTTTGAGAGCAGTGGGGATGAGAGCATGGGAGCTGGTGATTGGGGAGGGGAGGGCGGGGAAGCGAACAGGCAGAGGAGAATCAAGTTACACCAATTGGATTGTAACGCTGTTTCCGTGGATGATACACCATATCATCTCGGCACTTGAAGGTGCAAGGGCAGTGGAGATGAGAGCATTGGTGCTGATGTTTGCGGGGAAGGGGGGGGGGGGGGGGGGGGGTGTGGGGGAAGAAAACAGGTAGCAGAGAAACAAGTCGCGGAAAAACAGGGTGCCAGTTAAGGAGGAAGGGAGAACTGGGACAAGAAGCGGAGGCGGAGGGGAAGAGAGCGAGGGTAGCTTACCCGGGGAGGAGCATTGGGGTTGTGAGTAAGAATGTGCTCCTTCAACAGGTGGTTGGATGAGAATGCCTTTTGGCAGTTTTCATGCGGACACACGAACTGATGCAGTGGAGGGGGCAATAAGGGATGGAAGAGGATAAGGTAATGAGAGAAGTGAACAGCAGGGACGAGAAAGGGCAAAGATAGGAAAGAGAGAATGTCGAAGCGGATAGGGGCAGCGGAAATGGAAACGAGGGAAGAGGCAAGGATGATGAGGGAAAGGGAAAACGGGGGGCGGGGGTGTGGGGGGCGGGGAAGCAGGCAAGGGGGAAAGGGGAGGGTGGGGGACAGAGGGAGCGAAGAGAGCTCACTTGGCAAGCATCGGGGTTGTGATGAACGCGAAGGTGCCTCTGTAGCTGGTAGTTAAATGAGAATGCCCTTTTGCAATTATCATGCGGACACAAAATCTGCAGCGAGAGAGGCAGTACGAGAGGGAGGGGGGGAGGGGAGGAGAGAACAACGGATAGGGGAGGAGAGAACAACGGATAGGGGAGGAGAGAACAACGGATACTTAAGGCTACATTTTGAGTCGATTAGAAAACGAGGACGGAAAGAAGGGAAACGGGTAGAGGCACCTGAGACGTGCGGCTGTGAAGTGTGAGAGTGAGGGAGTGAATGAGTGAGCGAGGGAGTGAAGGAGGGAGGGAGCGAGGGAGGGAGCGAGGGAGGGAGGGGGGGAGGGAGGGAGGGAAGGGGGGAGGGAGGGAGGGAGGGAGGGAGGGAGGGAGGGAGGGAGGGAGGGAGGGAGGGAGGGAGGGAGGGAGGGAGTGGGGAAGGGAGCGAGTGAGTGAGTGAGCGAGGGAGTGAGAGGGAGTGAGTGAGTCAGCGAGTGAGTGAGTGAATGAGCAAGCGAGCGAGTGAGCGAGTGAATGAGTGAGTGAGTGAGTGAATGAGTGAGTGAGTGAGTGAGGGAGTGAGGGAGGCACCTCCTTCGAGTGGGTGGCCACGTGATTCTTCAACCTCTGTCGTGTAGGAAACGCCTTTCCACACTCGTCACAGGCGTAGAGCTTCTCATTCCCCCCCTGCCTCTCCTCGTTCTTCTTCATTTCCCCTTTTTTCTCCCCCCTCTCGTTCTCCCCCATTGTCACAATGCAAACATCCTTCTCCTCCTCATCCACCTCCTCATCCACCTCATCCTCCACCTCATCCTCCACCTCATCCTCCACCTCATCCTCCTTTTCCTCGTCGCCGTCGTCGTCCTCCTCTTCATCCTCTCCCACCCACTCCACCGTGCCCCCATCCCCATCCCCATCCCCATCCCCATCCCCATCCCCATCCCCATCCCCATTCCAATCCTCATCCACATCCCAATTCCGCTGCGCCAGACGAGGCGGAAGCCGCCGGGGGTAGCGCCGCAAATACGACGGTGCGCCATCCGGTGGACTCGCCGATACTCGCCCCGAAGTCTGCCGATACCCCTCGAGTCTTGAGGCGCCCTAATATTTATTTTCAAGCGTAAAGTACCGTCCCTATCCATCACATTCCGCGTCGCATTCGATTTTCGTTGCAATGATGATCCCATCCCTCTCTCTAGCGCGCTACGGGTCCTTAATCTACTCTCAGGGTAACCTTCGAGCCAACTCGTGAAAGTTAACTTCTGAACTCGAATCACAAGTCACTTTTTACTACCGTTCTTTAGTCAACTCAAGCTGATTTAGACGTGACGTGAAACTATTCCCCGACAGCGCAGTGCGCAACCGTTATCACAAACGCGCAGCCTGCTCGCCTCCACGCTCTATACCGGGTGACAACAGAGAGCTTTTGGATGTCCTCGCCTCGACGTTCTATACCGCTCTCAAAACCTCTTAATATCCCAATCGCGCAGACTGCTCGACTCCACGCTCTACACCGGGCGCCCCACCGTGTGGTATATACTCGGAGCCCTCGACCTACTTGATTGACCTATTCGCTATGTGAAGAAACGGGGCGACACATTTGAATGTCGAAGGAATTGAAATGGGGCAAAATGCACATGCAGCAGCTTCGAAGCCCTGGGCCTTTCGTAATGCATCATGTAGCTCGGCGCGGAAGGGAGTTTCATAAGCACTAATCTCCCGAATACCAATAATTCAGCTCGCCCACTTCTTAAATTTGCCACGTGTCTCAACCGCAACTATTTTTGTCATCTCCTCCTCAGTCTTACGCACTATGCATGGCAGTCGCTGAGGCACTTCACGCAAAGAATAAGCACTTATTTGCAAATGTGAGCGAGCTCACTGATTGGTGGAAATAATTTGCCGCAAGCAATGCATGGTTGGCTGCAATTCGAGCTGAGCCTTGACAGCTGCGACATTAGTTGCCTCGCAATTAGTACTACTCGTGAACAACACCTGTAATGCATCACTATGGAGGTAAAAAACAATCTTTGTACAAGGAGGAGGTGGGGGAAGTGAGCTCCATCACATACCATACTCAACTGGCTCGAAAATTTAATTTGATATGCGATTTTATGTGAGAAATTTGACTTGTAAGCTGTTACGACATCCACACACAAGTCAAATTACTAAAGCGCATGTCACACTATACTCAAAATTTTCAATTCTGTTACTGCTCATATGGTTCAATTTCTGCAAGCCAGGGTGAAACACATGTAATGAGAAAATAATTCTCTCACTCGTTTCTTATATACAGCCCCAAGCCATTGGGTGAAAGGAAACGCAGTATTGTAATAATGAGGTTCGGTATTTCAAGACCATAACTTCTGGCTACATATGCCAGCTCAAAAGTCATCAAGTGGTTATACGGTACTGGGCTGGGGTGGGTGAGGCACGCTGAGGGGGGTTGCGTCTCCCTCATCATTTCCCCTTTCAGACGTTCCACCCATGCGGTAGAGCCAGCATGAGGGAACTGATAGGGGTTTCTAAGGCCATGTTGAGATTGAACTAAGGCAATTTAGCTCACGAGTCATTATTCGGTTGTGCTATGGTGGGGCGTGTAGCAGGGGTGCTCCTTCTGCTTGTCCCCTTGTTCTCCCTCTGTCAGTCACACCCCGAACCCCACCTCCCCTCTCTTCATCCTTCACCCCCCTCCCTCCCATCAATTCATCACTCACCGCCCTGCCTCCTGTCCCTCTCTTCACCATCCTCCTCCCTCTCCATGCTTCACCACAATCTCTCTTTGTCCCTCCATCCCTCACCACTCACTCTCCCTTCTCTCCATCCCTCAACCCCCCCTTCCCCCCCCTTTCCTTTCTCCATTCCACCACCCCCCCTCCCCTCTCTCAATCCGTCACCACCCCCCGTCCCCTCTTTCCATCCCTCACCACCCCACCGCCTCTATCTCATCCTTCACCTCGCATACTCCTCTCCCTCCATCTTCCACCACTCTCTCTCCCTCCACACCATTCACTGCAACCGCTTGTTCTCTCCCTCCACCATCCTCCACCGTCCTCCCTCTCACCGCACCACTCACCACCACGTTTCTTTTCAAACCACGAGGTTCTACAGAGAAACAGATCAGGCGATCCCTCCGAATCCGCGTGCGTCTCACCTGGAGCTCCAGATTTTTCCTCTTACGCTTCAGGTGGATTTCCTGATCGTTCAGGTTCTCGTGCTGTTGCTTCAGGTGCTCCTCCTGGTGCCTGACGTGTAACTCTTGCTGCTCCTTCTGTTCCCTTATGCGATCACCCTGCTGTCTCAGGTGTTCATTCCGTTGCTTCAGGTGTTCCTCCAGGTGTCTCAGGTGGAACTCTTCCTCTTTCAAGAGCATCTCCCTCTGTTTTAGGTGGAACTCCTGCTGCTCGTTCTGTTGCTTCAAGTAATCCCCCTGCTGTCTCAGGAGATGCTTCTGTTGCTTCAGGTGTTCTTCTTGCCACTTTAAGTGTATCTCTTCATCCTTCAGGAGCATCTCCTTTCGCCTCCTCAGGTGCTCCTTCTCTGTTGCCTTCAGGTGTTTCCTCAGCTTGCATGGTCGACCCCTCCTCCCCACAAAATCACGCACCTTCGTGCCCAGGTATCTCTTCTGCTGCCTCAGGTGACTCTTCAGGTGTTTTATCCTGCCACCTCCTCCCTCTTCCTCCTCCCGTCCATCCATGTCCTCTCTTTCCCTCTCTCCCCATCCTCCTCCCTCGTCCTCCTCCTCTATTCGCACTTCCTCTTCCCTCTCCCCTCCTCCCCTTTCCTCTTCCCTCTCCCCTCCTCCCCTTTCCTCTTCCCTCTCCCCTCCTCCCCTTTCCTCTTCCCTCTCCCCTCCTCCCCTTTCCTCTTCCCTCTCCCCTCCTCCCCTTTCCTCTTCCCTCTCCCCTCCTCCCCTTTCCTCTTCCCTCTCCCCTCCTCCCCTTTCCTCTGCCCTCAACCCTCCTCTCCTTTCGTCTTCCCTCTCCCCTCCTCCCCTTTCCTCTGCCCTCTGCCCTCCCCCTCTTCCCTCTCCCTCAACCCCCCCCTCCTCTGCTTCTCCTCCTCCCTCGTCCTGTCCCCTCCAATAATCCTCGCCTCTTCCACATACCCCTTCCGCCCCGTCGTCCACTAATCGCCAACAGCCCCCCACATCCCCATCTTCCCCCACTTCCGCGCCCTTCCCCACTCCACCTCGACCATCCATGTCACACGCTTCCTCCTCCTCACCCTCACACTGATTCACCCCCCCACTCCCCATGCTACCCTCCCCCTGGGAAAGGGGTGATCCCACCTCCTTTGCCCCAGCGCACCCACCTTCACAACCACTCCGAACCTCTTGAAGCTGCACCACTACTCTCCCCGCACTGCCCTCATTATTGGGAACGGATTGCGCTGCTCCTTCTTCTGTCCCCTTCCCTCCTCCACCATAGCTGGCCTCCCCCTGAAGCTGCATCATCACTACCTTCACCACACTGCTCTCTCTGAGAGGGAGGAAAAGAGATGCTCCCTCCTCTTCGTCCCTCTCCTCCCTGCTCCTTCCATCCTCTTCCCTCTCCTCCCCCCTCCTTCCCTCTTCTCCACTCTCAGAAATTGCTCGCCTCGCCCCTCCATGCTCCCCTTCCTCTCTGGAAGCCTCCTCGTTACTTTCCTCCTCCCTCCTCTCCTCTTCGTCCCTCTCCTCTCCCCACCTTTCCTCCTCGTTCCTCTCCTTTCCCCTCTTGCTCTCTCCTAACCTTCTCTCCCACCTCCTTCCCTCCTCATCCACCTCCTCCCCCTTCTCTCCATCTTCCTCCTCCTCATCGCCCTCCTCCTCCTCCTCCTCCTCCTCCTCCTCCTCCTCCTCCTCCTCCTCCTCCTCCTCCTCCTCCTCCTCCTCCTCCTCCCACCTTCCCTCATCTCCCCTCACATCATCAATCTCCTTCTTCCCTCCACACCTCCGCACTGCTCCACCACGCGCCTTCTTCCCCTTCTTCCTCTTCTCTCCCTCTGTGCCTCTCTCCTGCCCTCCCTTTCCTTCTTTCCTCCTCACATAATCACCTTCCTCCTCGCCTCCATGCTTCCCCACGGCTGCCCCATGCGCACTCTTCCCCTTCCTCCACCCATGCGCACTCTTTACCCCATCCCCGCCAGGCACACCAGTTCCCCCGGCCCCATTCCGCCCACCCCTGGTCCCTGTCTCCTCCCCGTGGCACTTCCTTAGATGCTGTATCATGTCGTCTCGGCGCTTGAAGGTTCGAGGGCAGTGGGGATGAGAGCAGGGGTGCTGGTGATTGGGGGGGGGAAAGGGAGGGGAAGAAAACAGGTAGAGGAGAAGCAGATTGCACCTATTCATCCGCACTGCTGCGTCCTACCATCCTGCTTTCTTTGATGTCGCATCAGCGCTTGAAGGCTCAAAAGCAGTGGGTGTGGGAGCAGGGGTGCTGATGATTCGGCGGAGGGTGGGGGAAGGAAAGAAAACAGCTAGGACCAAGGGGAGTGAGGGAGGATGGGTGAAGCGGGAGGATGGGATGGAAAAAAGGCAATATGGACAGGAAAAAATGGGGCAAGGGAAAGAGGAAGAGGAAGAGGAAGAGGACGGAGCGAGAGGAGAAAAAGTGTAGGACTGAGGACGGTGGGAACGGAGAGGGGGAGAGGGGGGAAAAGAGAAGGGAAAGGGTGGAAGTGGAGAAGGGGAAGGGAGCGAGGGAAGCTCACCCGGGGAGCATTTGGGTCGTGAGTAAGAAGGTGCCTCTTTAACCGGCTGTTTGAAGCAAACGCCATTTGGCAATCTCCATTCGGACACACGAACTGATGCAGTGGATGGGGCAACAAGGGAGCGCGGGGACAAGGGGAAGATAGGAAAACGGGTCGATCCGACTTTTGAGTGGATTCAAATGACAATGAGGGAAGGAGGGGATGAGACGAAGTGAGGAAAACGGGTTGAGTCGGAAGCACAGGCATGGAGCCTTTAAGGAGAAAAGGCGCGGTGAAGGTGTGTGAGGAAGGGAGTAAGTGCATGAGTGATTGTGTGAGAAAGTGATGGAATGAATGAGTGAGTGAGTGAGTGAGTGAGTGAGTGAGTGAGTGAGTGAGGAGCGCACACCTGCTTCAAATGGGAGGCCATGTGCTTCCTGAACGTTGCTCTCTGAGAAAACGCCATTTCGCATTCTTCACATGTGTACAACTCCTCATCCTCCTTCTCCCTCTCCTTCTCCTCCTCCTCCCTCTCCTGTCCCTTCCCCATTGGATTTCCCTTCTTCACATCACCTGCCCCCCTCTCTCCCTCCTTTTCCCTCTCCAGGAGGGGAAAGAGGGAATGGGAGGAAGGGAAGGAGGAAAAGGATGAGGAGGGAGTGAAAGAAGAGAAAATTCGGGACGATAAAGGATAAAGATGAGAAAGAGGAAATTTGGAAGAGGGGGAGGGGAAAGAGCGAGGGAAATGGGGAGAAGAGGCACGCAAGAAGGGGGGAGAGGAAAAAAGGGGGGAGGGGAAGGGAGGGGATGAGGGGGGGGGGGAAGGAGGAGGGAAGAGAGCTCACTCGGGGAGCATCGTGGCTGTGAGTGAGAAGGTGCCTCGATAACAGGTAGTTGAATGCAAAGGCCCTTTGGCAATCGGCATGGGGACACACAAACTGCAGTAGAAGGACGATAAGGTAGAGAGGGGACGACAGGAGGTGAGGAAAACGGGAAAAGATTTGAGTTGACTCAAAGGAAACGAGAGGAAGGCGGGAAAGGGGTAGAGCTGGAGAGGCACATGAGACATGCGCTGTGAACGTGTGAGAGACAGGGAGAGGGTGAGAGAGTGAGGGAGCGAGTGAGTGAGTGAGCGAGTCAGTGAGGGAGTGAGGGAGTGATTGAGTGAGTGAGTGAGTGAGGGAGGGAGGGAGAGAGTGAGGGAGTGAGTGAGTGAGTGAGGGAAGCACACCTGTTTTGAGTGGGTGGCCATGTGATTCCTTAACTTCTTTCCTGTAGCAAACGCCTTTCCACACTCCTCACAGGCGTGAAACTTCACATTCTCCACTTCCTCCCTCCCCCTCTTCTTCATCATACCCTCCCCCCTCTCCTTCCCCTTCCCTTTTGGCTTCTCTTTTCCCACTGCCCCCTGCCCATCTTTACTCGCTCCCCCCTCGACCCGCGGAACCCCTTCCGCTCTCGCGGCTTCACGCGGAACTTCCGCGTCAGTCCCCCGCGCGGGCGGAACGGGCGGAAGCTCCGCGTCACTCTGCTGCGCGAGACGACGCGGAAACCGCCGGGCGTAGCACCGCAGCGGCGGCGGCCCATCCGGCGGATTCGCACGTCCTAAAATTACGCCAATGCCCGTTAAGTTCTGAGGCGCCTCCATAGCCGTTGCAACGCGCATGACATCCCCCGAATCCATCATAACTTGATACTATCTAGCAGGAGTATTTCCTACCTCCCTCTAGCACTCTCGCTAGCTGAATCTATTTCCGAATTTGCAAGCCACTTTTTACCACCCTACGAATGCGCGTGTCACGGAACCTATTACCCCGGCGAACGCGCATGTCACGGAACCTATTACCCCGGCTAATGCGCGTGTCAGGGATACTACTATTACCCCGGCGAACGCGCATGTAACGGAACCTATTACCCCGGCGAGTGCACGTGTCAGGGAACCTACTATTACGCCGGCGAACGCGCATGTAACGGAACCTATTACCCCGGCGAGTGCGCGTGTCAGGGAGCCTACTATTACCCCGGCGAACGCGCATGTAACGGAACCTATTACCCCGGCGAGTGCGCGTGTCACGTATAGGCAGTGCTCAATGTCGGCCCGTTTATATCACACCCGGCGCGCGTCTACCTCGCGTCGTAGCTCTGCACATGTGCTACAGTCCGCGCAGAATATTACTTATCTGGATAAGCCCGCGCAGCTTATCCGGGCCCGCGCCGTTCATAGTATGCTCTATCTACTCGCAAGGTGAAAAAACTCGGCGAAATTTGCGTGGCAACGAAAAAGGGACATGGAATAATGCGCACGGAGCGAAATTCGCGCCCGTGTTCTGATGATTGCTGGGCGCCGAAGTGAAATCCATACATAGTTGGGTTGCGATGATGCGACATTGGCTGCGCCACGAACGATATTGCTTGTGAAGTACACCTGCGCATGCATCATCTGAAAAGGAGCGTAAAAATACGATAGTGTATAGCAAAGTAAGTACCTACCATATTTGGAGGGGGAAGGGGGGGGAGGGAGGCAGGAAACCAGCTGCATCACATATAAAACTGGCTTAAACTCAAAACATTTGTGATGCGGGTTTTTGTGAGGCAATTGTCTTGCACACCATCATATTCAAACTGAAAACAAGAAAGCTCAATGCTCATTAGGTTCATATGGTTAAACCATGGTAAGCATATGGTGAAAACGCTTCTCCCTCTTGATTCCTTTTCATGGCCCCAAGCCACGGGGAAACGCCAGCAAGAGTGCAATGATCAGCATTTCAGGACCACGTTTCGGCTATGCCTGCCAACTCAAAGGTCATCACTTGGTTATGGCATGTTAGCGCACATGGCACGGGTGCTTGCTTGCTTCACCCGCTTGTCCCCTTGAGCTGGTTCCAGCCTTCCAATAGATCATGCGTTGCAATCAGCCCTCCAAGATAACTAACTAAAGCACTACATTGTACGAGACTGTACATGCCGGGGTGAGGCACATGGCCGGGGTTCTCCCCCCGTTTCTTCTCTTCAAGGATGCTGGGGTAAACAGCCCAGCACAGGAGAACCCATCAACTATTTACATTGCAAAACATCTACGGCTCTCTCCCTTATCATATCATCTCCCATGGATTGTTCTTGCATTGCAACTCTACTAATTCAACACCGTCCCCACTTCCTCTCCCTCCACTCGCCACTCCTCCCTTCTCCCCCCATCCTTCACCACCCCCCTCCCCTCCCTCCATCCTATACCACTCTCCCCTCCCTCCTGTCCATCATTTACCACCCTTCCTCCTCTCCCTCCATCTTTCACCCCAACCACTCTTCTCTCTCATCTTTCACCACTCTCCCTCCTCTCCCTCCGTTCACCACTCCTCTCCCTCCATCTTCCGCCAACCCCACTCCCTCCCCATCATTCGCTGCAACCCCTCTTCCTCTCCCTCCACCCTCCACCATCCTCCCTCCCTCTCCACCACCCACCCCAACTCCTCTTCCCGAACCACGAGGTCGTACAGAGCGACGATTTCGGTGATCCCTCTGCGTCCGAGTGTCTCTCTCTGCACCACTCACCCCAACCTCTCTTCCCGAACCACGAAAACGCACAGTGCGACGACGCAGGCGGTCCCTCCGAATCCCCGTGTCTCTCTCTGCACCACTCACCCCTATCCCTCTTCCCGAACCACGCGAACGTACAGAGTGACGATTCAGGCGATCCCTCTGTCTTCGCGTGCGCCTAACCTGAAGCTCCAGGTGCTGCCTTTTTCGTTTCAGGTGGTTCTCCTTGTCATTCAGGAGCTCCTCCTGCTGCCTCAGGTGCAAATCTTGCCGTTCCCTTTCTTCCCTTATGTGATCCTCCTGCTGTCTCAGGTGCTCTTTCTGTTGCTTCAGGTGTTCCTCCCTCTGCCTCAGGTGGATCTCCTCCTCTTCCAGGAGAATCTCTTCCCGCCTCAGCTGCTTCATCTCTGTTGCCTTCAGGTGTTTTCTCAGCTTGCATCGCCGCAACTTCCTCCCCACAAAGTGATGCACCTTCGTGCTCAGGTACCTCTTCTGCTGCCTCAGGTGATTTTTCAGGTAGCCTCTCCTGTAACCAGCGCCCTCCCCCTCAATGACTCCTCCAACAGGCCTTCGCTTTCTCCTGTAACCAGCTCCCTCCCCATCAACGACTCCTCCAACAGGCCTTCGCTTTCTCCTGTAACCAGCTCCCTCCCCATCAACGACTCCTCCAACAGGCCTTCGCTTTCTCCTGTAACCAGCTCCCTCCCCCTCAATGACTCCTCCAACAGGCCTTCGCTTTCTCCTGTAACCAGCTCCCTCCCCCTCAATGACTCCTCCAACAGGCCTTCGCTTTCTCCTGTAACCAGCTCCCTCCCCCTCAATGACTCCTCCAACAGGCCTTCGCTTTCTCCTCACCGCTTCCCTTCGAAGCAACCCTCTTCTACGGGCCTCACTCGTTGCTGCACGCTCTGCACGCTCGTTGCTCCTCCACCGCTCTCGAATGCTTTGAACCGACTCAAACCAAGCCCCATTTTCCCTCACTTCCTTCCCCTTTCCCACACCACCTCGACCATCCACGTCACACCCATCCTCCTCCTCTTCCTTCACCTCACACTCATGCCCTCCCCCAATGCCCCCAGAAGCTCCCCCCTCCCCCTTCCATCCTCCACGCGCACTCCTCCCCGCTCCCCCCCCAGGCTGCCACCTCTCCTCTCCACTCTCGGCCCCAGCCTCTCCCTCCGCTCTTCCTCCTCCAGCCGCGCTGCCCTCCCCTTGGAACGGCAGCATCACTGCCTCCCCCATGCGGACCTCCCCCCTGGGAGGAAGGAATTGGAATTGGGGTGCCCCTTCCTCTCCCCACCGCCCTCCACAATCAGTTCCCTCCCCTTTAGAAGGGAGCCGATGGGGTACTAATTCCTGCTCTTCATTCCTCTCCTCCCCTCTCCTTTCCTCTTCATCCCTCATAGCATCTGCTCCCTCCTCCCCCCTCCCTCCCCCAGCCGTGCCAAAACCTTCTTGAAGCTGTGTCACTGCCCTTCCCACGCTGCTCTCCACATGGCCACACCTTTGAAGAAAGGGTAGGGGATCCTCCTCCCCTCCCTTTGAAGAAAAGGGATCCTCCTCCCCTCCCTTTGAAGAAAAGGGATCCCCCTCTTCGTCCCTCTCCTCCCCTCCCCTTCCTCCTTCATCTCTCCCCTCCCCTCCCCTTCCTCCTTCGTCCCTCTCCTCCCCTCCCCTTCCTCCTTCATCTCTCTCCTCCCCTCCCCTTCCTCCTTCATCCCTCTCCTCCCCTCCCCTTCCTCCTTCATCTCTCCCCTCCCCTCCCCTTCCTCCTTCGACCCTCTCCTCCCCTCCCCTTCCTCCTTCATCTCTCTCCTCCCCTCCCCTTCCTCCTTCATCCCTCTCCTCCCCTCCCCTTCCTCCTTCATCTCTCCCCTCCCCTCCCCTTCCTCCTTCGTCCCTCTCCTCCCCTCCCCTTCCTCCTTCATCTCTCTCCTCCCCTCCCCTTCCTCCTTCATCCCTCTCCTCCCCTCCCCTTCCTCCTTCATCTCTCCCCTTCCCTCCCCTTCCTCCTTCGTCCCTCTCCTCCCCTCCCCTTCCTCCTTCATCTCTCTCCTCCCCTCCCCTTCCTCCTTCATCCCTCTCCTCCCCTCCCCTTCCTCCTTCATCTCTCTCCTTCCCTCCCATTCCCTCTTCGTCCCTCTCCTCCCTGCTCCTTCCCTCTTTGCCCCTCACTGCACTCGTTCTCTCCTCACCTTCACGCCCCCCTTCCTGCCTAAAAGCCTCCTCGTTCCTCTCCTCCTCCCTCATTCCCTGTTCGCCCCTCTCATCCCCCCTCGTTCCCTCTTCCCTCTCTTCCTCCCTCCTCGCCTCTTCCTCCCTCCTCGCCTCCTCCTTCCTCTCCTCCCCGCTCCTCCCCTCTTCTTCCCTCTCCTCCCCCCTCCTCCCCTCTTCTTCCCTCTCCTCCCCCCTCCTCCCGTCTTCTTCCCTCTCCTCCCCCCTCCTCCCGTCTTCTTCCCTCTCCTCCCCCTTCCTTCCCTCTCCATCACTCTCCTCCCTCCTCGCCTCTTTGCCCTTCTCCTCCTCCCTCCTTCCCTCTCCCCCACTGACGAAATCACCCTCCTTCTCGCCTCCATGCCTCCCCACCTCTCCCCCATCCGCCCTTTTCCCCTTCTTCCCCTCATGCGCACTCTTTACCCAACCCCCGCTCCCCACCACCCCACCAGACACACCAATTACCCTCCCTCCACTCCTCCTTTCCGTGCCATGCTGCGTACCTACAAGCCGCGCCATGTCCCCAGTTGACTTTTGAGTCGACTCAAAAGTCAACTGCGTGCCTACAAGCCGCGCCATGCCCCCACTCCCCCCCTCCTGACAACGCTGCTTCCTTGCACGCTGCAGCTTCTCCCCTCTTCCCCCCTCTCCGCAATGCTGCTTCCTTGCATGATGCAACATGTGGTCTCGACGCTTGAAGGTCCGAGAGCAGTGGGGATGAGGGCATGGGTGCTGATGATTAAAGGGGGGGGGGGGGTGGGGGGTGGGAAGAGAAAACAGGGAGAGGAAACTCAAGACGCCCTGAATAAGGCAAAATGCAACACCCTTGCATGCTGCTTCCTTGCATGATGCACCATGTGGTCGTGTCGCTTGAAGGTCCGAGAGCAGTGGGGATGAGGGCATGGGTGCTGGTGAATACCGGAGAGAGTAGGGGTGGGGAAGAGAACAGGTAACGGAGAATTGAACAGCACCAATTAGACCGTATCGTGGCATCCTTGCAACTAGACCAATCAGACTGCTGACGACAGATTTTGAGTCGCTTAAGAGTCACCTCGATGCTGCTTCCTTGCAATCAGGCCAATGAGACTGCTGACGGCAGTAAACTCCATGTCTCCTTGATAGAAGCAGAAGCAGAGCTCAAGAGAAGTTGACGACATCGTAGGAGAGGCGAGAGAGGGAGGAGTTGCCATTTGAGTCGACTCAAAAGGAGGAGCTGACTTTTGAGTCGACTCCAAAAAGCAGAAGCAGAGCTCAAGAGAAGTTGACGACATCGTAGGAGAGGCGAGAGAGGGAGGACGGGTGAAGAAAGCGAAGGGGATGGGATGGGAAAATGCAATATGGACAGGAAGGGATGGTGGAAGGGGACGAGGACAAGGAGGGAGTGAGAGGAGAGAAAGAGGAGGAGCGAGAGAGGAGGAAAAGGGAGAGGAAAGGGAACAGGGGGACGAGGAAAAGAAATAGGGAGAAGAGGAACGGGGACAGGGGGAAGACGCAAGGAGAAAAGGGGAATGGAGAGGGAGGTGGGGAGCGAGGAGGAGAGGATGAGAGAGGAAAACTGACCCGGGGAGCATTAGGGTTGTGCACTAGAAGGTGCCTCGTTAACCAGCAGTTGAGTGCGAATGCCTTTGGGCAATTTTCATGAGGACACACGAACTGCAGTGGGCGAGGGAAGGAAGCAAGAACATTTGCGCTTATTCTTTGACCCATTTTCATGCGGATGGACACACCAACTGATGCAGTGGAAGCGACGAGGCAATGAGGGAACATGCGGACGAGGGGACGAGGGTAAGACAGACTTTTGAGTCGACTCAAAAGTCACCTCGTTACAATGGCACACGACACTTTTTGAGTCGACTCAAAAGTCACCTTGCAGTGGAAGTGACGAGGCAATGAGGGAACATGCGGACGAGGGGACGAGGGTAAGACAGACAGGAAAACATGTCGAGGCAGGATTATAGACAAGGAGCCCTGAGGGTGTGTGAGAAAGGGAGAGGATGAATGAGTGCGTGAGCAAATGAGCGAGCAAAGTGAGTGAGTGGTCGAGAGAGCGAGAGATTCAATGAGTGAGTGAGTGGGAGAGTGGGAGAGTGAGAGAGTGAGAGTGAGTGCGGGAGAGAGAGAGTGAGAGGGTGAGTGAGGGAGCGAGTGAGTGAGTGAGAGCGTGAGGGAAACACACCTGCTTTGAGTGGGTGGCCATGTGTTTCTTGAACTTTGCCTTTTGAGAAAACGCAATCCCACACTCCTCACAATGCAGCATCTTTGCATGCCGCACCATGTTGCCTCGACGACTGAATGTCCAAGAGCAGAGGGGATGAGGGCATGGGTGCTGGTGGTTTGGGGGTGGGAGGTGGGAGGTGGGGGGTGGGGATAGAAAACAGGGAGAGGAAACACAAGACGCCTTGATAAAGCCCCAATTCAGCATCTTTGCATGCCGCAGCATGTTGCCTCGGAGATTGAAGGTCCACGGGCAGTGGGGATGAGGGCATGGGTGCTGGTGATTGCGGGGAGGGTGGGGGCGGGAATAGAAACAGGGAGGGGACATACAAGCCGCAATTTTTGAAGGGGACGGGGAAGTGGACAAGGATTATAAGGGAGCGAGAGGAGAGGAAGAGGAAAAAGGAAAATGCTGGGAAAGGAAAATGCTGGGAAAGGAAAAAGGAAAGGATTATGAGGGAGCGAAGGAAAACAAAAGGGAGCCACAATTTTTGAAGGGGACGGGGAAGTGGACAAGGATTATGAGGGAGCGAGAGGAGAGGAAGAGGAAAAAAAAAAAAAAAAAAAAAAAAAAAAAAAGAGGGGGAGAGAACGAGGGCAGCTTACTTGGGGGGCATTTGGGAAGATGCTGGGGTTGTCAACTTGTGGAAACGGAGAAGGGGGCAGGGGAAGGGGGGAGAGGGGGGAGAGGAAGGGGACAGAGGGGGGAGAGGAAGGGGGGAGAGGGGGGGGGAGAGGGAGGAATGGGATTTGGAAGGAGAGAAGGAGCGAGAGAAGCTCACGTGGGGGGCATTGGAGTTGTGAAGGAGAAGATGATCCTTCATCTTGTACTCGAATGCGAAAGCCTTTTGGCAGTTGGCATGCGGACAGACGAACTGCAGTGGACGGGGCATTAAGGGATGGAAAAAGGAATTGTAGAGAAACAGCTCGCACTTATTCGACCGCACTGCTGCTTCCTCGGATGCTGCTTCCTTGGCAATTGGCATGTGGACAGACGAACTGCTAAGGACGAGGCAAGAAGGGATGGAGGGGACTAAACGAGAAATAAACGAGTGGGAAAGTGTGAGTTGAAGGGAGAGAGTGTGTGAGTGCGAGTGAGTGAGTGAGTGAGTGAGTGAGCGATGGAGTGAAGGAGGGAGGGAGGGAAGCACACACACACCTTCTTCGAGTGGGTGGCCATGTGATTCCATAACCGTGCCGACAGAGGAAACGTCTTTCCACACTCCTCACACGTATGGACCTTCTCATGCCCCCCCTTCCCCCTCTCCTTCTTCCCCTTCCTCTCCCCTTTCTCCTCCTTCTCCTTCCCCTTCCCACTCTCCTTCCCCTTCCTCTTTGGCTTCCCCTTCTTCACCTTACCTGCCCCCCTCTCTCCCTCCTGACCCTCCACCTCCCTTGTCGGCCTTGTTTCCCCAATTCCCATTCGACCCTCCCCCATCCCACTACCATCATCCGCCAAAACTCCTCCCTCCCTCCCACCACCCCGTAACCCCCTCCTGCCCCCCCCCCTGCGGCATCCTCCTGTTTCCACCGCATTTTTCCCCTTTCTCCCTCCCCCCTGCCCAGCTTCCCCCGCTGCTCCCCCAACCCGCGGAACGCCTTCCGCTCGCGCGCCTTCAACCGCAGCCTCCGCGCCATTCAGCCGCGCGGGAACAGGCGGAACGGGCGGAACCGGCGCAACCCCCCTCTCATTCAGCCCCTGCGCGGGAACAGGCGGAAGATCCGCGCAATTCCGCTGCGCCAGACGAGGCGAAAGCCGCCGCGCGTAGCACCGCAGAGGCGGCGGGCCGTTCCGCGGATTCGCGGGTCCAAGAATCACGCTGATGCCCGTTGGAAGGCCGCTCGTATCCCGCCGCGATTCCATCAGGAATCTGCCGCCCGTTCCACGTGGGAGTGATTCCCGCCCTCTCGCAAGCAGCTTAGCACCCTACTAGACGTGATTTGTTTTTTTCCGAGGTGACTTGCGAGTCGATCACCAGTCAACTACACAGTGAAGATATTTTCCCTCAAAAAAATCGTGTTACTATCACACTGGCGCGGTTTAATCGCCTCCGCTACGCCGCTCTGCACTAGAATCCCGCTCGTTCGATTTTTTAGGCGCCTCAAGAATCCCGCCCGTGCAATACACCAAGCGCCGCGCCGTGCATCAAACATGACCCCGCACTCTCCCGATATGCCCCTCCTCTCTAACATATATTCTCCCCCTCCCCCTCGCTCTCTAGCGGGAAACGATAAGAACGCTGACGGGAAAGAAACGGGACCGTTTCTGTCTGTTCGAGGCGAAGGGCCGTGGCAAATCGCGCAATTTTCGAAATTCGCACCCCTCTTGCCAGCAAAAGCTGGGCAAGGACGAGATTTCGCTGCAATGGGGACGGCGAACTGTTACATCAGTGCTCCGACATTGGCTGCCCGCACTAATGGGGCAGGTGAAGAAAACAAGTTGGAAATGTGAATTCCATATATACATGTTTACAGGTTTCTGTACAACGTAATAGATTTACGGAAGGGAGAGCAAGGGAGATAGTGAGGTACGTACGTCCCATACCACTCAACTGTCATGAAATTCGAAATGTCAAATATTCGTTTTTGTATTAAGATTTTGTTTCGCATTACATTACAAAACCCATAACTTGTTTCGTATGCATACTTATATATTGCTTATATTGTTCATATGGTTATGCCAGGGTGAGGCACGTGGGGTGACAGGGTGCTTCTCCTGCTTGTCTCCTGCATTCCTCCAACCTCTCCCCTTCCTCCCCCAAAACCACGCTCCATCCTCTCTCTACTCCTTTCACCACCACCCCCACCTCCTCTCCCTCCACTCACCACTCCCTTGTTTTCTCAATTCTTCACCACTCCCCCCCTCCACTCCCTCCATCTTTCACCCCACCATTCTTCTCTCTCATCTTTCACCACCCTCCCTCCTCATCCCTCTCCTCAACCCCGCCCTCCAAACCACAAGCACATATACAACAGCAACCCAGGCGATCCTTCCGAATCTGTGTGCGTCTCACCTGAAGCTCCAGGTGCTGTCTCTTACGCTTCAGGTGCTCCTCCTGCCGCTTCAGGTGCTCGTTCTGTTGCTTCAGGTGCTCTTCCTTCTGCCTCAGGTGAATCTCTTCCTCCTCCAGAATCTCTTTCTCTTGCTCCAGGTGCCCCGTCTCTGTTGCCTTCAGGTGTTTCCTCGGCTTGCATCGGCACCTTCTCCTCCCCACAAAAAAATGCACCTTCGTAGTCAGGTACCTCTTCGGCTTCCTCTGATGACTTCTCAGGTGGGTTTTCAGGTGGCTTATTCTGGAACCAGGCCCTTCCCCTTCAACCCCTTCCCTAACACGCCTTCTCTTTCTCATTGTCTCTCTCCTTGAAAAACCCTCTTCTCTGGGTGCGCCAACTGCTGCTACACGCTCGTCTCCCGTCCACCGCTCTTGATTGCATTTAGTTGACTCAAAGCAAGCCCCTCTTTCTGCACCGTGCCTGCTCCTCTTTTGCCCCTCCTGCACGGTTGTGTGCTTCTCAATAGTTGCATGCCCCTCTTGCCGTACCTCCTCTTGCCGCACCTCCCCTTGCCGCACCTCCTCTTGCCGCACCTCTTCTTGCCGCGCCTCCTCTTGCCGAACCTCCCCTTCCCGCGCCTCCTCTTGCCGCACCTCCTCTTGCCACACCTCCTCTTGCCGCACCTCCTCTTGCCGCACCTCTTCTTGCCGCGCCTCCTCTTGCCGAACCTCCCCTTCCCGCGCCTCCTCTTGCCACACCTCCTCTTGCCGCACCTCCTCTTGCCGCACCTCCTCTTGCCGCGCCTCTTCTTGCCGAACCTCTTCTTGCCGCGCCTCCTCTTGCCGCACCTCCTCTTGCCGCACCTCTTCTTGCCGCGCCTCCTCTTGCTGAACCTCCCCTTCCCGCGCCTCCTCTTGCCGCACCTCCTCTTGCCGCACCTCTTCTTGCCGCACCTCCTCTTGCCGCGCCTCTTCTTGCCGCACCTCTTCTTGCCGCGCCTCCTCTTGCTGCACCTCCGCTTGTTGCTCCGCCGTGGTTTGGGGCACCTCATAAGTTGTGTGCGCCTCTTGCTCAGATGCCGCACCTTCCTCCTTCCTTCCATCCATGCCCTCTCTTACCCCCTCCCTGTTTTCTCCTTCCTCTGCCCTGCCCATTTCATCTTTGCTCTCCCCTCCTCTCGTTTTCTCTTCCTTCACCCCTCGTCCCCATTCCTCTGCCCTCTCCCATCCTCCTCTTTCCTCTGACCTACCCCCCTCCTCCTCTGCTTCTTCTCTGCTCCCTTCTTGCCTCATTCGATCGCTCCCTCTCCCCCAATATATTCCTACCGTCCCACCTTCCACCAACCTCTCAACCTCTCCCACCAACCTACCTTCTTCGAACTCCCCACTTTCTCCCAACCCCACATCTTCCCCTAATTCTTCCCTTACTCCTTCCCTCACTTCCTCCCCCACTTGATCCCCCTTCCCCATTCCATCTCGAAAGTCTACCTTACACGCATCCTCCTCTCTCTCACACTGATTCATCGCCCCACTTCCCACGCCGCCCTCCCCTCCGGGACGGACGGGAAGGGGTGCTCCCTCCTCCTCATCCCTCACAGCATCGCCTCCCTCCTCCTCATCCCTCACAGCATCGCCTCCCTCCTCCTCATCCCTCACAGCATCGCCTCCCTCCTCCTCATCCCTCACAGCATCGCCTCCCTCCTCCTCATCCCTCACAGCATTGCCTCCCTCCTCCTCCCTCACAGCATCGCCTCCCTCCTCCTCCCTCACAGCATCGCCTCCCTCCTCCTCCTCCCTCACAGCATTGCCTCCCTCCTCCTCCCTCACAGCATCGCCTCCCTCCTCCTCCCTCTCCTCCCCAATCTCCCCTTGAAGCCAGACCACTGTCATTTCCACACCGCTGTCCACCCATCTTCCTCCCACAGAAACGATACGAGCTCCTTCCTTCTCATCTTCCCTCTCAGCATCAGCTTTTCCCTCCCCTCTCCCTTCTCCATCCGCGATCCCCATCCCTTGCATTTGCATCAGTAACCTTCCCACACTGCACTCACTCATGGGTGGGACAGGAGGCAGTGCTCCCTCCTCTTCATCCCCCTCCTCCTCATCCTTCTCCTCTCCTCCCTCTTCATCCTTATCCTCCTCCCTTCTCCTTTCCTCTTCGCCACGCACATCAGTCAGTTCCGTCGCACATCCATGCTCCCCTTCCTCCCTGTAAGCCCCTTTGTCCCTGACCTCCCCCTTCCTTCCAACTTCACCCTTCTCCTCCCCCGTCCTTCCCTCCTCCTCCCTCTCCTCCCCAATCCTTCCCTCCTTTTCGTTCCCCTTCCCTCCCTCTTCATCCTTCTCCTCCCCCCTCTTCCCCTTTTCCTCTCTCACATCACTCGCTTCCTTCTCCCCTCCATGCCCCCCTTCCTCTCTGGGAGCCTCTTTGTTTCCTTCCCCCTCCCACCTTTCCTCCTTCACAGGAAGCGACAGGGGTACTTCCTCTGCATCCATCTCGCCGTCTCCCCTTCCCTCTTCATCCCTCTCCTCCCTCCTCTCCCCCTCTTCTTCCCGCTCCTCCCCCCGCCTTCCATCTTCCCCACTCACAGCATCAGCCTTATTTTCGCCTCCACGCCTTCCCACCGCCCCCCCATGTGCTCTCTTCCCCCGCTTCCCCCAACACGCACTCCTTACCCCACACCCACTCCCCCTCCCCCCACCAAACACATCAATCACCCCGTCTCCCCCACTCCCTCTCACCGCCCAGCGCTGCTTCCTTGCACGCTGCAGATGCTCCCCACTCCCGCCCTCTCTGCAATGCTGCTTCTTTGCATGATATAGCATGTGATCTTGGCGCTTGAAGGTCCGAGAGCAGTGGGGATGGGGGCATGGGTGCTGGTGATTGGGGGGGCATGGAGAGGAATGGAGGACCAAGGACTAATTTATCAATGAAGGACCATTCGAGGCATGGAGAGAGCATGTGTGCACGGAGATTCGTGAGAGGGCCGAGAGGGGCATGCAACTGGAAAAGGCAGTAAGGAGTAGGCGTGGCGAGAGGAACGCCAAGAGGAAGAGGAAGAGGAAGAGGAAGTGGAGGGAGTGTGAGGAGACATAGAGAAGGAACAAGCAGAGAGGATGGTGGAAAAAAGGAAGGCAGAACCTTGATGATGGAAAGAGGAAGGGAAGAATGTGGGTGGGGGGAGGGGGAGAGCAAGTGAAACCCACCCGGGGAGCGTTTGGGTTGTGCACGATCAAGTGTCTCTGTAAGTGGGAATCACATGCAAACGCCTTCTTGCAGTCAGCATGTGGGCACACGAACGACGACTGCAGCTGGTCAGGAGCGATCAGGTGCCTCTGTAACCGGTAATCTGATGCTAAGACCTTGAGGTTTAAGAGGAGAGAAGCAGCAGGAACGACCGACCTCTGCAGATGGGGAGGAGGGAGGGAGAGAGGAAGTGAGGGAGTGAGTGAGTGAGTGAGGGATGAAGGGATTGAGGGGGTGAGTGAGTGAGCGAGCGAGTGAGTGAGCAAGTGAGCAAGTGAGTGAGTGAGCGAATGAGCAAACCACACCACGAATGACTGACCTCTGAAGAGGAGAGAAACGAGGACTCAGTGAGGAAGTGAGGGAGTGAGGAAATGAGCAAATCACACCTGCTGCGAGTGAGTGGTCATGTGATTCCTCAACGTTGACTTTTCAGAAAGCTCCTCCTCAGATGCGTAGGATTGGTTTGTCTGTTCCTGTCTCTCCACTGTCCGCCACTCCTCCCTCTTCCTTCTCTCTCCTTCCCTCTCCTCCCCCTTCTCACCCTCCTCCTCGTCCCTCTCCTCCCCTCTCCTTTCCTCTTCGTCCCTCTCCTCCCCTCTCCTTTCCTCTTCGTCCCTCTCCTCCCCTCTCCTTTCCTCTTCGTCCCTCTCCTCCCCCCTCCTTCCCTCCTCGTCCCTCTCCTCGCCCCTCTCTCCCGATTCCCCCCTCACAGCCTTAACCCCCTTTCCTCCATGCCTCCCCACCGCTCCCTTACGCGCTCTCTTCCCCTTCCTTCCCCACCCTTTCAACTCAATGCTTAACCCGCCACCACTCCTCCCTTCCCCGCACGGAACACCATTTTCCCTGCCACTAGTCCCCCTTTCCTCGCAATGATCCGTCCTTGCATGCTGCATCATCTTCCCAAACCCCCCCTCCCCGCAGTGCTCCGACCTTCCCTGCTGCAGATGCTTCCCACAGTCCTCCATCCTTGCATGCTGCAGCTTCTTCCCACACACCCCCCTTACACGGTGCAGCTGCTTCCCACTCCCCCCCTCCCCACAGTGCTCCGAAATTTCATGGTACACCAGAGCATGTCGGTACTTGAAGGTTCGGGCGCAGTGGGGATGCGAACATGAGAGCGAACATGAGAGCGAACATGAGAGCTGGTGATTGGGAAGGGAGGATGGGGACGAAAACAGGGAAAGAAACACAAGACACATTGATCAAGCCGCGAATGCTGAGGGGGGGAGTAAGGAAAGGAAAGTGAAGAGGGGAGGGGGGGAGGGTGAAAGGCCAATATGGAGAGGAAGGGATGTGACGAAGAGGATTGGAAAGAGGAACAGGAAGGAGTGAGAACATGAGAAAGTGAGAAAAAATAGAAAAATGAGGGGGGGTTCACAAGAAAATGAGGGGGGTGAGAGCAAGGGGAGCTCACTAGAGCAGCATTGGGATTGTGCACACAAGAAGGTGCCTAGCTAGGAAATCGGTCTTCACGCATTGAGAAAGTGGGGGAGAATGGGGAGGAAAAGGGGGGCTGAGAGCAAGAAGAGATTACCCGAGGGGTATTGGGTTTGTGCAGGAGAAGGTGCCTTGCTAGACGGTGATTACTGGCGAAGGCCTTGAGGCAGCCTGCACGCGGACACACAAACGACCACTGCAGCGGTGCAACGGACAAAGGAGCAACGGTGAGATGACACCGGGGATGAGTGAGATGGCACCGAAGACCTGAAACAGTGTAACTGTTTTCGAGGCGACTCAAAAGTGAGAATACAGAAGAGCGTGGGTGACCGAGTGAGTGAGGCGAACGCACCTGCTTCGAGTGGGTGCTCAAGTGTGTCTTTAAAGTTGTCCACCGACCAAACGCCTTCCCACATGCTCTGCACGCATAGCGCTTCTCCTGCCCCCCCTCCCCGTCCTCCTCATCCTCCTCCTCCCTCTCCTTCTCCACTGTTCCTCTCCCCCTTTCTCTCTCTTTTTCCTCCTCCCTTCCCTTCCTCGTCAATCCTTCGTTCTCCTTCCCACTCTCACCAGATAACTCGTTAAAATCTCGCCACCTATTGTCCCCTATTGGCACTTCCACCACATCATCATCCTCCTCTTCTTCCTCACACTCTCTCCCACACTCCTCCTCACTCTCCCTCCCACACTCCCCCACACACTCCAATCCACACTCCAGCCTACACTCCCCCACACACACCACTTCATCCTCCTCCCCATCTTCATTTACCTCTTCCCCCTCCGCGACCTCTTCCCCCTTCCCGACCTCTTCCCCCATCCCCGCATCTTGCCCTTCAACCACCTCTTTCCCCCCCGCATGTGACCCTTCCGCCCATCCTCTTCCTCCCTCTGACCCGCAAACCCCCATGCGACCATCCCCCATCCCACCACCGACCGCCCCCATCACCACTCCCTCTGTCTCACCACCCCATATCCCCTCCCCGGCGCACTTCCCCCCGCCCTCCCCACCACCCTCCCCGCGGCTTCCCCCTGCTTCCGCCACATCCCGCTTCTTCCCTCGTTCCCCCTGCTCATCCTTAACCGCTTCTCCCCAGACCCGCAGAATCCATTGCGCTTGCGGGGCTTCAAGCAAAAGCTCCGCGTCATTTCCCTTTGCGGGAACGGGCGGAACGGGTGGAACCGGCGGAACCGCCGCGTCATGCTGCCGCTGAGCGGGAACAGGCGGACCCTCCGTGCCATTCCGCTGCGCGAGACGAGGCGGAAGCCGCAGGGAGTAGAACCAGAAAGGCGGCGGGCCGTCCGGCAAATTCGCGCCTTCGAATGACCCGCCGATACGCGTTACAAGGCGCATGGAATCTTGTACCGTTACCCGCAAGTCCATTCCCAGCCTCTCTCCAGCACGCTTCTAGACGTTAATTTTACTCCCGCGGCTTGGCGCGGTACCGACGGGGCAATGCGGACCCGCGCAGTGTGCTACAGTAGTACTGTCGCACCCGCACGGCGCCCTCTTACTACAGGCACAGTAACTTGCGGAACGGCGCAGCGTACCCTATGCTCTATCACTCTCGCAACGGCGCCCTCTTACTACAGGGACAGTATTATCACACCGGCGGTTATTTATCCCCGCGGCTTGGCGCGGTGCTGACGAGGCAATGCGGAACCGCGCAGTGTACTCTATACTTTATCGCTCCCGCGACGGCATCCCCTTACTAACAGGTACAGTACTATCACACCAGCGTTCATATATTCCCGCGGATTGGTGTGGTACTGACGGGGCAATGCGGAACCGGCGCAAGCACGCCCGCAACGGCGCGGGCTCTCCTCTACTTTGCAGGAACTGGGAGTTGTTCTAAACGATAGAGCTCTGTCTTAGCTTTCCAACGAGCCGTCAAACACGTCGATCGCCTAAGTATTCTCCGAGATATAGGCGTTCACGTGCTAGGTGGTGCTCTTGAATGCAAGTAAAGAAGCTCTCTGGAATTTGTGTTCGAATGTACCTTGTACAAAGAACTCTGAGTTTCACTATGATGGTATGCAATACAAAGAAAACAGATTTATAGCATGCAAACAAGATCGAATCGCACAAGTAACCTCGAACCGCTACACTCGCGAATGTTCGAGTAACATCGAAAGGGTGAAATTCGACTCTCGAATTTCACCGATCCGAATTCTCCTTGGGTCTCGAATGTTCCTGGTGCTGCCATGTGGCACCGAATCGAATGGGTCTTCCGAAGTCAATCCTCAACCCCACGCAAACCTGCAACTCACTCGAAGGTGAGCACAAGTCACACATTCGGTGGGTTGGGGGCATACAAACGTCCCACCACCACCTTGCTTCCAACACACGTAATCTCCAACAGAACCGCGCAGTGTACTCTATACTTTATCGCTCCCGCGACGGCATCCCCTTACTAACAGGTACAGTACTATCACACCAGCGTTCATATATCCCCGCGGATTGGTGTGGTACTGACGGGGCAATGCGGAACCGGCGCAAGCACGCCCGCAACGGCGCCCCTTTACTGCAGGTACAGCTATATCACACCGGCGTTTCTTTACTCCTGGCACTTATTTATTCCCGAGGATTGGCGGGGCACCGGCGGGGCATTGCGGAACGACGCAGCAGTATACTCTATACTTCGCTCCCGCAACGGCATCCCCTACTAACAGGTACAGTAGTATCACACTAGCGTTTCTTAATTCCCGCGGATTGGCGGGGTATCGATGGGGCAATGCGGAACCGACGGGGCAATGCGGAAAGGCGCAATGTGCTCTGCACTCTATCACACCCGCAGCGCCACCCCCTTACTAAACGGTACAGTAACATCACACCCGCGCGGTATTCCAAACCAAACCCCGCGCAATGCAGCACTTACCGTATCCGCTCACGCGGTATACTCTGTCGGTCAAATATAACTTCTCTTGCACGTGGTATACCCAATCCGTTCAAGCGGCCCGCAGCGCAGCGAGAATCTCGGAAGGTGAGGTGTTGGCGAAGCGCGAACGGGATGCTGTAAAACTGCAGGGTGTGAACAAATGCTAGGAAATTGGCACCCCAAAATTTTTGCGATTCGCGACATTGGCTGTCCCACGATTTGCCATGTTTCCTAAGCGCTGGGATAGAAAACATCCTCAAAGAAATTGCAACGGAAAATTATGCACGCTTTTTCAAACAATTCTCTATTTGTGAGGGCAGGAATGGAACTCCCTCCCTTCATCATACAAGCGAGCTCGGTTCAAGAAAAAAAAAATGCTGAAATTGGCGTAAGACATTGCCTTGCATGCCATCATGACGCAAAACATTTATAACTTACTCATTTTATTCACATGATTAAGGCAAAGCGGGGCACATTGAGGAGTTGTATTGTATCCCTCCCCAACTTGTCCCCTTTCTGCTGCTTCAGCCCATGGGGCAGAGCCGGCACTTCCTCTCCCTTCACTCACCACACCACCACTCCTCCCTTCTCTCTTCATCCTTCACCATCCCCCTCCAGTCCATCCATCTTTCACCCCAACCAGTCTTCAATCTCATCTTTCACCACCCTCCCTCCTCTCCACCCGTCTACCCCTCCTCTCCCTCCATCAAACCCTCCTCTCCCTCCATCTTCCGCCAACCCCACCCCCTCCCCATCACGCACCACAACCCCTCTTCCTCTCCCTCCATCCTCCACCATCCTCCCTCCCTCCTCATCCCTCTCCTCAACCCCTCTCCTTAAACCACAAGAACACAAACAGCTACAGCAACTCAGGCGTTGCTTCAAAATCCGCGTGCGTCTTACCTGAAGCTCCAGGTGCTGCCTCTTACGCTTCAGGTGCTCCTCCTGCTGCCTCAGGTGCTCTTTCTGTTGCTTCAGGTGTTCTTCCACCTGTCTCAGATGGGTTTCTTCCTCCTTCAGGAGCTCCTCCTCCTGCCTCAAGAGCTTCTCCTCCTGCCTCCTGCGTTTTCTCAGCTTCCACTGGCACCCTCTCCTCCCCACGAAATGGTGCACCTTTGTGCCCAGGTATCTCTTCTGCTGCCTCAGGTGATTCTCCAGGTGGTTTTCCCTGCAACCACCTCCCTTCCCCTCGGCACAATCTCCTTCAACACACATTCTCTTTCTCATCGCCCCTCCCATTTGAAGCCATCCCCTTCCACAATCCCAATCCTCACTTGCAGCCGCACGCTCATGGCTTGTCCAGGGCTCTTGAATGCATCGTGTTTTGAGACGTCTCAAAACACGCTCATGGCTTGTCCAGGGTTCTTGAATGCATCGACTTGACTCCAAGCAAACCTTGTTTGTCGCATCTTCCTCTTCAGCATGCCGCTTCCTCTTCCATCTCTCCTGCACGCCCCTCTGCGCCTCTTGATTAGCCCATCTTCCTCCCTCTTCCTCCTCTGCTCCCTCCTCTGCTACCTCCTCTGCTCCCTCCTCTACTACCTCCTCTGCTCCCTCCTCTGCTCCCTCCTCTGCTCCCTCCTCTTCCCCCTCCTCTTCCCCCTCCTCTTCCCCCTCCTCATCTCCCTCCTCTACTCCCTTCTTTTCCGCCTCGTCTTCCCCCTCCTCGTCTCCCTCCTCTGCTCCCTCCTCTGCTCCCTCCTCTGCCTTCTCCTCTGCTGCTCCCACCTCCTCTCCCTCTGCTCCCACCTCTGCTCCCTCCTCTGCTCCCTCCTCTGCTCCCTCCTCCTCTCCCTCCTCTGCTCCCCCCCCTGCTACCTCCTCAGCTCCCTCCTCTGCTCCCTCCTCTGCCCTCTCCTCTGCTGCTCCCTCCTCCTCTCCCTCCTCTGCTCCTTCCTCTGCTCCCTTCTCTCCTCCCCATTCTGCTCCGTCATCTTCTCCCTCCTCTGCTCCCTCCTCTTCTCCCTTCTCTGCTGCCACATCTGCTCCCACCTCTACTCCCGCCTCTTCTCCCACCTCTGCTCCCTCCTCTGCTCCCTCCTCTGCTCCCTCCTCTGCTCCCTCCTCTGCTCCCTCCTCTGTTCCTTCCCCTGCTCCTTCCTCTGTTCCCTCCCCTGCTCCCTCCTTTGCTCCCTCCTCTTTTCCCTCCTCTGCTCCCTCCTCCGCTCCCTCCTCTTCTCCCTCCTCTGCCTTCACCCCTGCTCCCTCCTCTGCTCCCACCTCTTCTCCCTCCTCTGCTCCCTCCTCTGCTCCCTCCTCCGCTCCCTCCTCTCCTCCCTCCTCTTCTCCCTCCTCTGCTCCCTCCTCTGCTCCCTCCTCTGCTCCCTCTCCTGCTCCCTCCTCTGTTCCCTCCTCTGCTCCTTTCTCTGCTCCTTCCTCTGCTCCCTCCTCTTTTCCCTCCTCTGCTCCCTCCTCTTTTCCTTCCTCTGCTCCCTCTTCTGCTCCCACCTCTGCTCCCTCCTCTTCTCCCTCCTCTGCTCCCTTATCTGCTTCCCCCTCTCCTTTCACTTCTGCTCCCTCCTCTTCTCCCACCTGTGCTCCCACCTCTGCTCCCTCCTCTGCTCCCTCCTCTGCTTCCTCCTCTTCTCCCTCCTCTGTTCCTTCCCCTGCTCCTTCCTCTGTTCCCTCCTCTGTTCCCTCCTTTGCTCCCTCCTCTGCTCCCTCTTTTGCTCCCTCCTCTTTTCCCTCCTCTGCTCCCTCCTCCGCTCCCTCCTCTTCTCCCTCCTCTGCTCCCTCATCTGCTTCCACCTCTTCTCCCTCCTCTGCTCCCTCCTCTGATCCCTCCACCGCTCCCTCCTCTCCTCCCTCCTTTTCTCCCTCCTCTGCTCCCTCCTCTTCTCCCTCCTCTTCTCCCATCTGTGCTCCCACCTCCGCTCCCCCCTCTGCTCCCTCCTCTTCTCCCTCTTCTGCTCCCTCCTTTGCTCCTCTGCTCTCTGACAGGGATTGAGTTGCTGCTGCCTGCTCTGCTGCTCCCTGCTCTGTCCCCCTCCCTCCTCCACCATCGTTGCCCTCTTCTTGAATCTGCACCACTGCGTTTCCCGCGGTGCCCTCATTTTCAAAAACAAATTGCGCTGCTCCTTCCTCTTCCCTCCACCCTCTTCCGACCGTGCTGCACTCCCCTTGCCTCTGCCTCACTGCCCCTCCCACGCTGCACTCCCCTTCAAGCAGCACCGCTGCCCTTTCCATGTTGCCCTCTTTTCCAGAAAGGCATTGAGTTCCTCCTTCCTCTTCCCCGCTCCCTTCTCCAACCGCACTGCACTCCCCTTGAAGCTGCTCCCCTGCCCTTCCCGTGCTGCCTTCCCTGGAAGGAAGGGTATGGGGTCCCTCCTCTTCATCCCTCTTCTCCCCTCTCCTTCCCTCCTCTTCATCCCTCTTCTCCCCTCTCCTTCCCTCCTCTTCATCCCTCTTCTCCCCTCTCCTTCCCTCCTCTTCATCCCTCGTCTCCCCTCTCCTTCCCTCCTCTTCATCCCTCGTCTCCCCTCTCCTTCCCTCCTCTTCATCCCTCGTCTCCCCTCTCCTTCCCTCCTCATCCCTCGTCTCCCCTCTCCTTCCCTCCTCATCCCTCGTCTCCCCTCTCCTTCCCTCCTCATCCCTCGTCTCCCCTCTCCTTCCCTCCTCATCCCTCGTCTCCCCTCTCCTTCCCTCCTCATCCCTCGTCTCCCCTCTCCTTCCCTCCTCATCCCTCTTCTCCCCACTCACATCACTCGCTTCCTTATCGCCTGTATGCCTCCCCTCCTCCCTAAAAACCTCTTTGCTCCTCCCTTCCTCCCTCCACCTCTCTTCATCCCATTCCTCCCCCCGCCTTCCCTCTTCGCCCCTCAATTCACACGCTTCCTTCTCACCTGCACACCTCCCCTCCTCCCTAAAAACCTCTTCGTTCCTCCCTTCCTCCCTCATCTCTTCATCCCATTCCTTCCCCCGCCTTCCCTCTTCGCCCCTCAATCCACACGCTTCCTTCTCGCCTGCACACCACCCTTCCTCCATAAGAACCTCTTCGCTCCTCCCTTCCTCCCTCCTCTCTTCATCCCTCACCTCCCTTATCCTTCCCTCTTCCCCCCTCACAACACACGCCTTCTCCTCCCGTCCATGCCCCTCTTTCACCCTCCTTCCGTCGTCATCCCTCACCCTCCCCATCCTTCCCTCTTCCCCCCTCACAGCACATGCCTTCTCCTCCCCTCTCTGCCCCTCTTCCTCACTGCGAGCCTCTTTGTCCCTTCCCTCCTCTTCCCTCTCCTCCCCCTTCCGTCCCTCCTCTTCCCTCTCCTCCCCCTTCCGTCCCTCCTCTTCCCTCTCCTCCCCCCTCCTTCCCTCTTCTCCACTCTCAAAAGCTTTTTCCTTCTCCCCTCTATGCCCCCCTTCCTCCCTGGGAGCCTCTTCGTCCCTTCCCTCCTCTTCCCTCTGCTCCCCTCTCCTGCCCTCTTCTCCCCTCTGCTCCCCTCTTCTTCCCTCTTCTCCACTCACAAAAGTTTCTTCTTCCTCCCCTCCACGTCCCCTGTCCTCCCTGGGAGCCTCTCCGCTCCTTTCCAGCCCCCAGATTTCCTCCTCCACCCTCCTTTCCTCGTCGTCCCTCTTCTCCTCCCTCCACTCTCCTCCCCTCTCTTCCCCCCTCCTTTCCTCCGCCCCCATGCTTTTCTCCTCGTCCCTTTTCTCCTCCCTCCTTCCCTCTTCTCTCCTCTCCTCCGCCGTCCTTCTCTCTCCTTCCCTCTCCTCTTCCCTCCTTTCCCAACCGCTCCTTCGCCCTTCACCCCTCTCCTCCTCCGTCTCTCCTTCCTCACATCTCTCCTCCCCCCTTCTTTCCTCTTCCCCACTCACAAACTCACCCTCCTCCTCGCCTTCATGCCTCCCCACCTCCCCTCCATGCGCCCTCTTCCCCTTCTTCCCCCCATCCGCACTGCTTACCCCCTGCCCACTCCCTCCCTCCCTGCAATTCCGCAACCATGCGTACCGCATCATGTCCCCACTCCCTCCTTCACTGCACTGCCACCGTGCGTACCGCATCATGTCGCCACTCCCTCCCTCCCTGCACTGCCACCGTGCATGCCGCATCATGTCGGCTCGATGCTTGAAGGATCGAGAGCAGCGGGGATGAGGGCATGAGTACTGGTGGTTCCGTGGGGAGTGGAGGGGGGAGGGGAGAAGGTGTGAGAGCAATGCGGATGAGGCATGAATGCTGGTAATTTTGTGGGAAGTGGAAGAGGAAGGGGGGAAAGAAAACAGGTTACGAAGAATCATTTAACACTTGTTAGACCGAGGGCAGTAGATTTTTGAGATGTCTCAAGGGGCAGAAATTGTAATTAGACTGCCGAGGGCAATGGACTTATGAGACGAGGGCAGTAGACTTATGAGTCTTATCAAGAGGTAGGGATTGTAATTAGACTGCCGAGGGAAGTAGACCCTATGACTCTGAAGGGGAAGAGGACAAAGAGGGAATGGGAGGAGGAAAAGAGGGGGAGCACGAATGGAGGGAGACGAATTTCAAGGAATGAGGAATGAGGTACATTAGGGAAGAGGAAAGGAAAGAGGGGAAAGAGGAAAGGAAAGAGGGGAAAGAGGAAAGGAAAGAGGGAAGAGGAAAGAAAGAGGGGAGAGAGAGGCAAAGAGCAAAGGGAAACTGGGAAGGAGACGGGGGAGAGTGGGGAGGAGAGGAGAGAGAAATACTAACCCGAGGAGCATTGGGGTTGTGCACTAGAAGGTGCCTTGTTAACAGGGAGTTGATTGCAAAAGCCTTTTGGCAATTGTCATGCGGACACACGAACTGCAGTGGACGGGACGAGGAGACGAGGGGAAGACGGGAGCATGTCGAACCGGAGCCTTTTTGGGGACTTTTGAGGCGCCTCAAAAGCCTTTGTTGCGCTCCAAGTTTTGGAACCAAAAACAGGGCGCCGTGAGAGATCAGAGCGGGATGATAGACAAGGAGCATTCTGGGTGTGTGAGAAAGGGAGAGGATGGGTGAGTGCGTGAGAGAGTGAGCAAGCAAGTGAGTGAGTGGCTGAGAGAGTGAGCGAGTGGCTGAGAAAGAATGAGTGAGTGAGTACGTCAGTGAGCGAGAGAGTGAGTGTATGAGTGATGAGTGAGTGAGTGAGTGAGTGAGTGAGTGAGTGAGGAAAGCACACCTGCTTCGAGTGGGTGGCCATGTGTTTCCTAAACATTGATCTCTCAGCAAACATGTTTCCACACTCCCCGCAATGCAGCATCCTTGCATGTCGCAACATGCTGTCTCGTCGCTTGAAAGCCCGAGGGCAGTGGGGATGAGGGCACGGGTGCTGGTGAATACGGGAGGAGTGGGGATGGGAAAGTAAACAGGTAGATTAGAATCAAGTAGCATGCAGTGAGGATCAGAGCATGGATGCTGGTTGTTACTGAGAGGGTGAGGTGGTGGTGACCAATGCTGTAGGGTTTTTCATGGGTGCTCATGGGTTGAGAATTCTCAAAAAAACCCTACAGCATCATGGGTGCTGGTTGTTACTGAGAGGGTGGGGTGGTGGCCAATGCCACTTTCTTGCAATTAGACCAATTGGAAAGAGGGAAGAGGGGAGGACGGGTGAAGAAAGTGGGGGAGATGGAATGGGAAAATTCAATACGGACAGGATAAACGAGGGAAGGGGAAGAGGACGAGGGAGTGAGAGGAGGGAAAGTGGAGGAGCGAAATTGGAGGAAGAGGGATTTGAAGGAATGAAGAGGAATGAGGGAGGTGGAAGAGGAAAGGGAACATCTGGAAGAGGAAAAGAAACCAGGGGACGAGGCAAGGAGAAAAGGGGAATTGGGAAGTAATCGGGGGGAGAGAGGAGGAGAGAAGGAGCGAGAAAGAAATACCCCGGGAGCATTAGGGTTGTGCACTACAAGGTGCCTCGTTAAGGAGTCCATTAATGGAAAAGCCTTTTGGCAATTGTCATGCGGACACTCGAACTGCAGTGGATGAGATGAGGCAACGAGAAAAAATAAGAGTTCTGAGACGTCTCAAAACGAACTGCAGTGGATGAGGACGAGATGAGGCAACGAGCGAAGGAGGGAACGAGGGGAAGACAGGAAAGCATGTCCTCAAATACAAGGAGCCTTTTGGGGCGCCTCAAATTTCAGAATCTACAACAAGGCGTTGTGAGGGTGTATGAGAGAGGGAGAGGATGAATGAGTGCGTGAGCAAGTGAGTGAGTGATCGGAGTGAGAGAGTGGTCGAGAGAGTGAGTGAGTGGTCAAGAGAGTGAGTGAGTGAGTGAGTGACTGAATGAGTGAGTGAGTGAGTGAGTGAGGGAGTGAGTGAGTGAGGGAAGCACACCTGCTTCCGCCGCTGCTTCTTCCCCAACTCCTCCCTCCCCTTCTTCTTTTCCTTCTCCTCCGCTCTCTCCTTACCCGTCGCCTTCCTCTCTTCCCACGCCTTCTCCTTCCCTGTCGACTTTCCCTCCTTCCCCTTACCTGCCCACCTCCCCCTTCTTCTCTTACTCGCTCTCTCCTTGTCCCTCTCCTCCCTTGCTTGCCTTGAAGCTCTTTCCCTCTTCTCTCCTCTCTCAGAACTCAACTCATTAATATCACGCACTTTACCACCGCATCCTCTGTTATCAACCATCATCACCTCCTGAACATCATCATCCTCCTCTTCCTCATCCTCTTCCTCCTCCTCTTCCTCCTCCTCCTCCTCCTCCTCCTCCTCCTCCTCCTCCTCCTCCTCCTCCTCCTCCTCCTCCTCCTCCTCCTCCTCCTCATCCTGTCTCCCTTCACACTCCCCCACACCCTCCCCTGCCGTCTCCCACACACCCTTTTCCACACGCTCCCCTACCCTCTTCCACACCCCCCCCCCCACAGGATCCCCTACCCACTCCACCTCAACAACCTCCTCATCCTCATCTCCCTCCACCCCCCCTGCACCTCCCCCCTCCATCCCCCCTACATCTCCCCCCTCCAGCCCTCTTAGATCAGCCTCTCCCCCCTCCCCCACCTTTCCCCCCTCCCCCACCTCTTCCCCCTCCCCCACCTCTTTTCTCCCAGCATGGAACCCTTTAGCCCAAGCCATTCCTCCCTCTGACCCGCAAAACCCCATCCCGCCATCCCCCATGCGACCTTCCCCACCCCCACCCATCATTCCTCTCTCTGTCCCACCACACCATATCCCCCCCGCTTCCGCCACCTCCCTTCCCTTTTCCCCTTCCCCCTGCCCAATTTTCCCCGCTTCCCTCTGCGCATCTTGGCCCGCCGCTTCCCCGACTTGCGGAACCCCTTCCGCCCGCGCGCCTTCACCCGCAGCCTCCGCGCCATTCCCCCGCGCGGGAACAGGTAGAACGGGCTGAACCAGCGGAACGGGCAAAACGGGCGGAACCAGCGGAACCTTCGCTCTATTCCGCTGCGCCAGCCGAGGCGGAAGCCGCCGCGCGTAGCAGCATAGAGGCGGCGCGCCGTTTTGTCGATTCACAAGTCCTAAAATCACGCCGATGCCCGTTGTCAGGGATTTGCGCGCGATGACGGCCGCGCCGATGCCCGTTGCGAGGCCCGCTACATCGTCCCGCGAGGCCATCACGATCTAGCCCCTCTCGCTAGCCCTCCCGTGCCTCCCGTCCCACGGATTGCCGCCCTCTCTCACGAATATGCCTCTAGTCACAATTGTCCCACGGGAGTAATTTAAGCCCTCTCACCCCCTACTAGGCGTAATTTTGGTTGTTTTTTGTTTCCGAGGTGACTTCTGAGTCGACTACTGTCTGCTGTTATACAGTGTGTGTTTTTTGAGAATTCTCAAAAAACCTACAGTGAAACTAATTCTGAAATAAGAAATGCGCGCTACTCCCTTTTTTGCTAAATGGACAGTGCGCGGTCCGTTAGTAGTACACACGCGCGCATTAATTGCCCTCGGCGGCTAGAAACAGTTCGCACGCTGGCGGAAATAGAACAAGACCGTCGTGTACGACGTGAAGCGACACGGCGAAATGCGCGCCCGGGGAAGCTTGCGCCCCCTCTTGTCAGGAAAGGAAGGAGTTCTTTGCAACGTGCGGTGCAATTGGGGGGCGAATAATTAGTGCTGCGACATTGGCTCCCGCGATAAACATTGCTCATGCTAATGAAGATGTGAAAACGTTTCTGTACAGCATTAAAGATTTCTAGATGGGGAGGGAGTGAGAAACTGAGGTACACCACGTACTCTGCTGGCCTGAGTTCATCAATTTGAATTTGTAGTACAAAAAAAATATCACATCTGGTTTCGTGCACAGAAAAATATCTCCAGATTACTTTATTGATTTGGTCATGCCAGGGGGGGTGTGTGTGTGGCAGGGAAGGTGGGGTGGTTCACCCGCTTGTCCCCTTTCGAGTACCGTACTTCAAGCCATGCGGTAGAGTTGGCATGAGGGCACAACGATCAGGTCAGGTTCTCTCAACCCCGTCGTTGTCTTATGGATCTATGCCAGACATTAATAAAAACATCACTTGGTCATGCCAGGGTGGGGCATGTGGCAGGGGGAGCATCTCCTGCTTGTCCCGTTCAGACAACAGGAGCCGTGGCACTTGGCATGTGGCAGCTGCTTCTGCCCATCCAATAGAGCTGGCACGAGGGCACAGCTCTGAACTCTCTCAAGAGCACGTTGTCTTGTGAACCTAAGCTAGTCAGCCCAGAAACCATCACTTGGCTATGCCAGGGTGGGGCGTGTGGCGGGGGTGTTTCTCCCGCTTGTCCCCTTTCAGCTGCTTCAAGCCATGGGGAAGAGCAGGCACGAGAGCAGCCAGGCATTCTGACACCGCATTAGGGTTGCCAGGCAGGTTGAGGATCTGAGGGGTTCAGATGGATGGTGGGTGGGTGGGTGGGGCCAGGAGAAGAGGTTAAGCTTGTGGCTGCACCAACTTGCAGGTTGCCCATGTTACCATACCATGCATGATGCACCGATGCACCATGCATGTTATGCATGCCATGCACCCATGCATCCATGAACGCATGCTGTCATGCTATCTTACCAGAGTGGAGCCTCGGATGCCTGCAGCCATGCACAATTGCATGCTGCATCCATCCAACCACCCATGTCACCATGCATCATGCCCCCATGCCCCCATGCACCCATACCCCCATGGCCCCATGCTGTCATGCTATCTCACCAGAGTGGAGCCTCTAATGCCAGCAGCCATGCGCGAGAGCATGGCAAAGGGCGTGATCTGCATGGGAGAAACGAGAGAAGAAAAGCAGTCGATAGAACAAACAAGGGTGCGTGAGAGAAGGAAAAAAATGACACAGGGAACAAATTTGTCACCTTATATGTTGTCGAGCCTGAACATCCCACCCTCCCCTACCTTTTTTCCCTGCCCTTCCTCTCTTAAGAAAAGAGAAAGAGAAACGAAAGATATAAAAAACCCTACCCTGAGGCTCTCCTGCAGCATGGCATGGGTGAGGCCCGGTGCAGAGCGGTGGAAGAGCGGCGCACAGGCTTCAGGAGTGACATCCCGGGGAGAGAACCCCGTGCCCCCTGTCGTTATAATCACATCCACTGCTGCCACACCCGCTGCCTCAGGAGTTGACGCAGAAATTTCGTCCCCATCCGCCCATGCCTTAACCTGCGCTGCTATCTTGTCTGGGTCGTCTGGAACAACAGCCGTCGCCACCACTGCTGCTGCTGGCAGCAGCGACTGCACTGCCTGCACTGCCCTGGGGCCACTGGGTGGCGAGAGGGGTTACAGTGTGAAAGGCATGGAGGACACGGGCATGGCGTTGGAAGGCGGGAATTAGAGCAAGCGCCCATGGAAACACAGCAAGGGAAGAGGAGAAAGTCATGCTCTACTCGGCACTACCAAGGGGGACATGGGACTGAACATTATGCTGCAGGGTGTTTTTGAGAATTCTCAAAAACACCATGCTCTACTCGGCGCTACCAGGGGGGACATGGGACTGAACATTTGCAAGAGGGAAACCTCAATTCTACCAGACCTGCCACCACCGCAGGACCACTTTCTTGACTCACCTGGCATCTGCTGCTAGGCCTGACGCCACCGTGTCACTGACAGTCAGAATCGCCACTCGCACACCCGCACCCACAGTCGAGGCAGCAGCACCAGCAGTGGAAGGAGAGGCAACAGCAGCAGCAACAGCAGGGGCGGAAGCAGCACCAGCGCTTTGCTTATGCCCATGCCCATGCCCTTCCCCATGCCCATGCCCTTTCCCACACCCATGCTTCTCCCCCTCCTCTCCCTCCCCTCCCCTGCCCACAGCCTGCCCTCCTTCCGTCCTTCCCACTGCCATCCCAGGGACCGCCAGGCACGCAGCAGCATCAGGCAGCAGCAGCGCGGAGACCAGCGAGCCGGCAGGGAGGGAGCCCTGCGCCTGGGGCAGCTCCAGCAGGCAGTGTGCTGAGCGCATGGAGAGCAGGCGGCTGCTGATCTGCCTGCCTGTGCTGTCTGCTACGAAACCAGACACAGTGGTGGAGGAAGGAGGAGCAGGAGTAGCAGAAGCAGTAGTGGCAGTAGCAGTAGCAGTGGTGGGAGCAGCAGCAGAGGAGGCGAGGGCAGCAGGGACGTTTGGCTCCCAGCGGAGGGATGCCCGGTGGTACTCGGGGCGGTCAGGGTCGAGGCGGAGAGACGAAGAGATGTGGACCTGCACCCTGAGGGGTTCGGGGAAAAGGGATTGGAGGAGTGCAATGCGATGCAGTATGGTGCATTTAAAATCGTGGCATGTGTGGTTCCCAGCGGACGGATGCTTGTCGTACTCAGGGCAATCTGGGTCCAGGCGGGAGAGCAGAGGAGATGTGGGCCTGCACCCTGAGGGATGGGGGCAATTCAATGGAACGAGTGGAACACTTTTCATTCAAAGCACGCGCGGTGGGCTTCGTGCTAATCAGGACGCCCAGGGAACAGGCGCACAGTACTAGCACCCTGGGAAGAGGAGAGGAGATGCAGGTGGCTTGTACGCTGGGGAGTGACGGAGGAGAGCAAGCACACAATGCAGAGCCGCTTAGCTTCTCATGGGAAAGGTTTAGTGAGCTAAGCCACACCCCTCCTTACCTGTGCAACAGGGGTTGACGCCACCCCCCCATTTGCCGTATGGCGGGCAGCACAAACAGGTTGAAGCACACCATGCAGCTGACCGGATTCCCGGGCAGCCCAAAAACTATCGTTCGGTGCGGTTGGGCGGCGCCGTCGGTCTTATCTGAAGGGGTTTCGATGGTTGCGAAAGTGAGCGGTTTTCCTGGCTTCATGTGTACCTGATAAAGAGGAGAGGGGAGGGAAGGGAGGAGAGAGAGGATTGACGGGACGGAGGGAGAGAGAGGAGAGAAGGGAGAGAGAGGAGGGAAGTGGGGGAGAGGACGGAAGGGATGGGAAGGAGAGTAGGTTCTGGCCTTAGTCACCCATGTGTCGACGAGGGTAAGCGGCCTTCCTGGTTTCATGTGGAAGTGACGAAGAGGAGAGAGAGGAGTGACTGGAGGGAGAGGAAACGAATGAGAAGGGAGAGGGAAATGAAGAGGGAAGGGAAGCGAGGGAGGCAAGGAGGAAGATTAAGAAGCACTCACCCTGCCGGAAACTTCTCACCCGGCCGAAATGAACAGTGGCCAGCCATTCCAGCAGCGGCTTGGCAAAGTCCCTATCGCCCGACATCCCTCCAGACGCCACCACCACATCCGCCCTCCCTGCCAAAACACCCTCACTGGCCCCTCTGCTAGCCCTCAAATCAAACCAGTAACTCTCCCAGGAAAAAAAAGCACCCACTCACTTGCACCCACTCACCCGCCCAAAATGCACAGTCCCAAGCCTCTCCAGCAGCGGCTTAACATAGTCCCTATCGCCCATGGACACCCCTCCAGACGCCACCACCACATCTGCTCTCGCTGCTAGTGCCCTCTCAAACGCTGCTGCCACGGCCTCCTCTGTATCCGCTGCTATGCCCAGATCCAGAGGGGCCGGGCTGTTGGCTGCTGGTGCTGCTGATGGTGCCGCTGATGATGCTGTTGCCCCTGACGCTGCTCCTAAGTGTTGCTGCACAGCGGCCAGCAGCATGGAGCGATTGGCGTCCCTGATCTGCAAACACATGACACAGGAACGGGAGGCATGGAGAAAGAATGGGAATGAACACGTCACATGTCACAAGTCACGTCACACAATGCAGTGCAGTCCATCATATGTTAGAAATGCACACAATGCATGCTCCTATCGAGGCACGCCACGGGGGTGGAGTGGATGGTGGTGACGTGGCAATGGGGGGGTTGCAGAGTGGGGTGTACTGATTCAAGCTATACTAAGCTGTGTGGGGTCATATCACGTTGACTATATTCATATGGTCTGTGAATCCCTGACAAACCATCACCATGCCATGGGGGGAAATGCAGGTGGGTTTCAGAGCATTCACCCAAGCTCTAATCTAACCCACGTGTGGTCCATGATGCATTTGCTATGCTTCCTAGCCCCAGTTTTGAGGCGCCTCAAAAGGGGTTTCAGAGCATTCACCCAAGCTCTAAGCCACGGGTGGTCCATGATGCATTTGCTATGCTTCCTTCCTAGCCCCAGCCAGTGCACTTACAGAAACCCACTTACCATGCCACGAGGGAGAGCGGTGCCGGGATGCAGCGAGGGGTCTATGAGCTCGTCTCCAGTTGAGAGGACAGCCACTAGAGGCTGCCGGTGCACCTGAGGGGTGGAGGAGGGGGATGAGAAGGAAGAGCAAGAAAGAGGGAGAAAGAGAGGGAGTGAAGGGGTGCAGCGAAGGCTCGATGAGCTCGTCTCCTGTGAAGAGAACTGCCACCAGTGGCTGCCGTGCACCTGCAAGGCATATGCAGGGGCGACGAAGGAAAGAAATGCCTAAAGAAATCTGACAAAGTGGTTCGGTTGTTGAGAGGTATATGAGCTCATTGCCGTGGAGAGGACTGCCCCCTGGGAGGGAAGAATGGGGGAAAGGAAAGACGGATTCACCAGCGGTTGGAAAATGCGACAGTCAGGCTAGAAGGAAGAGTGCAGGATTGAGACGTCTCTCATATTCCAGATGGAGCAGTGTATGTTGGGCAAACAACTCACATGCACGTGTGCAGCCCCCACGGTTGCCAGCAGCCCTATTTCCGCTGGCCCAACACGCTCCCCCGCCTTCAGAACCACCGTACCCGCTGCCAGATCCGAACCCTGCACGAGGCCCAAGGCACAAGGGGCAGAATGTGGCAGCATGGCTTGCAAGCCCGCCCTGGTGGTGTGTGGTGGTGTGTGGTGGTGGCAGTGATGTGAGTGCGTGCGGACGTGTGCATGCAAGTACATCTGTGTGTTGAACGCTCTCGCATTCGGGTTGTTTTGTGCATGGAAGAGAGCAGCAGAGAGAACCCGAGGCAGGAATCTCAATCCACTTTCCACACTCCAATACAGCGGGTAGAGTTTCCAACACACGCACCACGGTGCGAATGTCTTGCCCCACTGTAGCGCCCTTCACTATAGTCACACGCCTCTGGCCGCTGGAGCAGTCAACAGGAAGCGTGTCCTCCACTTGAATCACCGCGTCCGCACCCTGAGGTACCGGGCCTGAGAGGGGGAAGAGAGAGGGGAGAGGAAGGGAAAAAAGATGTAATGGATGGACACTAGTCACGATGTGGTCACAGAGTCACCTGGCAGCTTGTCCTCCACTTGAATCACCGCGTCCGCACCCTGAGGTACCGGGCCTGAGAGGGGTGAGAGGGTCAGTCAGACAGAGACGTCTCAGAACTCGGTGTGCATAAATTGGCAATGGAGAATACACACCTGATGTAGAAACATTCCCAATAAGAAATGCGCACCTCCCGTGGTGATGTAAGCGACTGTGCCAGGTGTCACCACCACATTGGCTGCATCATCCCCAGCACGTGCTTCAGCAATGATGGGGTACTCGCCCGGCCCGTCCGCTGCCACCACCGCGTAGCCATCCTGCCATTAAGATAGTCAAGTCGCAAAAACAACAAGGTGAATTTTGGGTCAACTCAAAATGATGGGGTACTCGCCCGGCCCGTCCGCTGCCACCACCGCGTAGCCATCCTGCCGTCACGAAGAATATCCGACGATGGAGATGCATTTTGAATCGACTCAAGCTTCATCTTGCATCGAGTTCCACCTCAGCATCGCCAGCATCACGCATAAAAGGGACGATACAGAAGGAGTGGCACATCGCGTCGGCACAAGGAGTTCAACAAACCAATATTCTGAAGAATTGTGTTTGAAGGACTTGTAACGAAAGACATCGCAGTGCCCACGAGACTTATTGTACTGAAATTGTATCAAGCAACTTCATGATCGATCTGATCTTCGTTGTAGAGCTCAAATCAGGAAGGAAACAACAGAGCAATGCAGTGACGCCAAGATTGAGGATGAGGTGAAAAAATACTCTCAATTGCCTCATCTTGCCTTGATTGAAGCTGGAAATGGCGGCATCGGCTCGGGAGCGATGACATCTTTCGCGAGTACACATCCTAACGAATTGTTCAGCGAAGCCGTAACCGCTGGAAGCGGTTTCGCGTGCTCGAGAACAAGCTTCTGAGCCTCGTCAACTGAAACCATCGGATACGCGGAACTAGGAGCGCCTTCCACGGCGGGAATTCCGCAAGAATGGTGCGCGTCGTCACCATGAGCCATGCTGCTGAGTAGTACTTTTGGCAATTCCAAGGACTAAGGAGTTAGGCAATACACCAGAAATTTTTCACACCGAAGCCTCAATATCCTTGGAATTTTTTCACACCGAATCATGTTGCTGCCTGGTGCTGCTCGGTGCTGCCTGGTAGCGAGGGTGGATTTTGGCACCAAAAAGGTGAATCTCGATTGGCTGTTTGAGTATCACGTGGAGAATTCGAGGCTGTGTGGCAGCCGAATGTCGTCATAGTTTCGCTCGTTGGAATCACATTCTGTCAGAAAAAAATGTTCGCCTACATCTGTGGTGTGACTCTCTGTGCGGTGCAATGCCCCAGTAGCACCCGCCCGCCCCTCACCCGGCAAACCAGCAAACCCCGCCCGCAGTTATCCATGTGGGCGGATCATCGATCCGCCCCGCGCGCATGGCGCAAAGTGGCGGCTGGAGCTAGACAGGCTCCGCGCGGCACACAACAACACGAAGAGCCACCATGCAGATCTGCGCGCAAATTCGGAAGAGGGAAAGCACTTCAGTGCGTTTCAACCGTCGGATTCAGATCTGGACAACCATTCCCAAGCCACTGCACAAACCACCTGGAAGTTTCTCCAGGAACAGCAAATTCACCACGATGATGGTGTCGCGCTCCAGCACGGTTGTCGTAGATCCACGCCTTGTGTCAGATTTAATCACCGATGTATACACCTTTTAGAAAATTAATGAACCGTGCGGAACCTTCTTTGCTTCCCTCCTTTTGCTAATCCCATCATCATCAGCAGCATTCACCTGGATCATCCAGATCCATAGCCTGAATCTGCAGCCTAAGCTCATTCCCTCATTACTTTCCCTCGCTTATCCCCGCGAGGCTGCTTATTAGTGCTGCACTGCACCACCATTTATGCAATACAGCTATTAGTCTGGTCTCCATTGTTCCTGAATCCGTCGCCACGCGATGGCGAGGCGATTCGATTACCATCACCAGCAGCAGCACCAGCAGGCTGGCCGGCGGACTCTGGCGGCATTCTGTTTCGCCTTCGTCCTCTTCCTGCTCGTCGCGGCGTACCTCTTCAGTGGCTTCAAGCCGGGACCGATTCCCACATCGTCCGTGGTAAGATCGCTCTAATCTTGAAACAGCGTCGTCCTCTTCCTGATTGCCTGATCTCCAGTGAAGGAATCACTCGGTTCTGTCGCCGTTTCGATCTATATCATAGCATTGCGTTCTTTCGTCTACCATTGTTCAATCCTGTTTTATACCGGCAATCTGATAACTCCTTGAAGGTGTTTCTTGATCAAGATTCCAACAGACACCTTCCGGTCCTGAAATTCGATCAGACACGTGTCGATCAGAACTCCAGTCGAAGGGGTACTTTATGAATCAGGAGTCAATTCTGCAAGTGCCGGTCTTTCGTCCGACTTGTCGATCTTTCCTCGCATCTACGAATTCAGAACCAGCTTCCGTCACTATAGATTTCTCCCATATCAGGACACGAGTCGTCTCACAATGCTGATTTCTGTCCGCAGTTCGGATACGCATCAGTCCGATATCCTATTACATTTGTATGTGCTGGCCTTTCCGTTCAGGACGAGGATCAGGACCGGGCAGGAGGCGGCCTTGGAGGTCCCAACACGGTCTAAATTTGTAATGCGTTTCTGTGTGCTCTCCTTTCCGTTCAGGACGATGATCAGGATCGGGCAGGAGACGGCCTTGGAGGCCCCAACACGTCGGATGCGCTGGGAGATGAGCCGCAGGAGCACGAGATCCGGGATTCCAGCAAGCTCAGCCTGAATCTGCCTCCGGTGAAGGGCGCAGGGTACGTTTTTGCTTCTCCCGATCTGTTCTAAGTTCACTCAAAATACGCTTACGTGAGCCGGAAGAGCAGGAGATTCGTAATTCTAGCGATCTCAGCTCGAATCTGCCTCCAGTGATGGGCGCCGGGTACGTTGTTGCTTCTCCGGCTCTGTTCAGAGTTTACTTAAAGTGCAACTAGATAAGCCCAAGGAGCAGGAGATTCGGTTTTTTAGCAAGTTCAGCCTGAATCTGCGTCCATTGAAAGGCACTGGGAACGCTTGCTCTTCTCCGGATCCCCTTTGTCTGCTGGCTACGTTTTCTCGTTTCCTGATCCTCTTACCCTCCAGGCTCGTTTTCTGTGTTTCTCGCTTGCAGATCCTAAGCATGTTCCCAAGCAACTTTCCAAAGCATGTTCCCTGCGTCGACCTCGCTATTCCGTTGGCTGTTTCGTTGCAGGGAGCCGTCAGACTCTGACATGGAACCTCCCTTGAGAGCCGCGGACGAGGAGGAAGGTAGCGAGTCAGCCGCGCAGGAGGGCCTGCGGGGGGCGGGCAAGGGGGATGCGCGAGCGCAAGCGGAAAAAGAGAGAGATGCGCAGGACGCTGCTGCGCAGGAGGGGGATTCGGAGGGCGGGGATGGTCAGGAGGAGGAAGGGTTGCTGCATAGCCGCACTGGTGGCGATGCGAAGGCGGCGGCAGCGGCGGCTGACGCGGCAGCTGCTGCTGATGCTGATGGTGATGGGGTTGGAGGTTCTGAAGGTGTGGGAGGGGCGAAGGAAGGAGAGGAGGAAGAGAAGGGCGAGAAGGGCGAGGAGGAGAAGGGTGGTGCGGGGAAAGGGAAAGAAGGAGAAGAGGACGAGAGTGGGGTGGAAGGAAAGGGTTCGGATGCGGAGGAGAAGGATGAAGAGAGTGCGGTTGGGGAGGCGAAGGGAGGGAGAGTTGCAGGTGGTAAGAAGACGAAGAAAAAGGATGAAGCGGAGGAGGGGGAAGAGGAAGAGGGGAGCGGAACGAAGGGTTCTGAGGCTAAGGAAGCGGAAGAAGAGAGCGAGGAGGAAGAGGGTAGTGTGAAGAAGAAGGGGATGAAGGGTAAAGGGGAGGATGGAGAGGGGGGCGAGGAGGAGGAGGAGAGTAAGCCAAAGAAGGGTAAGGGGAAGGAGGGGGCGGAGGAGGAGGGAGGTAGTGAGGAGGAGGAAGAAGAGAGCGCCGGAGGCAAGAAGAAGAAGGGCGGCAAAGGCGAGGAGGACGCGGAAGAGGAGGAAGAGGCCTCCCCGGTTGCGAAGAAGGCGAAAAGGGCGAAAACGAGCGAAGAGGAAGACGAGGGGAGTGATGGGGAAACGGAGGAAAAGGGAGGGAAGGGAGATGAGAGCGAGGAAGATGAGGAGAAGCCGAAAAGCAAGAAAGCGAAGAAGGTGAAAGCGAGTGAGGAAGAGGGAGAGGAGGAGGAGAAGGGTGCAGAGAGTGAAGAGGAGGAGGAGAGTGTGAGCAAGAAGGGAGGAAAGAAGAAGGCTGCAGCGAAGGAGAGTGAGGAGGATGAGGAGGGTGAGAAGAAGAGCGAGGAAGCGGAGGAGGAAGGGGATGAGGCGGATGTGAAGCCGAGCAAAAAAGTGAAAGGAGCAAAGAAGACGAGGAAGGAGGAGGGAGAGGATGCGGAAGAGGAGACAGGTGGTGGGAAGGGGGGGAAGGATGAGGAGGGGGGTGATGGGAAGGGGGAGAAAGAGGTAGAGAGCACAGCTGATGCGGAGGTTGAAGAGGATACTGTGGCAGCTGAAGCAGGGAAGGCTGGAGTGAAGGGTGCGAAGGGGAAGAAGAAGAGTGCGAAGGAGGTGGGTGAGGAGGAGGAGGAAGGGGAAGGAGGAAAGAGTGAGGATGGTGGGAAGGAGAGTGGGGAGGAGGAGGAAGAGGAAGGAGGGGCTGCGAAGAAGAAAGTGAAGAAGAGTGGGAAGGAGGAGGAGGAAGCTGATGACGCTGGGGAGGGAGGGGAGGATGAGGAAGGGGAGACCGGGGCAAAGAGGAAGGCGAAGAAGGGAAGCGAGGAGGGAGAGGAGGAAGGGTCGGAGGAAGGGGGAGAAGAGAGTGAGGAGGAGGAGGGGAAGGGCGGCAAGAAGAGTGGGAAGACGAGCAAGAAGGGGAAGGCGAAGAGCAAGAAGCTGAGGGGAGAGAGCGTGGATGGTGCTGAGCAGGATGGGGACGAGGAGGAGGGTGGCGCTGCAGAGACAGTGGTTGAGAAATACGAGGTGAGCGTGCTTGCTGTTGAGATTACTCTTTTAGACCTGAGCTTTCAGGCCGGCTGCTGTTTTGTGTGTCACTGCGTGCGTGATGAGTCCCGCCGTGAACCGTGTCCCACCTGTCTGCTACTGACAGCTGCTGTTTTGTGTGTCACCGCGTGCGTGATGAGTCCCGCCGTGAACCGTGTCCCACCTGTCTGCTACTGACAGCTGCTGTTTTGTGTGTCACCGCGTGCGTGATGAGTCCCGCCGTGAACCGTGTCCCACCTGTCTGCTACTGACAGCTGCTGTTTTGTGTGTCACCGCGTGCGTGATGAGTCCCGCCGTGAACCGTGTCCCACCTGTCTGCTACTGACAGCTGCTGTTTTGTGTGTCACCGCGTGCGTGATGAGTCCCGCCGTGAACCGTGTCCCACCTGTCTGCTACTGACAGCTGCTGTTTTGTGTGTCACCGCGTGCGTGATGAGTCCCGCCGTGAACCGTGTCCCACCTGTCTGCTACTGACAGCTGCTGTTTTGTGTGTCACCGCGTGCGTGATGAGTCCCGCCGTGAACCGTGTCCCACCTGTCTGCTACTGACAGCTGCTGTTTTGTGTGTCACCGCGTGCGTGATGAGTCCCGCCGTGAACCGTGTCCCACCTGTCTGCTACTGACAGCTGCTGTTTTGTGTGTCACCGCGTGCGTGATGAGTCCCACCGTGAACCGTGTCCCACCTGTCTGCTACTGACAGCTGCTGTTTTGTGTGTCACCGCGTGCGTGATGAGTCCCGCCGTGAACCGTGTCCCACCTGTCTGCTACTGACAGCTGCTGTTTTGTGTGTCACCGCGTGCGTGATGAGTCCCGCCGTGAACCGTGTCCCACCTGTCTGCTACTGACAGCTGCTGTTTTGTGTGTCACCGCGTGCGTGATGAGTCCCGCCGTGAACCGTGTCCCACCTGTCTGCTACTGACAGCTGCTGTTTTGTGTGTCACCGCGTGCGTGATGAGTCTCGCCGTGAACCGTGTCCCACCTGTCTGCTACTGACAGCTGCTGTTTTGCGTGTCACCGCGTGCGTGATGAGTCCCGCCGTGAACCGTGTCCCACCTGTCTGCTACTGACAGCTGCTGTTTTGTGTGTCACCGCGTGCGTGATGAGTCCCGCCGTGAACCGTGTCCCACCTGTCTGCTACTGACAGCTGCTGTTTTGTGTGTCACCGCGTGCGTGATGAGTCCCGCCGTGAACCGTGTCCCACCTGTCTGCTACTGACAGCTGCTGTTTTGTGTGTCACCGCGTGCGTGATGAGTCCCGCCGTGAACCGTGTCCCACCTGTCTGCTACTGACAGCTGCTGTTTTGTGTGTCACCGCGTGCGTGATGAGTCCCGCCGTGAACCGTGTCCCACCTGTCTGCTACTGACAGCTGCTGTTTTGTGTGTCACCGCGTGCGTGATGAGTCCCGCCGTGAACCGTGTCCCACCTGTCTGCTACTGACAGCTGCTGTTTTGTGTGTCACCGCGTGCGTGATGAGTCCCGCCGTGAACCGTGTCCCACCTGTCTGCTACTGACAGCTGCTGTTTTGTGTGTCACCGCGTGCGTGATGAGTCCCGCCGTGAACCGTGTCCCACCTGTCTGCTACTGACAGCTGCTGTTTTGTGTGTCACCGCGTGCGTGATGAGTCCCGCCGTGAACCGTGTCCCACCTGTCTGCTACTGACAGCTGCTGTTTTGTGTGTCACCGCGTGCGTGGTGAGTCCCGCCGTGAACAGGCGCCTGGAGCTGAAGCTGAGACGGACCTCTCCCCCCTCCCAGCGCCATCACTCTGTTTTTTTCCTTCCCCCGCCCCTCCCTCTCTCTCGTTCCAGGCGTGTGACCCTGATCTGTCGGAGATAGTGCCGTGTCTGAGCCCTGCAATGAACAAGCGCATGAAGCTAAAGCTGAACACGAAGGTTTTCCTCTCCCTGCTCTGTCACATTTTCACTCCATTCCTGCTCCTGTTCTCCCTTCACTGCACGTCCCCCACCCCTTCTCCCAGGCGTGTGACCCTGAGCTGTCAGAGATAGTGCCGTGTCTGAGCCCCGCAATGAACAAGCGCATGACGCTGAAGCTCAACTGAAGCACCAAGACCTCCTTCTCCTCACTCCTTCACCCCTTCGCACTGTTCCTCTTCCTGCCCTCCCTGCACGCGTTCCCTCCCCCTCTCTCTCGTTCCAGGCGTGTGACCCGGAGCTGTCAGAGATAGTGCCGTGCCTGAGCCCGGCAATGAACAAGCGCATGAAGCTGAAGCTGAGCACCAAGGTGATGGAGCACTACGAGCGCCACTGCCCCTCGGACGACCTCATGCCGCACTGCCTCGTGCCGCAGCCGCCAGGCTACAAGGTGAGAGACAGGCACGGGGTAAAGGGGGGTTGGGGGCGGCGAGCAGGGGTGCAGGGGTAGTGGGTGGTGTGGGGGCGGGCATGGAGCGCATGAAGCTGAAGCTCAACACCAAGGTGATGGAGCACTACGAGTGCCACTGCCCGCCGGACGACCTCATGCCGCACTGCCTCGTGCCGCAGCCGCCAGGCTACAAGGTGAGAGGCAAGCACGGGTGCAGGGGGGAGGGCTGGGGGGAAACAGGGGATCAGGGGTAGAGGGGTGTGTGGGCGGGAAGAGAAGGGCATGAAGCTGAAGCTGAACACCAAGGTGATGGAGCACTACGAGCGCCACTGTCCCTCGGACGACCTCATGCCGCACTGCCTCGTGCCGCAGCCGCCAGGCTACAAGGTGAGAGATGGTGGGGGGTTTTGGGTGTCAGGGTGGCACAGGGTCAAGTTTGGAGCAGGGGAAGTGCAGGAATTAAGTGGCAGGTGCAGTGAACAAGGTGAGCGACAGTGGTAGGTGCAGGACTTCAAGTGGAAGTGTGCGCTTTCCCCTCTCTTTCCTCCGCCCCCAGATTTCCATCCTGTGCAGCCGGGACGGCGTGTGGCTTGCAGATGTGCCGCACACGCTGCTGGCAACAGAGAGATCTAAACACCCCCCTCCCTCTCCCCATCTCTCCCCTCTCTCCCTTCTCCAGACGTCCATCCCCTGGCCGCGCAGCAGGGACGAGGTGTGGCGGGCCAATGTTCCCCACACTCTCCTTGCCATGGACAAGTGTGATTTTCTCCCCTCTGTTTTCCCTCTTCCTGCCAGACGTCCATCCCCTGGCCGCGCAGCAGGGACGAGGTGTGGCGTGCGAACGTCCCCCACACGCTGCTGGCCACGGAGAAGTCGGATCAGCACTGGATGGTGGTGGATGGCGATATTATTCGATTCCCGGGCGGCGGCACGCACTTCCCTGGGGGCGCAGACAAATACATTGAGCGCATTGGGAAGGTGAGAAAGACTGGGGAAGAGGGGGGGAGGGGGGGGGGGGGGGTGGGGATGGGTGAAAGGGTGTAAGAGAGCACGTACTTTCCTGGGAGGGCAGACAAATACATTGAGCGCATTGGGCAGAAAAGGAAGGGGAGGGGGGACGGGCGGGACAAGGGGGACGGGACTGGATGGACGGGTAATGAAACTGGCCTCTTTTTTTTATGTTTTTAGACGCCAGAGGCAACACCAACATTTATGTACCTGGATGATTTAAACTGGCACTCCTTCCCTGCCACTCCCACACGCCCTACCCTCTTGGTCAGATGATGGGAGACGAGAACGGCAACTTCTCGGTGGGCGGCAAGATCCGGACAGTTCTGGACATCGGGTGCGGGGTGGCGTCGTTCGGCGCGTACCTGCTGGAGCACTCAGTGCTCACCATGTCGGTGGCTCCCAACGACGTGCACGAGAATCAAATCCAGTTTGCGCTCGAGAGGGGCCTGCCTGCGTTCCTGGGAGTGATGGGGACCCAACGCCTGCCCTTCCCGTCCCTGGCGTTCGACCTGGCCCACTGCTCCCGCTGCCGCATTGACTGGCTGCAGAGAGGTGGGTGGGACGAGTGAGAAGTGGAGGCGAGGGAGGGGCGGACGATTGCGGAATGGGTACAGAACCCCTGTCCCCCTATTGTCCTGCCGTCTGAGTAGTCTTTCCAGGTGGCTACTTTGTGCAACGTGTTTTGCGAGGCATGGCTTCTGGGTGTGGTCAGGGTGATCCGACCAGGCGCCTACTGGGTGTGGTGTGCCCCGCCCTGCCTGTGTACACATTGAAGCATGCGTTGAGTCGCCTCGTGTACCACCCTGTGCCCTGCAGACGGCCGGCTGCTGCTGGAGTTGGTCAGGGTGATCCGACCAGGCGGCTCCTGGGTGTGTCCGTGCTGCTGCCTGTGTGCTTCATAACACCTCATGTCCCCTGCCAACGTGTTGCTTTCCTTCCTCTCCCTCTGCCCTGCAGACGGCCTGCTGCTGCTGTAGCTGGACAGGGTGATCCGACCAGGCGGCTCCTGGGTGTGGTCCGTGCTGCCGCCTGTGTGCTTCATAACACTTTCTTTGCCCTGCCTGCCTGCGTGCCCTGTGAAAATGTCTACTCTCCCCTCTCTCCCCCCTGCCCGGCAGACGGCCTATTGCTGCTGGAGCTGGACAGGGTGATCCGGCCCGGGGGCTACTGGGTGTGGTCCGCGCCGCCTGTGTATCGTGAGGACGAGGAGAATCAGAAGCTCTGGACAGACATGCTGGCGTTCATGGGGTGAGATGGGGGGTTGGGGATGTATTAATGATGCGTGAGAAAGAGCATAGGGCAGTGTGAGGACAAGGAGAATCAGAAGCTCTGGACAGACATGCTGGCGTTCATGGGGTGAGATGGGGGGTTGGGGATGTATTAATGATGCGTGAGAAAGAGCATAGGGCAGTGTGAGGACAAGGAGAATCAGAAGCTCTGGACAGACATGCTGGCGTTCATGGGGTGAGATGGGGGGTTGGGGATGTATTAATGATGCGTGAGAAAGAGCATAGGGCAGTGTGAGGACAAGGAGAATCAGAAGCTCTGGACAGACATGCTGGCGTTCGTGGGGTGAGATGGGGGGTTGGGGATGTATTAATGATGCGTGAGAAAGAGCATAGGGCAGTGTGAGGACAAGGAGAATCAGAAGCTCTGGACAGACATGCTGGCGTTCACGGGGTTTAGGGTTTATGTGTTGGACATGGAAGGAACAGGGCAGGGCAGGTGTATTTTGAGGCGCCTCAAAATGCACCTCACTACAGGTGGGGTTTATGTGTTGGACATAGAAGGAATAGGGCAGGGTAGTCATTGCTCATGCTGCTCCTTCCACCCATCTCCACCCAACTCCACCCCTCTCCACGCCTCCCACAGGCGCATGTGCTGGAAGGTGAAGGCGCAAAGCGGGCAGACCGCCATTTTCAAGAAGCCAAAGACGAATCTGTGCATCAAGAAGCGGGCGGCAGACGTAGAGCCGCCCCTGTGCGATGCCGCCCGGGTGTCGCCGAATTCGGCCTGGTACACGCGGATGGATGCATGCGTGAACACGGTGCCGAAAGGCAAGAAGAACAAGCTCATCCAGCCATGGCCGGAACGACTGGTGTCTCCGTCGCCCCGCATTGACTTGCTTGGGCTGGCAAAATCTGACTTTGAGGCCGACACGGTGAGTTGTCATGACATTCGAAGGGTGCTTGCCGAATTCTACCTGGTACACGCCGATGGATGCATGCGTCAACACGGTGCCCAAAGGCAAGAAGAACAAGCTCATCCAACCATGGCCGGAACGACTGGTGTCTCCGTCGCCCCGCATTGACTTGCTAGGGCTGGCAAAATCCGACTTTGAGGCGGACACGGTGAGTTGATGAGGCATTCAAAGGGTATCCCCGAATTCTGCCTGGTACACGCCGATGGATGCATGCGTCAACACGGTGCCCAAAGGCAAGAAGAACATGCTGATCCAGCCGTGGCCGGAACGACTGGTGTCCCCCTCTCCCCGCATCGACCTGCTTGGGCTCGCCAAGAGTGACTTTGAAGCTGATACGGTGAGTTGTCCCCGAACGCCGATGGATGCATGCGTCAACACGGTGCCCAAAGGCAAGAAGAACAAGCTGATCCATCCGTGGCCGGAACGACTGGTGTCCCCCTCCCCGCGCATCGACCTGCTTGGGCTGGCAAAGTCTGACTTTGAGGCCGACACGGTGAGCTATTTTGACATTTGAAGGGGAGGTGGTGGTTTTATGTGGCTGCAGCGACTGGTGTTCCTATCCCCGCGCATCGACCTGCTTGGGTTGGCCAAGAGCGAGTTTGAGGCCGACACAGTGAGTTGCTGCTGCTGCTGCTGCTGGCCCTTGTTGGTTCCAAGATGATAATTTGAGATGGAAGCTTTCTTTCTGGTGGGTGTCATTCACATCAACACGCACATCAGTACCCATCGTTCCTGCCCTCCCTGCACTTTTTCCCCCTGAACAGGAAGCGTGGGAGAAGATAGTTGCAGACTATGACACCCTGCTGGGAGGGCAGGCTCTCCTTCGCCCTGCAGACTCCTCCCTCAAGTCCGCCAAGACAAAGGGCTCCAAGGCGGCCTTCCCCGTGCGCAACGTGATTGACATCAATGCTCACATGGGCGGGTTTGCAGCGGCGCTGGCGGCGCAGGGGCAGGCGGTGTGGGTGATGAACACGGTGCCACCGCAGGGGGAGGCCAGCAGTGCCGGACTGGCAATGGTGTATGACCGCGGGCTCATTGGAGTTTACCACGACTGGTGAGTGGCGCTGGTTATTGGGTTGATGGGCACGTGAAAGGGGATTGCTGTGGTGCTGGCGGCGCAGGGGCAGGCGGTGTGGGTGATGAACACAGTGCCACCGCACGGAGAAGCCAACAGTGCTGGGCTAGCCATGGTATGTTCCATGACTGGTGAGTGGCACTGTTGTTGGGGGTGATACTGGGGACCTTTGCACATGAGGGAATTGCTGAAGGCCTGGTTTGCTGCCCCTTGTTGCTATCCTCTGCATCTGTCCCTGTCATTTGATACTGACACTTGTTTGTATACTATGTCTCCTGCTTCAGGTGTGAGCCCTTCTCGACGTATCCCCGGACTTATGACCTTGTCCATGCGTGGAGGGCGGTGTCTCAAGTCCTCGAGCGCAAATGCTCCTTGGAGGCCTTGCTACTTGAGCTCGACCGAATCCTCCGTCCCAAGGGTGTTCTGCTCTTCCGAGACAGTGCCGATGTTATCGCACGTCTGGATAAGCGGTTGAAGGCGGTGAAGTGGATTGTACTGAAGGGGCCTGTATCGAGGACGTTTATTGATGGGGAGGAGGAGCAGGTGCTCGTTGTGCAGAAGAGGTTTTGGCGGGTGAAGGAGAAGGCTGGTTTGAAGGAAAGTGCGGAAGCAACTGCATCGACGGATGGGGATGCCGAGGAGCGTAGACGGTTGTGACATACCGATAGTCGTGAAGATCCAACCGGATCAGATTCGTTTCTAATACGCCTAGGATGTTGGAATTTGGACCTCTAGTAGAGATGCTAGGAACCACTGTTTGTGTTTTTCCATTTTAATTGACTTGAAGCCCACTCCTACACTCACTCAGCTTATATACGGTTCTGCGTAAAAGTGCGGCCCACTGTGACGGATTTTCACAAATCGCTTTTCGTGGTGTCAGGTCCTCTGGCCCGCTGACACGGCGGCTCGACTCGGTGGGGTTTGGTTGGGTTGTCAGAGATTGTTACCAGACTGTTCCTCCACCTAGGGGTCGGCGAAGTTTGACGAGACTAAGAAGGATGAAGGGTGCCCTCTTCACGTCCACGAAGCGAGCAGAAATTGTGGAGCTTCGAAATTCGCACGGCTCACGATGCACGAAAGAGGTTTCCGAGGCAGTGGTTGCGAAAAGCTTCAACTTTCATCCGCAAATCCCGGTGTCGTGCGGGTATTCTCGGGGACATCTCCCTCCAGTTCAAGAACACACCAATCACCGCTTCCGCTGGTCCGTCACGACCCGAGCCAAGTAAGTCCTGCAGCTGAAGGATGCGCAGTTCCATCGCATCGGAGCGCGCAGGACATGCGGCTCGGCTCTCATCCCATCGGGATGAGATGACTCCAGACAGACACCACTGGAGGGAATACACCAAGCCGACAAAATCGAGGTTCTTTCATTCAGTCCCTCCTCTATCTCGCCAGTAGCTGCTGCTGTGCTGTCAATACACCTGGGAGTGCCATGCTGCTGGAAAGTCGCATCAGTATTATATTTATTACTGCAGCCGATGACGGTTTAGGGTTGTGACCTGTGACTGTCCCAGAGTAGGCTGATAGGAATACGCATAATCACTGCTGACGAACGGCCTTCCGTTAGCCGCGTTAAATATCGTCGTCCCATTCTACACGTCCACCACTGACCGTCTGACCTAGCGTCGACCCACACAGGTCCTGATTTCGATTACATAGACATAACTTATTGGCGATCCGAGTTGTTACTTCGTTCCCATCGGCCAGTTAAGTCACAAACATGGATCCTCTTCCGCAAGACCATGGCTTTAATCCCAAGGTAGGTAATCCACTGAATTTTTATAGCCCTGTCTGACTCAAATGGTCGCCTAGCACTCAGATGTTATCCGTATGCTATATTGAGACGGCTGGATGTGATAGTTTGCAGTTAGTGTTGGATGCCTCCACACATAGGAGCCACAAACCTTCCCTTCGTTCCAGTATTTATTTCTTTCCTGTTTCCATGCCTCGATACACTCAACAATCTCGCGCTTTTAGGTTGGCATTTTATTCATCACAGTCTCTTGATCGTCTCCCCGATTTTTTTCTCCCGGCCAGGCTCTAGGCTCGTGGGCTCGGCGCACGGGATTGGTCAGCGGCTTCATGTCCCCGCGCCGGGACAGCGTCGTCGACGTCACCGATGGCACCAATACAGTCACACACGCTCCAGGCGAACCCGCTTCGCCGTCCCGCGCAAGCAGCGCGGACGGCAGTAGTTTCCAAGCGAGCGGGTTTCACGGTCAGGGGGAAGGGCACTCAGCGCACGAGGGATACGACGGGTACGATAGTCACGGGGGGCATGGCGGGAATGGGGGGCAAGTCTCCGCTCCCCAGCTTCCGCCACCGCCCGGACGATCTGCGTTCAAGAAAGCACCTTCAATCCGCTACCCCGTCGCGCAGCGGGGCGAAGCGAGTAGTGACAGTATCGGGGCCGGCAGCATGTCACCTAAAACTCCCCAGGCGGTCGCCTCTGCGACTATACCGGAAGCGGAGAACGAGGGGGTTTCGTCCATTGAGGAGAGCGACGCGGGAATGGGAAGCGCGCGACGGTCGGAAGAGGTGTCGAGCCGGCACGGGGGGAAGGCTGGCGGAGCGGCAGCGGCGGGGTGGGTTGGCGGGGCGTTCGTAAGCGCGGCGGTCGGCGGAAGGGTTGGCGGAGGCCAGGTGGCGCCGTATCCGGAAGGGGAGGAGGGGGAAGCGGAAGGGGAGTATGAGGGGGAATATCGGATGGCGGAGGGGGAGTATGGATACGCGGAGGGGGAGGATATGGGGGGAGATGACGATATGTATAAAGATGTGATTGTAGACGATATGCCTTTAGAGGAGGGGATGGAGGAACGGACAGGCGTGATGAATTATGAGATGAGGGAGAGGCCCGAGGCCGGGTGGATGGTGGCGTACGCGTTACAGCACATGATCGCGCTTATAGCAAACGTGATTGTCTTCCCGATGATACTTGTCCCCGCTATGGGAGGCTCCGACGTAAGTACATCAGTTACTGCACTGCTCGTGGTGCAGGCGAGAATCACACTTGGCAAGAGAATCAGCATGCCACGTATTGCACTGCGCCCTTACCGTTTAAATTCTCAATCAGCCCTGCTCCCTGCTTCCTCTTCCTGAATGCAGCTCGACAAGGCGGCCGTGATTCAATCGGTGATGATGGTAACGGGCGTGGCGACCACGCTCCACGTGCATTAGAGTCCCAATAAGCCCTGCTCTCCCTGCTTCCTGTTCCTGATCGCAGCTCGACAAGGCGGCCGTGATTGAGTCGGTGATGATGGTGACGGGCGTCGCCACCACCCTCCACGTGCTTCAGAATATCAATAAGCCCTGCTCCCCGCTCCTTGCTCCCTGCTTCTTGTTCATGACTGCAGCTCGACAAGGCGGCCGTGATTCAGTCGGTGATGATGGTAACCGGCGTGGCGACCACGCTGCACGTGCTGCTGGGCACGCGCCTGCCCCTCGTGCAGGGGTCCTCTCTCGTGTACCTCGCGCCGGCTATCATAATTGCCAACTCGCCGCAAAACCTCAGCGCCGATCCCTCCCAGGTACGAATCTCCAAGTGCCTTAGAACGAGTCGTCTCGTGTGCCTGGGAACAAGGCGAGCGGCCTTCTCCTCGTGCAGGGGTCGTTTCTTGTTTACCTCGCGCCGGCTATCATTGTCGCCAACTCGCCGCACAACCTCTCCGCCGATCCCTCCCAGGTACAACTTGTGATTGCGGAAGGTTTGGTCTTATTTCAGACAGGTTCGGATAGTTTCAGATAGGTTCGGGGACGTGAGGGCGTGCTTTGCATGGTTTCTTTCCGCACATTTACTGCTTTCCCACCTCGGCAAGGTGAACCTTAAGTCGACTCAAAGGTCACCCATGCCACAGCACCCCCGTTCCCTCTCACTTCGTCCCACTTCCCTTCCTCATATCTTGCGACTCCTCCTTTTTCCCAAATGTGACTGTATGGGCTGTGACTGGGTGTGGTGTGATTCTACGCGGTGTGTGCGGTGTGACTGCATGCGCTGCTATTGCATGCGGTGGGATGGGATGTTGTGTGACTGTATTCGCTGTGACTGCAGCGGTTTTCATTGACAATGCGGGAGACGATGGGGGCAGTGATTGTGGCGTCGTTGCTGCAAGTCGTTGCCGGCTACTCGGGCTTCATGTCGCTCCTCATCGAGTAAGCACCCTCGGTTGTTCGCAGGCTTCATGTCGTTCCTTATAGAGCGAGCACCGTTGCCCGCTACCCCATCCCACCCCTCGCTGCTTTCGATAGTGGCGTCGCTGCTGCAAGTCGTTGCCGGCTACTCGGGCTTCATGTCGCTCCTCATAGAGCAAGCACCGTTACTGTCACTCTTTTTAGAGTTATCCTGTTGCTTTTTTAACCTCCTTAGCACTGTTAGCTACTCTGGCTCTCCTTCCGCTCCGTCAGCTTCCCTGTCATCGGTCGCACCTCACTCTCCCGCCGCTCTTCCATTCCCGCACTCCCCTCGTGTTCCCCCTTCTCCCGTGTTCTTCTTCCCTCCACATCAACCTGTGGTGGTGGCGCCTACCGCATGAAAGTCGGTCGCTCCTTCCTCTCATACGGCTTCCCTGTCATCCGCCTTACCGCACCCTCCCCGCTGTCTCCTCGTTCCCCCATCACCCATCCCCGATCCCCGTTGCAGGCTGATCAACCCAGTGGTGGCGGCACCAACCATCATGGCAGTGGGACTCTCCTTCCTCTCCTACGGCTTCCCTGTCATCCGCCTTATCCCACCTTCCCTTCTGCTTCCCCCTCCTCAGGCTCATCAACCCAGTGGTGGTGGCACCAACCATCATGGCAGTGGGACTCTCCTTCCTCTCCTACGGCTTCCCTGTCATCCGCCTTATCCCACCTTCCCTTCTGCTTCCCCCTCAGGCTCATCAACCCAGTGGTGGTGGCACCAACCATCATGGCAGTGGGACTCTCCTTCCTCTCCTACGGCTTCCCTGTCATCCGCCTTATCCCACCTTCCCTTCTGCTTCCCCCTCCTCAGGCTCATCAACCCAGTGGTGGTGGCACCAACCATCATGGCCGTGGGACTCTCCTTCCTCTCCTACGGCTTCCCTGTCATCCGCCTTATCCCACCTTCCCTTCTGCTTCCCCCTCCTCAGGCTCATCAACCCAGTGGTGGTGGCACCAACCATCATGGCCGTGGGACTCTCCTTCCTCTCCTACGGCTTCCCTGTCATCCGCCTTATCCCACCTTCCCTTCTGCTTCCCCCTCCTCAGGCTCATCAACCCAGTGGTGGTGGCGCCAACCATCATGGCAGTGGGACTCTCCTTCCTCTCCTACGGCTTCCCTGTCATCGGCCGCTGTGTGGCTATCGGCCTGCCAGAGCTCATTCTCATTGTCATCTTTGCGCTGGTAAGCACATTTCTTCTGCTACACTGTGTTATATTCCGATATCATTACAGCAATGTGACAGTAAGTTACTGCCGCTGGCCGATGTGTGGCCATCGGCCTGCCAGAGCTCATTCTCATAGTCATCTTCGCGCTGGTAAGCAGCACAAGCTGTTGTCACTGCGTTATTCTGATATATCATAACAGTGTTGTCACAGTAAGTTGCTGTCATTGGCCACTGTGTGGCCATCGGCCTGCCAGGGCTGATTCTCATAGTCATCTCCGCCCTGGTGAGCTATTCTTGAATATTCTAACCACGTTGCATTCGCTGCGGTATGTTGCACTCCTAGGGCTTTCGCACTAAGTTACTGCCGTCGGCTTGTGACTCTCGAATATTTTTCCATCTCTGTGCCTCCCTCTCGACCTCTGTGACTCCCTCTCAACAGTACCTGCGCCGAGTGTCGTTTTGGGGCTCAAGGTTCTTCCAGATTCACGCGGTAAGCTTCTCATCCCACCCTGCACTTTTCGCTCTATCTGCTCTTTCCAGTTCCAGCTGTTTTTTAGGCGCCTCAAGCATCATCTGCTCAGTCCAGTTGCAGCTCTTTAGAGGCGCATCACGCGCAGATCTCCCTGGGCCTGGCAATCACGTGGCTCTATGCCCTGGTGCTCACACTAGCGGGCGTTTACAGCTACCCCGACTGCTCCTCAGCCTTCTGCCAAACCGGCGCCTCTAGTATTCCTCCCAAGTCCCAATCTTTGCCTGTAATTCTTTCCTTCCCCTCTTCCTCTCCCATCCATCGCAGATCTCCCTTGGGTTGCCCATAACGTGGCTCTACGCACTAGTGCTGACCCTAGCAGGCGTCTACAGCTACCCCGACTGCTCGCCTTTCAACGTGCTTTCCCCATTTCTCCCCCTCCCATCCATCGCAGATCTCCCTTGGGTTGGCAATCACGTGGCTGTACGCGTTAGTGCTCACCCTAGCAGGCATCTACAGCTACCCCGACTGCTCGCCTTTCAACGTGCTTTCCCAATTCTCCCCCTCCCATCCATCGCAGATCTCCCTGGGGTTGGCAATCACGTGGCTGTACGCGCTAGTGCTCACCCTAGCGGGCGTCTACAGCTACCCCGACTGCGCGCCCTCGGCCATCTACCCCTCCTCCTCCCCGTGCGCCCAGAAGCAAGCCCTCATGGCCTCGTGTCGCACCGACGCCTCGAGTGTCCCTTCTGACTCCTGATGGATGCTTGTTCTGCTGCTGCTCCCCTCCCATCCCTCGCCCTTCTGCCTCGATCCTATCTCTCACAGATCTCCCTGGGGCTGGCAATCACGTGGCTGTACGCGCTAGTGCTCACCCTAGCGGGCGTCTACAGCTACCCCGACTGCTCGCCCTCGGCCATCTACCCCTCCTCCTCCCCCTGCTTCCAGAAGCAAGCCCTCATGGCCTCCTGCCGCACCGACGCCTCGAGTGTTCTGTCGGACGCCAAGTGGGTGGCGCCCCCGTACCCGTTTCAGTACGGCATGCCCATCTTCCGATGGGAGTCCATCTGTGTCATGCTGCTGCCCGCTCTGATCTCAACCATCGACTCGGTGAGTTGGGGATGGATGGATGAGTGGGTGCATGCATGTGGGTGGGTGGGCGGGTGGGTGGAAAGACAGCAGTCAAAGGCCAAGTGGGTGGCGCCCCGGTACCCGTTTCAGTACGGCATTCCGATATTCCGATGGGAGTCCATATGTGTCATGCTGCTGTCTGCGCTCATATCAACCATCGACTCGGTATGTCTGGGATGGGGTAATGTCGGTGAATAGAGGTGGATAGATGGGTGGGCGGGTGGGTGGCGGCCCCCGTACCCGTTTCAGTACGGCATGCCCATCTTCCGATGGGAGTCGATTTGCGTCATGCTGCTGCCTGCTCTTATTTCAACCATCGACTCGGTGAGTTGGGGACGGATGGGTGGGTGGGCGCATGCATGTGGCTCAGTGGTACGGATGGGTGGGTGGGCGCATGCATGTGGCTCAGTGGTACGGATGGGTGGGTGGGCGCATGCATGTGGCTCAGTGGGACAGCAGCCAAAGGCCAAGTGGGTGGCGCCCCCGTACCCGTTTCAGTACGGCATGCCCATCTTTCGATGGGAGTCCATCTGTGTCATGCTGCTGCCTGCCCTAATTTCAACCATCGGCTCGGTGAGAAAGGGAACCGATGTATTGTGTTGATTGGGAAAATAGCATCCAACTCTGTCTCCAACGAAATGGTTGCAACCTCCCCTATGTCTAACCATCCCTACTCATCCCCGTCCTTCCCTCTGTCCCTCCCTTCCTTTTTTCCCTCCCTCCACTACCCCTCAGGTTAGCAACTACCACGCAACTTCCCTGCTGGTAGCTGTGCGGCCCCCGACAGGCGGGGTGGCGGGGCGAGGGATAGGCATGGAGGGCGTAGCGAGCGTGCTGGCGGGGATGTGGGGCACGGGGGGTGGACGTGGCGTGGTACACTGCCACCGCTGCTACCACCACCACCACCACCACCACCACCACCATGTAGCATTCACCTTTCTTCCTCGCCCCACGGTCTCCCCTTTCCATTTCCCCTCCCTGCCCTTTGCAGGTCAGTAACTACCACGCAACTTCCCTGCTGGTGGCTGTGCGGCCCCCGACAGGCGGGGTGGTGGGGCGGGGGATAGGCATGGAGGGCGTAGCGAGCGTGCTGGCGGGGATGTGGGGCACGGGGGGTGGCGCCACCACTCTCACTGAAAACATTCACTTGGTTGCGGTTACCAGAATGGGGTCGCGCGTTACGATCATCGTCGGGTCGGCGTTCCTCGTCTTCTTCTCGCTGTTTGGTAGGTGGGGGGACGGGGACGGGGTGGCCTGGCAGGGGGATTGCGTGGTGGCGAGAGCGGGATTGACAGAAAGGGTGGGGACTTGCAGGATGGTAAGGGGGGCCGGTGCGGGTGTTGAGGTTTGGGGGGAGTGGGGGGAGAGATGAGTCCGCACCGGCAGTGTTGGGTTGTCTGTGCCATGATTGGCAGTCTCCTCCCACACACCACGCTGCTGATACACCACTCTGCTTCCCCTCTTCTCCCTCCCCCTCTACCGCCCCTCTTCTCCCGTCTTCCTTTGCCGTTAGACCAGGCAAGGTGGGAGCTCTATTCGCTTCCATGCCGCCGGTCATTGTGGGAGGACTTCTCACCATTATGGCCGCAATGGCAGCATTGCTTACTTACTCTCTCCCTCTTGCGCTCCCCCTCCCTCTGCTTTGCTTGCCCGTCTTCTCCATTCCACCAGGCAAAGTAGGAGCCCTCTTCGCCTCCATGCCACCGGTCATGATCGGAGGCCTCCTCACCATAATGGCAGCCATGGCAGCATCCCTCGGCCTCTCCTCGCTGCGCTACGCCGAGATGGGCTCCTCGCGCAACCTCCTCATCACGGGATTGGCGTTCTTCCTGTCTCTGTCGGTACCGGATTATTTCAAGACATACACTGCTTCCAACGGCCACGGGCCCATCAACACGTCTAGCTCTGGGGTGAGTACTAAGTGTTTTTGCATCACTCTCTCGCCTTAGGGCGTTGTTCATGAGAGCTGCCCTCGTCCTTCACTCAACTGCTCTTCCTCTTCCTCTCCGTCCTGGATTCATTTAAAGCGACGGGCAACTTTTGGCAGTGTTGGGTTCAGAAGTTTTTTTTTTGAACCAGGCTTGCCAGCGCGAAAGTGCTGGCTGGCGAAAACCAGGATTTCGTGCGGACACTTTCCATCCGCAGTAACAGTTCGCCAGGGTTCTGGGTTTTGGGTGGCAAATGTGCACCGTCGCTTTAAGACATACACGGCTTCGAACGTGCGCGGGCTTATACGTTTAGCTCGGTGGTGAGTGTTGGGTATGTTGCGCACATGCTCTGGCCTTAGGGTGTGTGTGCTCTCGGCAGCAGCACTTAGCCTCTGCCTCGCGCTCTCCCTCTCCCCCTCTCCGTCCCGGATTACTTCAAGACGTGCACTGCTTCGAATGGCCACGAGCCCATCAACACTTCCAGCTCGGGGGTACGTGTTGAGTGTTGGGTGTTGAGTGCATGCACGTGGGAGGTGTAGCTGCAGCAGCCGCTGCAGCTGCTGAAGCCTTGGGCTGGGATGGGCTTCTTTTGCAACCTCCTGAGTATTTTTGAGAATTCTCTGCAACAACAGGATGGGCTTCTCTTGCAACTTCCTCATCACCGGCCTTGCGCTCTTCCTCTCTGCTCTTCTGCTCCCTGCCAGCTCAACTTTGTGCTCAACTCGCTGCTCGCCCTGCCCATGGCCATCGCCTTCATGACTGCTTTCTTCCTAGACAACACTGTACCCGGCACGGCCACCGAACGAGGCCTCTACGTCTGGTCCGGACGTAAGGCGGCTCGGGCCGATCCTCTCATGCATGAGGACTATGACCTGCCGTTCGGCTTGAGCAGATTCTTCTCCTGGGTCTTCTGGCTGGGCGTGTGAGAGTGGTGGGAGTAAAATGAGATTTCAACTCGAGAAGATTCTGTGGTCTGGTCATTGCTGCAGCTCGGGCCGATCCTCTCATGCATGAGGACTATGACCTGCCCTTCAGCTTGAGCAGATTCTTTCCCTGGATCTTCTGGCTGGGTGTTTAGCTGCACCCCAAACCCTAAAAGGCTTATCTCGTGCTGGTTAGGTCAGGTCGTATGTCCTGTTCTCTCCATGGGTTGTTTGTAAATTATGTGCTCCGTAGGTGTAGCAACTAATTTATATGTAGGCTTCTTGGCTTCCTCGGGGATCGGATTAGTGGTTGAATGTGGTGTAATGAACAAGCAGCTTCTATCAAATCCTTAAATCTCTACCGGTACATCAGTCGCCCTAATATGCTACGGTGTCATTATTACAGTACGGACTTATGAAGCACCACTTCAAGTCCGTCTGCAGCTACAGTTCTGATGCAGCATTGCACGCACCAACCCATCTGCATTAATACTGCAGTGCAGTGCATCATGCACTAGTGCCAACAGCAAGAGCCTTTATCTCAACCAACACGCGGGCATCTGCTGCTGCTGAGACGGCCGAATCACTAGCTCCTGAGTTGGCCAGGACAGAGCTGATATGGTGGGGGAACAGGGGGGTTGGAGTGGGGGAGACGAGGAAGACCAGGGGTGGACGGATGGGGGAGGAGGTGGGAGGACGAAAGGGGCGTGGGTGGGTAAATGGGGAGGTAAAGGGAGGTACAGTAGCCTGGTGTGGTGGTTGAGAAAGGAGAGGGGCCTTTCGCGAGCGTTGAAGAACCGCAGTGGCTTAGCCAATAGGGACAGACGTTGATGCCTGCAGCACCAGGCGGTACTGTGAGAGGCGGCTGGTGAGTGCATAATAAACCCAGTCACTTGGAGGGGACCTTTGTGAGTCCTTGACACCCTCAGTGGCTTACCCGATAGGAACAGAGACCGACGCCTGCAATACAAGGCGGTACTGGGAGAGGCGGTTGGTGATGCGCCCACTCGCTGCAGGCACCGAGTCCTGAGGCGCCGTTACAGTCACATTCGTTTGGTCCAGGTTTGACCCGAGGAAGCTTCCTGTGAGGGCACCTGCGCGCAGCACCACCTGGTTGGGTGTGAGCGTGAAGGTGCCATCTGGGGAAGGCTGGAACTGACCCCCTGTGGGGAGGAGTGAAATGGGGCATGTGCAGAGAAAGAGGTAAAGGAGGAGGGGGAATGTAAAAATTGGGTGAGATAATGTTTGTGCACTCTATTGACCAAGCGATATTTGATACAATTTTTTTCTCTTACCTGAGATTTCCACTACTGGCTGGGAGACCTTGATTGTAGCGAGGGGAACGCCCATTGCGGCTGAAAGGACGGCTGTGATTTCATCTGGTCGCGAGCCCGCGGTGGCTGCCTGCCACGTCATTACACGCGTGGCTGACGAGTTTTCTGCCAAATCACGCAGATTGATCTGACCAATCAGGTTGACGGAGCTGGGAGTGATCTCTGCCGTGATGCCACTTGGCATGCCCTGGAGGGTGACGTGGCACACGGACTGCTCTGGGACGAAGTTGAGGATGACGACGGCTGCGGCGTGAGAGGTGAGAAGCGCGAATGCGGTTACTGCCAGCATGATCGCGCTAGCAGAGTTCCTCTGGATATCCATGAGCAGGAGATGACGGACAAACAGAATCTGGGTCGTGTAAGTTTCTTTTGAAGTCCTTTTCTAGGGAAAACACGTTCCGCTGCGAGGAAAATGAGGGAACCGCTGGTTTGAAGTCTGAGTTCGCATGAAGCTTTGAATCTATCGACAAGGCTATTCGTAGGTGAGTCGATCTTGCATTGCTGTTCTCCAACACCCAACATTTTTCAATTTCCCTCAATCATCTATAGATTGATTTGCGTCGGAAATGTCAGCTTGAGGGTGACGGGCGAAGCGCGCGAGTCAACATTACGAGTCGCGCATTTCTCTCCAGCCTGCCACACAAGTCAAATGAGAGTACAGAACGTGATTGACCGTGACGACGTGGCGACATCGGGTTGCCAATTGTTACATGTCGCGTTATTGCACCTAGGCCATTGACGCATACAAGATTGTGTGAAGTTGTTGAAACGCTATCAAAATTGCTTCCAACCAGCCCTAGAATCGAGGTGGTCATTTGCGCATCCCCAAAACATACAGCAAAAACCTCCCATTCCATCCGTTCATCCCACCCAAGGCACCAACAGCTGGCTCTTCTGTTTCCCCTCTGCGTCATTCTCGCTTGTGGCGAGTCGAGTCGAGAGTATTTATCAAGCTCAGATAACATAGGACTCAGCGGGATCAGGGAGTTATTCCCAAGGGACGTGTTTCATTGAATCCTCTGTAGTTTCACCACTAAGTCCATGGCTACGGACGGCCTTCAACGCACTTGATCCTTTCGTGCTGCCAGCTATCACAAGACGGGAGCTGGTAAGCCAATTCCGGTCTCCAATGCATCCTCCCTCTCTTTCTCTTTCATTCCGAAAAGCGTTTGCTTTCACGATCTGAGTTATGAAACTCGCTCAGGTTGACTTTATATGCTCGCGGCTGTGATGACGTATGTTTCTGGACCTCCGATTTCACCGTGAGGAATGTACAATAATACCTTAGCTGTGGTTCTGAGCCGCGCGTTGCAACCTTTCCCTTCAAAACTTATCGATGTCCATTCCATCCAAACGTTCGCTTCCTGCTCCTTGGTCCCTCAGCAGCACTCGAATCTCACCATTCCGCACTTGCACTTGCTCCTCGTTTCTCGCATTTCACGCTCATTGTTGTCAGTCGCGTTCCTGTTTAATCCCGTCTTTCGTTCAATTTCCGTAGCGGACGAGTCCCAGATGATGAATTTAAGTAGATGTGGTAATTTGCGTCCGATGGCCTTCGGCCGACTGAGGACTCAACCTTGGAGAACTGATGGGACTGATTTTTTGGCCATCGTCGATGTATGAGGACCTCACAAATGTATATTGGATGTGCATTTTCGTGTTGGAAGAAGTCTCTTCCAACCAAAGATTTTATCTTTCATGTTTTTGTTCCTGTTTGGTCTGGCCAGAAACTTTCTCTGATGGGAGACCACACGGGAGAAGCAGCCAACAAGACGGCGCTGACGGACGTTGAGCCTACTGACATGCGGGGTTGAAAGACGTCTCTCTCCAGTCGGTTCTATCCTTCTGACATGGCGTATCGTCTGACAAGGTTCGTTCTGCTCTTCATCTCGAGATGCTATTGACATTCTTCTGTTCTGGAGGTTTCGTGCCGGGTGTTTAAACTAAGATTCTAGTTGCGACAATTGCTAGTGCGTCGTTCGAGCGGCTCGCATCCCACGCGACGGCGTGCGATCCCTTCACGGGGTTCGCATTGCCCGTCCGGGGTTGCGATTTTCGCTGTCGCAACGTACTCGTTCCCAGTCGCACATATCGCCCAGCCTCCCGTGACTTACCCGTCCGTTGTGATCGACGGAGGGGAGTCCACAGGGTTCTTGACCGTCCCTGTAGGGGAGGTTCATTACTGGTACATCACAAGACGTTCAGACCGACATTTGATGTTTCCTCTCCAGCATTTTTTTGTCATGCACCATGAAATTGTGGCTTTCGGCGGACGTGTCTCAGAGTGCATTTGTTGGTTTGTCCGTACTGACATCCCACCGCCCCATATGTCCGACCTTGCAGGATTTACAATTCCTGGTAATGTCCAGCTTCGATAGATCCTTCGCTTCAAGTCAACCTTGTGGCATAATATGCGGATCAATCCAAGGGAACCAGGAGGCTGCAATCTTTGTTGCGTGCCATTGCTGAGTAGCGGAGAAACGAGGAATAATTAACACCATGAAATCCCCGCCGCTCTCGTCGATGATACGATGCCACAAAAGGTACGCGGCGTTCCTGCAACACTCTTCAATGCCTGCTCGAGTCTTCACCATGATGGCGCATGATGCAGTGACGTTTGGGTGTTTGTTTTGTGCGTGATGGTGAATGCACGGAGAGCAATGACGATCAGTGCTTAAGAGGCCATTACTGGCCTGTGACGAATCAAATTCTTTAAACCTCCTACTCGAACTGAGCTCTCCGTACATCTAAGGCTACTGATTCACTCCTTGCGTCTTTTAGTCTTGTTGATATTGTTCTCCCGTTTTTTATTTTTACCATTCAATGATCACTTATCTAGTAGGTTTGCTCCTACCGTGTTCCCTTGTACAGGTACTTCAGCCTTGATCACACTTGCTCTCAATATGGGGAGCAGAGCAGTCCGTTAGTGTATGATCATTGCTGTCTAATGGTTTTGATCTTCTAATACGGCGAGTCTCCAATTCTAGGAGCAGTGCCTTGTTTGCAAGGACATCGACACTAGCAGTTAGCAAAACAAATTGTGGAATTGTGATTTCAAGGATTGGAATTGAGATCTTTCCTTACAGAAGTAGTATTACAGAGGATGTTACCGGTACTACTGATACCGCTTGTAGTACAACTATATCAATCGCTATTACCTGTAACGTATCAATGATATTCTCAGTACTGTGTTCAACCTGTGGGGGCAGCTCCTGGAGCAGCTCCAGGGGCACGGCCAGGTGCAGCCCCAGGTGCAGCCCTGGGAGCAGCTCCGGGAGCCCTGCCAGGTGCAGCACCTGGAGCAGCCCCAGGAGCACGGCCAGGAGCAGCCCCAGGAGAAGGGGGAGGGTTCTTACCCCCAGCAGCAGGTGTAGGCGCAGGGGCAGGAGTGGGAGCAGGGGTGGGAGCAGGTGAAGGGGTAGGGGCAGGAGCAGGCACAGGAGCACAGCCTGAGGGAGCGGGAGCAGCAGAGGGGACACCAGCCAAAGGAGGGGGTTCCCTGCCAGGAGCAGACGGGGCAGGATAAGGGCGCAGCGCACTCGGAGGCTGCTGACCAATCCCCTGCAGGTTGAGGTTAACCCGCATTACTGCTGCTGCTCCAGGTGGGGTGGGACCAGTACTCCCAAGAGCTTCAACCACTGAACGCAGCGGCACGTCGAAGGATCCGCCTGACAGCAGCTCGAATATCTTTCCGCGGCGGATGAATTTGCCGTTGAGAGTGGGCGCATCGGTCTCAGGGACGTCGATGACTACGTTCTGCTTGTCCACGTTGTTACGCATGAGAGAGCCGGAGACGCGGGAGAAGAGCAGCTTGGTGTTGTTAGGCTGGAACGCGTAGTCACTGGTGGTGTTGTCAATGGGGAAGCGCCCGCCCCAGATCTGCACTTTGGGGTTCTCGAAGGTCAGGTTTGCGAACTCGTTCGGGCCTGCGGGTGGTGCGACGAAAGCCGTCCACGTGGCAGGGTCTGAAGAGAAGTTGGAGGAGAGCCATTCAGCCTGCACATGAGGAGGCACACAAATTGTGTTACCAAAGCAAGTGTTCCACAGAAGTACGGTAGCCAGTAAATTTTTCAAAATCTGTTTAACAGGATTTGCATTCAGAATGCTTTATTTTAGAAAGCATTATTGCATTAAACACGGTAAGAGATATGACCTTGCATGCAATATTTCTTACAAAGATCGGCGTGAACTGTGGCCGGATGACCCTCAGCACGTTGATAACAACAGGTCCCACCAGCTTAAACTGCCCCGGAGTGCTCTCCTTGCGGAGCCCAGGCGGTCCCTCCAGCGACCACGACGACACGGAGTTGTCTGGAATTGTGTTGAGGTCCACCAATCCGCGCTTAGGTTTCTCTGCGCAAGCTGGTGCTCCAAACGCAGAGAGAAGCAGCAGGACTGAGAGGGAGGCTAAGACTGCTCGGAAGAGCAGTGCGCGGAAATCCATCGTGAAAAAACAAAGATCTAGGCGAGGATGCTGAGGGCTGGTTGCTCAGGATGAAAAGACAAAGAGCAGCAGAGAACCAGGCACACTGACGGAGTGAAGCGCAGAAACCAGGCGAAGCTGGCGGGGCTGTTGGGATAGAGTCGCCAAGGCTCTTGATATTGTGAATGTGGGTGGGGCGAAATTTGGTTGGGAAGTTGGGGGAACATTCTGCGGCTCGGTAGATGCGTCCCGTGCGATGAGGTGAATTCGCGACAGCTGTTTGAATCAAAATGATTGGTCTGTTACCATCGCGAAAGGAAGTTACCGTCGGATCCAGCCTGACTTCGAATCAGTCGTGGAGCCCCCAGCGCATTTTCCGCTGTACCTGTACGAAACCAGCTGAACCCGAGACTCGTGCTGAATGCCTGCCATCATGCGTGTTCGATTTTGCCCACGAAAACGCCGTACGCCTTTGATGTGGTACTGTTTTTGTTATGAGTGCGCAGGTAAACGAATAACGAGACTGTGATTAACTGATCTGAGAATACAATGAAGGCACATACTAATGTAGGGGTTGGCCTAGCTAGGAGGAAACCTCGGACGAGCGAGGTTGGGGTGCAGGTTTGGCGTTGGGAAATGCCGAAGGCGACGCGAGGAGCCTCGACAGCGTTGAAATCGGCCGAACGTGCAGAGTCCGAAAATCGGGTTGTACGCATAGCAGTCAACCCCGACAAGGAATTCGGGAAAATTCCTTACACTACCCCCCCCCCCCCCCCCCCCCCCCCCCCCCTTAAGAAAGGCGGTCAATATCCGAAACACGCCTGCGCGCCAAGTAATCACCAACAAGTGACGAGGCGGTCAGCGAGTCAGAGTGCACCCACGTGTCGTCCTCACTGGTGCGATCGGTCCAACGGACCAGGAAGTCCACGTGACGACCAGCTGCGTCAAGGCGAACCCGATGTGCCAGAATCTTCGAAGGTTCGACAGTCGGCTCCGGGACAGGTCGTGCAGTTGGGGCAGCTTGTTGCCGCGCGATGTCAGTCGTGGCTGGCACGAACTTCCGAAGCAGGCTGACGTGGAAGGCGTCATGAATGCGCCAGTCGTCGGGTAGTAGCAGCTTCGCGGTAACAGGTGTCACCATCTTGATAAACTTGAAGGGCCCACAAAACCGTGGCCGTAGTTTTGACGGGCCGGGCAGGTGCAGATTCTTCGTATCAAGTAGCACTAGTTGCCCAGTGGTCAAGACGAGTTCCCGGCGTAGAAGGTCGGTATATTTGCGAGAAGTGATATTCGCTTTGCGAATTGCGTCCGCGGCTTTTTCTCAGACTTCCTGAAGTTCCGTCACAAAAGTTTGTGACCTCGGGACCGGGTTGTCGAGAGTAGTTGCCGTAGGCACCGTCGGGTCCATCCCGTAATTTAGGAAAAACGGGGAGTGATTAGTCGTGTTGGACGGTGCATTGTTGAAGGCGAACTCCAACATTGCTAGAGATTCTTCCCAGTGGGCAGGGTCGGGGCAGTTTGTCCTGATCAGCTGCTCCATGGTCTGATTGGTCCGCTCGGTCTGGCCGTCCGTCTGTGGGTGATAAGCCGATGAGAGCTGTAGCTCCGTGCCGTACTGCGCCCACGTCTCCTTCCAGAATTTTGATGTGAACTTCGGGTCTCGGTCGCTGATGATCGCCGAAGGGATGCCGTGCAGTCGCACGACCGTTGAGATGAAGAGGCGCGCAGTTTCTTCGGCTGTGATTGTCGTTCGGCATGGGGCAAAATGCACCATTTTCGTGAAGCGATCGACGACGACGAGGAGCACCGCGTCGTTGCCGGACGGCCCAGCTGGCATCCCCGTGACAAAATCCATTGTCACTTGCTGCCACGGTCGTTCGGGTGGCTCGAGGGGTTGCAGCAGCCCAGCTGGTCGTTGACGTGTCGATTTCATGGCTTGACATACCCTGCATGAGGACACATATCGCTGCACGTCGTTAGAGGATCAGGCCAGTAGTATTGACGGTGCAGTAATTTTTGGGTTTTATCAACCCCGAAGTGTCCGGAGAAATTCGAATCGTGGACCTCTTGGATAAAGAGTTCACGCAGCAGCCTGTAAGCGGGAACCCAAATCCGGTCGGTTCCGGCCTTTAGGTAATAGTCCCCTTTCTGCGTCGTGGCCTGCTGGTGATTTCCAGTCGTGAAGAACGGGTCCGTAGTGTAGCCGTGGGTGAATAATCCGGTAAGTAATGGGTTCGAATGGGTAATGAGTACTGCAGCGGATTGTACTGTCGGTCGCGTCAGGGCGTCGGCGATGTTATTCGCCCCTTTCTTGTACGTGATGCGGTAGGTGAAGTGGCTCTCCATATAATCCAGCCACCGTATTTGTCGCGGGTTGAGGTTGGGCTGGGCTCGCAGGTACTGTAGGGACTTGTGGTCCGTGCGAACAGTGACGTCGGCGCCCACCAAGTAGCAGCGCCACAGTTTGAACGCGTGTATTATGGCGAGCATCTCCTTGTCGTAGATCGGGTAGTTGCGTTCGGCTGCCTGCAGCTTGCGTGATTCATAGGCTATCGGCTGCAACCCGTTCCCGAAATTTTGGAGTAGCACAGCTCCGATGGCAAAATCTGAGGCGTCGGTGACGACTTCAAACGGCTTCGATGGGTCGGCGATGCGCAGCACAGGAGGGGAAACGAGAAAATTCTTGAGTTCCTAGAAAGCCGCTTCGGCCTCCTCCCCCCACACAAAATTCCTGTCCTTGTGCAGCAGGTCGGTCAGCGGGCCGGTTATCCCCGCCATATTCGGGATAAACCGCCTGACGTAACTCACGAATCCGAGAAAACTCTGGAGTTCCGTAATATTTGTCGGGGACTTCCACTCCTGTATGGTCTTGATTTTCGCCGGGTCGATTTTGATGCCATCGCGTGAGATGACTTGCCCCAAAAACTCCAACTCCTGTGTCAGAATGTTATTGTATACATCACTTTATAACTGCCTGCAATGTAGACTTAGTGTAGTTATCTTGCTTGTTAGGTGGTGCACCTTGCTCCACTTCTTTCATATTTGTACCCTTGAACCTATAGTGAAACGCCCATTCCCCTTCACAACTTTCTCGACACTCTCCTCACCCTCGAACTTAACTACCAAGGCTCCTAAGCTATGGCTCCCAAGCCCACCTAACTCTACCTACTTCTCTCACATGGAATCAGAGCGACTACGCTCTTGGCCTGTGGGCCCCACGTGCTTCCGCTGCTTTCTTTTCTATCGCGCGCCCCGTGGCGCGCGACACTTTTTTCTTCCCGCCACGCGCTCGGGGCGCGTGGCGGTTTTCCGCACGCCGTGCGCCCCGGACGCGCGGACGCCGCCCTTCTCGGCCCCTCACGGCCTCTTCGCGGCCCCGTCGCTGCTCCTCTCACGGCCCCTCGCGCTACCCTCAGTGGCCCCGTCGCCACACTTCGCGGCCCTGTCGCCGCCCCATCTCGGCACCGTCGCCGCCTTTAGCGGCCCCGTTGCCGCCCCTAGCGGCCCCGTCGCCGCTCTTCGCGGCCCCGTTGCCGCCCCTAGCGGCTCCGTTGCCGCCCCTTGTGGCCCTGTCACCTGCTCGTTGCGGCGCACCCCCCCCTGGCCGCCGCCTCTGCCTCCCTTGCGCCCGTGCCTGCTTTGCAGCAGCGCGCGGGCCTGCCTTGCAACAGCAGCCGCCCCTGGAGTAGCCACCCCAGCAGCAGCCGCCCCAGCAGCAGCCGCCCCTGGAGCAGCCGCCGCTGCAGCAGCCGCCCCTGGAGCCGCCGCCCCTGGAGCAGCCGTCACTGCAGCAGCCGCCCCTGGAGCCGCCACTGCAGCAGCAGCCCCTGGAGCAGCCGCCCCAGCAGCAGCCGCCCCTGGAGCAACCGCCGCTGCAGCAGCCGCCCCTGGAGCAGCCGTCACTGCAGCAGCCGCCCCTGGAGCCGCCACTGCAGCAGCAGCCCCTGGAGCAGCCGCCACTGCAGCAGCCGCCCCAGCAGCCGCTACCCCTGCAGCAGCCGCCCCTGAAGCGGCCGCCCCTGCAGCAGCCGCCCCTGGAGCAGCCCGCAACTGCAGCAGCCGCCCCTGGAGCAGCCTGCACCTGCAGCAGCCGCCCTTGGAGCAGCCCTCAACCGCAGCAGCCGCCCCTGGAGCAGCCCGCATCTGCAGCAGCCGCCCCTGGAGCAGCCAGCAACTGCAGCAGCCGCCCCTGGAGCAGCCCGCACCTGCAGCGGCCGCCCCTGGAGCAGCCCGCACCTGCAGCCCGTCCCGTTCCCCCCCCCCCCCCCCCCCCCCCCCCCGTGCATTCCGTGGTGCTGGGGGTGTGGGGTGCCGAGCATGGGGGTGGCGGGTGTGGGGGTGGCGGTTATGTGTTCCTCCCCTTGCTCCTCCTCCTCCCTCGTCTCCCACTGCTGCAGCTGTCGCTGAGGGGGGTGGGTGTGTGGGAGCCTAGGGTTTAGGGTTTAAGGGGGGTGCTGTGGGAGTGGAGCTAGGGTTTGAACAGGGAGTGTGTGAGAGGGGAGTGGGGCAGCTGAGGGAGGTTGTGTGAAGGTAGCTGTCGTGTCGCCTGCAGCGCCTGTAGTCCGTCGCCCTTGCTTCGGTAGCCAGTGAGCCTGTTGCACCAGTCGCCAGTGGGTCCGTTGCTCCTGCCGCTCGTCTATAGCCGCGGAGCCAGTCACTCCAGTAGTCCGTCGCCCTTGCTTCGGTAGCCACTGAGTCAGCCGCTCCTGTGCCCGTGCCTCTGCAGCTTCAGTCGTTGCCTCGCATCTTCTCTTCCTCCACAGTCTCTCCTCCTCATTTGCCCTCTCTGTCTGCTGCGCTCTACTTGGTGTACCCCTTCCGGGGGTGTTTCTGCACATGGTTCTTCACTGCAGGCAGTTAGGGGGTGTGTCAGAATGTTATTGTATACATCACTTTATAACTGCCTGCAATGTAGACTTAGTGTAGTTATCTTGCTTGTTAGGTGGTGCACCTTGCTTCACTTCTTTCATATTTGTACCCTTGAACCTATAGTGAAACGCCCATTCCCCTTCACAACTTTCTCGACACTCTCCTCACCCTCGAACTTAACTACCAAGGCTCCTAAGCTATGGCTCCCAAGCCCACCTAACTCTACCTACTTCTCTCACATCCTGCTTAAAAAACTCGCACTTAGAGCCTTTGGTGATGAGTCGGTTCTCTTGCAGCCGCTTAAACACTGCATCCAGGTCACGGAGGTGCTGCTCCCTTGTCTTGCTAAAAATCAGGATATCGTCCAAGTAGACGATGACGCATCGGTCTAGAAGATCCCGAAAAACCCTGTTCATGGTGAGTTGAAATGTCGAAGGCACGTTCGTGAGGCCAAAAGGCATCACTGTAAATTCGTAACTTCCGTAGCGTGTGCAAAACGTGGTCTTGTGACAGTCGTCGGCGAAGACTCGAATCTGGTGGTAACCGCCACGTAAGTCAATCTTCGAGAAATAGCGAGCGCCGCGAAGTTGGTCGAGGAGGTCGTCGGTGCGTGGGATTGGGTAGCGAGACTTGATGGTGACCCGGTTCAGCACGCGATAGTCGATGCACATGCGAAGCCCGCCGTCCTTTTTCGGGGTGAACAGGATTGGTGCTGCGAAATGAGATGTGCTGGCTCGAATGAACCCTTTCTCCAACAGTGCGTCGATTTGACTTCGCAGCTCCTCGAGTTCCGGCTGGGTCAACCGCCACTGTGTCCGAACAGTTGGCTGCGCGCCAGGTTCCAGCTGGATTTTGTGGTCCTCAGGTCTCTCGGGTGGCAGTCCAGGTGGCAGGTCGTCGGGGAAAATGTCGGGGTACTGTCGAATCAGCTCCACTAAATACGGCGGTACAGCTGCACACAGCTTCTCGATGTCCTTTCCGTCGGTATCAACTGCCAACTCGCGTAAGCAAACAGCGAACAGCTGCGCGCCCCTGTTGAAGTGGCGGGCAATAGTGATGGCTTTGACGCACGGGGCTTGGATGTAGTCAGGTGTCCATGCAGGCAGCTTAATTAGCCCTTCGTGCTTGTTGATGCTGCACGATCCCATTGTCCAATCGATGACGGGGTTGTGCCGTCGTAACCAATCACGTCCCAGCAGCACGTCGTAGCCGTCCAGTGTCGTCGCGAGGAACTTCATGCTGAAGCCGAAATCGTCGCCGCATTCGATCCTGACCGTCCGTGTTTCTTCCGTTATCGCCAGAGGCGTCCCATCCACGAGGCGGGCGTCAATTTCGGGCAGACACCTGTCAAGTTGCAGCTTGCATTTTTTTGCGCTCGCCAAATTGAAGAGGCTATGGCTGGCCCCCCCATCGACGAACATTTTCAAGTTATTTTTTAACACCTTGCCAGCGACCAGCACAGGGTGATCCACATGTGTATCCCCGTTATTCGGCCGAGTGCGATCGATTTCATGAATCGGAACCACGACTCGGTGGGGATGGTGGGGTTCGGGCGACGGAGCACAGTCAGTTAAGGGCCCGCTAATTACTGACTCTTCCCATTTCCTTGCTCCTTCCTGTCGTTCCCCGTCAGCGGCGTTTTCTCGTGGCAGTCTTTCATGTAGTGACCCGTCTTCCCACACCGGTAACACGGTCCCTTAGGAGGGCGGTCGGGTGTATGGACGGTGTTGATCGTGGCCCGATGGGTCTAGCCACGAAAGCGGTTTCCATCCCTGGAAGCTGCTCTCGCGTACTGCATCAGCGCATCTGTAGACTCCGCCAGCCGTACTGCTTCGAGGAATGATGTCGGGCGGCCCCTGCGAACCTCGTACTGTATCTCGTATTCGAGGCCGCTGATGTATTTATCCAACTGCTCAGCTTCCGACATATCATCAACTTGGTCGGCGAGGCCCATAAATGACGCCGTGTAGTCTTGGACAGAAGCCATCTGCGACCATGCACGCAGCTTCATGCGAGCTTGCTCCGAGGCGGATACGTGCTCGAAGCGATCTCGTAAGGCTGCGCCCCACTCCTTCCACGTGCGTATCTTGGTCACTCCGAAGATCGATTCTGCCACTTGATTAGTCACTGTTGAGGTCCCGTCTGCCGCATGCGTCACACCTGTCGGCGTCCCCGTTTCCAAGGTTCGGCGCCACCACTCAAGCGCTGCACCTCGAAGAAGCGAAACCGCGTAATTAATACGCGTGGCATCGTCATTAACTCCTGCTGCAGTGAAGAAGACCTCGACACCGAACAGCCACCCTTTTACTGTAACCGTCTTGTCCGTAGGATTAAACGGGGGCGGGTTGACGGGCTTGATCTTAATCGTTGTTACTGCAACTGGCGCTGCTGCCGCTCGCTGCCTATCCTCCTCTTCGAAGTCACGTGTGAGCGCGTCCAAGGGATTGCTCACCGCTTGACTGTTGCCCTCGCCTTCGTCTTTGGGCGACACCTGACGCGCTTCAGCTCGCGTCTGGCGCAGCTCGACGTTTTCTTCACGCAGTGTTGTCACTTCCGCCATTAATGTCTTCATGTCTTCCTGCATTTCTGCCACTTGTGCCATCATCCTGTTAACCGCCTCCTGATCCATGTGCCTAGCGCTACGTCTGGTGGGCAGTCGGGTCTCCATGGCCTTCAGGCAAGTGAAAACACGAACTATCGGAGTCGGGCAGGATTGAATCACCAATCCCTGCAGCCAACCGTCGTGTAGTCACTAAACCAGCCACACCCTATGCCACCAAACTACCCTCGGAAAAGCGGGGTGAACTAGGAAAGTAGCTCTGATACCAGGTATTATGAGTTGTAAAAGAGAGTGCGCAGGTAAACGAATAACGAGACTGTGATTAACTGATCTGAGAATACAATGAAGGCACAGACTAATGTAGGGGTTGGCCTAGCTAGGAGGAAACCTCGGACGAGCGAGGTTGGGGTGCAGGTTTGGCGATGGGAAATGCCGAAGGCGACGCGACGAGCCTCGGCAGCGTTGAAATTGGCCGAACGTGCAGAGTCCGAAAATCGGGTTGTACGCGTAGCAGTCAACCCCGATAAGGAATTCGGGGAAAAATCCTTACAGTTTTCACAATCTCTTCTACATGGAAACTTATTCTTCAATTCTGTATTCATGAATTAAGTTCTACCATATGTCCAACAATCGAAATGATTATGGTTTGAAGAAGGAAATAATATTAATATTAATATTAATATTAATATTAATATTAATATTAATAATAACAATAACAATTAAAGTAATGGCCAGCTTCGATATTTTTCATGTGCTTCAAGTTCACAGTGCATGACATCTGGTGCATATGCATCAGAGAAATTATGGAGGCTGTGATTTTGTCGTGAGTGAGCCGGGGAAGAATAAGTGTGAATATCACCATTTTACACAATAAAGTACTTGCTAGTAAGGTACCGCTGTATTTGTGAAGCACTCTTTAGTCGTTTGGCTGCTATGATTTCTACATCAATAGCACATGACTGGAGGTGACGTTGGAGTGTGTGTGTGTGTGTGTGTGTGCGTGCGTGCGTGCGTGCGTGCGTGTGTGTGTGTGTGTGTCTGTGTGTGTGTGTGTGTGTGTGCGCGTGTGTGTGTGTGTGTGTGTAATCCCTATCACACGGAATGCAAAATCATTGTTGATAAAAACATCTTGAACATGTAAGTTAGGGAGTACACGTAAAGGCAACGAAACTCTTTGAATCATGACAACATGAAGAAGCCAACAAAACATACTGTAGCTAAGTGCATCCCAATAAAGCACCTTTCTGGAAATTGCGCTAATACACAACCAGATTGACCCTAAGATTATAAAACATGAGGAAAGTACAGTCACAAAATACACCTGCATCCACTTGTTTGTACAAATTGTGGCCATCCACATTTCAAGGGGAAAAGAACTTGTAAAGAGAACTCAAACAAAGGTTGTATGGTGCAAAAGCTAGGAGTATTCCACTACAAACAATTAGGTAACAACAGTATTAAGCGAGCAGCGACAGATTCTATTAGCCTCATGACTACTACTATCAACTACGAATGCTATAGGCTGATATTACTGTGTCTAGGCTTGGGGAGCAGCACCGGGAGCACGACCAGGAGCAGCACCGGGGGCAGCACCGGGGGCACGGCCAGGTGCAGCTCCGGGAGCGGCCCCAGGAGCACGGCCTGGAGCAGTACCGGGAGCAGCCCCGGGAGCAGTACCGGGAGCAGCCCCGGGAGCAGCACCAGGAGCAGCCCCGGGAGCAGCACCGGGTGCAGCCCCGGGAGCAGCACCGGGTGCAGCCCCGGGAGCAGCACCAGGAGCAGCACCGGGAGCAGCACCGGGAGCAGCCCCGGGAGCAGCACCGGGAGCAGCACCGGGAGCAGCCCCGGGAGCAGCACCGGGAGCTTGGCCGGGAGCAGCACCAGGAGCTTGGCCGGGGCCAGCACCGGGAGCTTGGCCGGGAGCAGCACCGGGAGCTTGGCCGGGAGCTTGGCCGGGAGCAGCACCGGGAGCTTGGCCGGGGGCTTGGCCGGGAGCTTGGCCGGGGGCAGCACCGGGAGCTTGGCCGGGGGCAGCACTGGGAGCTTGGCCGGGGGCAGCACCGGGAGCTTGGCCGGGAGCAGCACCGGGAGCAGCCCCGGGAGCAGCCCCGGGAGCACCGCCGATACCTCCACCAGCAGCAGCCCCTGGAGGAGGGGGAGGGGCCTTCCCTCCAGCAGCAGGTGTAGGTGCAGGGGCAGGCGCAGGGGTAGGAGCAGGAGTGGAAGCAGGAGTGGGAGCAGGGGTGGGCGCAGGAGTGGGAGCAGGAGTAGGAGCAGGAGTGGGAGCAGGAGTGGGAGCAGGAGTGGGCGCAGGAGTGGGAGCAGGAGTGGGAGCAGGGGTGGGCGCAGGGGTTGAGGCAGGAGTAGGAGCAGGTGCAGGAGTAGGCGCAGCAGCAGGCTTAGGTGCGCAGCGAGGAGGGGCAGGAGCACCAGAGGGCACACCAGCCAGAGGAGGAGGTTCCATGCCAGGAGCAGACGGGGCAGGGTAGGGGCGGAGGGCGCTTGGAGGCTGCTGGCCAATCCCCTGCAGGTTCAGATTCACCCGCATTACTGCTGGTGCTCCGGGAGGGGTGGGGCCTGGGAGTGTGGTGCCCCCAAGAGCCTCGATCACTGCACGGAGAGGCACGTCGAAGGATCCTCCTGAGAGCAGCTCAAATATCTTCCCGCGGCGAATGAATTTCCCAACGAGAGTGGGCGCGTCGGCCTTGGGAATGGTGAGTTCGACGTTCTGCTGGTCCACGTTGGAGCGGAAGAGCGAGCCATAGACGCGGGAGAAGAGCAGCTTGGTGTTGTTGGGCTGGAACGAGTAGTCGCTTGTGGTGTTGTCGATGGGGAAGCGCCCGCCCCAGATCTGCACCAGGGGATTCTCAAAGGTGAGATTTGCAAACTCGGTGGGCCCTGCGGGTGGCGCGATGAAGGCTGTCCACGTGGCAGGGTCTGATGAGAAGTTGGAAGAGAGCCATTCCGCCTGCACATGACAAGGATGCATAGCAATATTTTCAGGACCATGAGCCACGCGACATTCAATAAAACTACAGTTTTCAGAGAAATTCGATGTGTCAACCACGATTGATCCGATGGGGTTTTCACTTACAAAGATGGGAGTAAACTGCGGCCGGATGACCCTCAGCACGTTGATAACGACAGGCCCCACCAGCTTGAATTGCCCCGGAGTGCTCTCCTTCCTCAACCCAGGCGGCCCCTCCAGCGACCACGACGACACGGAGTTGTCAGGAATCGCGTTGAGGTCCACCAATCCGCGCATGACACGTGGCGGTTTCTGTGCGCAAATAGGTGCTGAAAACGTGGAAAGAAGTAGCACGATGGAGAGGGAGGCCACGACTGCTCCGAGGAGCAGTGTGCGGGGATTCATGGCGGGAACTGAAGAGCCAAACTAGGATGCAGAGGGCCAGTAGCTCGGTACTAAGAAACTGGAAAGAGTACAGGGGACCAAGCCACGCAGAATGAGGCGCAAAAAAACAAGTGAAGCTGGCTAGGTGTGGTGGGGTGAAATTTTGTGAATGTGGGGTGGGGAAGAATCTGGTAGCAATGTTGGGAGAATGTGGGGACGAAATGCGGCTCGATAATTGGGTCTTCTCTGGTGCGATGTGGTGTGGTTTTGTGACAGGTGTTTGTTTTGGTCTGATTGGTTGAAAATTGTTACGAAAGGAGTTACCGTCTGTTACAGGGAACTTCGACTGAATCGTGGAGACCTGAGCGCACTTGGCGCTAGGATTGTACGGCACCAGCTGGACTCGAGAGACTCGTGCTGAATGTCTGCCATGTCATGTGTGTTCGATTTTGCCCTAAGGAAAAGCTGTACGCCTTTGTTGGGGGGGGCAGGAACTTATGGTACCGGAGACAGCTGTAATTTGAAATATTGTTCTCTATTATATTTAAATTTCACCAATGCTAATTACCTTTTGGCCCATTTTTTTCCCCAGAAGCAGACCAGAAAACACAATAGTTTATCGTTAATATATACGAAATGCCAATGCCACAACTATACAGCATGACAATATACCCATTATACAGTACATGTGTTTTTCTGCACGGTGGAAACATGACGGGGAGTGTGAATGATTGTCCTGCAAAGGCGATCAAGAAGTAGGGGTGTAGTTTCATAAGTGCGTGATGTTTGTACAGAGGCTCGTACATGTTCTTCATTGATTCATATGGCAAAGCCAGAAGCAACGTATGAGTGGAGAAAATAATTGATATGTGATAGCCAAACATTTGCTTCACTTGCAAGGCACATGCGCAGTACACTACATTCTATCCAGCCTTCACTGATGCTCACCACTGTACAACATCCCATCATTCTCTTCCATATACTAAAGAATCTACTTTTCAGAAGCTGGGGTAGGAGCAGGGGCAGGGGCAGGAACAGAAGCGGGGCCAGGAGCAGGTGCAGCAGAAGGGACACCAGCCAGAGGGGGAGGCTCCCTCCCCGGACCAGCAGGTGCGGGACGCTCTCCAATGGTTCGGGGAGGCTGCCGGCCAATGGCTTGCAGGCTGAGGTTGAATCGCATGATTACCTCATCAGGGAAATTGGGGCCAGGAGGAGGAGGACCGGGTTCCACACCGAGAGCAACAACCAGTGCACTGGAACGCCAGAGAGGCAGGGAAAGGGTAGGTTAGGGGAGCAGGAAGAGAAGAAGATGTCAGGGAAAACAGGGAAACCATGGAGCAGGGGAAGTGGAGGGGTGGTGCATTGCTCCCATGTCTCTGCGTTGGGTCTACTTGCGGAAAGCCCCGGCGGCCTTGAAAGAGAGGAGGACGCGAGCAAAGGAGGCATTGATGCCGGGACCGGGAGGAGGAGATCCCCGAGGAGGAGGAGCAATGGCTGCAAACATGACACTGCAAAGGGGCAATGGGTTGGGAAAGGTCGTGTTGCGTGTTGGTGGAACACAGGGTTTTGGGGGGATGGGTGGGAGGGTAGGGGGGAAAGAGCAAATGTGCAGACATACATTAGATATGTGACCGTTTGGGTTAAGGATTGTAAAATAAAAGCGAACACATAAGATCTGATAGTTCCTGGACCTTACCGGAGTGGAATGTCAAGCTCGCCACCAGAAATGAGCTCAAAGACAGGGCCCTGTAATAAAACAGCAGCAGAACAAAGTGAATCAGCCCATCAGATCTACCACTACTCATGGAACTGATAAACTAACCAGAAAGACGAAGAGGGGTCGGGGGGGAAAAGGAGGAACAGTAAGCATAGTACAGCATACCCTTCGGATGAATTTTCCATTCAATGTTGGGATGTTTCCTGCAGGGAGCGTGATCACCACATTCTGCTTGTCCACGTTGGAACGCAGCAGCGTGCCTGACACGCGGGAGAAGACCAGCCTCGTGTTGTTGGGCTTGAAGGAATAGTCGCTCGTGGTGTTGTCAATGTCAAACCGCCCACCCCAAATCTGTACGACGGGATTCTGGAAGGTCAGGTTTGCGAACTCGTTGGCGCCTGAAGGTGGACCTATGGAAGCTGTCCACGTGGCAGGATCCGAAGTCAGGTTGGAGGACAACCACTCAGCCTGCACAACCAATCAAGAATACAAGAAAGCACGTAATTAATCAAAGCAAATGAGGCAAAAAAAAAAAAAAAAAAAAAAAAAAACACGCAGGCGAAGCTTTAGCCTGAGAAGTTTCAAATCTAGATGATTGAAAATCACTCACCTGGATGGGCGTGAACTGCGGGCGGATGACCTTAAGCACGTTGATAACGACAGGTCCCACCAGCTTGAACTGCCCCGGAGTGCTCTCCTTGCGCAGCGCTGGCGGGCCCTGCAGCGACCATGACGACACGGAGTTCTCGGGAATGGTCTTCAGATCCACTATGCCGCGCTGCTGAGGCTGCGCGCCGACGAGTGAGGCTAGCGTTGCGAGGAAGGAGAGAGAGACGAGGATGCGGAGGAGTCGGAGGTAGACGTGGAGCGCCATGGGTGCGGGGGTGCAGGTGGTGTTACAGGGTGAATGAGGGTGCAGAGTCAAGAGGAAGAGCCAGCAGCGTCAGGAGAGACAGGCGTGGTCAGGCAGGTGACGGAAGGCTGCTAGACGTCGCAGGAGACGGCAGATCCGGCTGCTTCTTCGCTGAAAGAGAAGTTGAACACTCCAGAGACAGGGAGATGCTACTGAATCTCGTCAAAGAGTGCGCTTAAAAGCGAACAAATAAGGACGATTTTGTTCTCCGTGCGAGGATCGGCGACGTGAGAGCGACGCCGCGGTTGACGCCATCGCAATCTCGCGAAGCGCTCTCCGAAATGGTCCGTGTCGCATGCCATGGTGAGTCGAGGTAATGCGGGCGAAAGATAGTTTCTACGACGCACATGCAGCGCATTTTCCGGGTGAGCTATGGTTGCCAGCCTGAATTGTCCAGCGCGGATATTTTCTTTGGCCTCGAAACGAGACAGCTGGTGATTCAACCATTATGAAACCTCGCCGTGTAGACCCCTACCATGCACCTAGCTTGTCCATTCTATGATGTGAAGCGACACGACGGAATGCTGGCACTCTAGCCACTGCTACGGCAATGCGATATGCCTGATTCAACGCATCGACATGGATGTTGGATGGTGAGCCTCTTGGTGCCTCTTCAGAAAAATGGCTGCTCGGCGTGCTTCTCGCTGTCCGTGCTTCTAGGTATGGTCTGGGATCCACAGAATGAAATGATTTCCTGTCTTCCCTGATATTTGGATTGTTGTGACTTTGGAAACTGAAGTGGTGTACACGAAGTGAGTGTAGTAGGCAACCTGCAATCGTTTGGTAGCCCACCTGCCCTGACTGGAAATATTTTTAGAACATATTTTCCAGGGGTGAAGTACCCTTTGATGCCCCCCTTCCAGCTGTTTCTGTGAGGGAATTTCGGATGGCATTGGGGTTATGCATCGAAATTCAGACATTGCTGGCAGCTGTATTCTCTCATGCCAGCCATGAAATCGTTATGGCGAGTTCTCAGGAAGATCGGACGTGGAGAAATGCCCGTGTACTGCGCTACTACAGCCTTTCCGAGGTTCGACGTCGACGATGGCGGGCTGAGCTGTAGTTTCCGAACCGTGTCGCGAAGCGCCTGATGGGTATCTTGAGTCCTTCCGAATCGCGAAGCAGCTTTTTTCCACGTAAGCTCAGTAATAAGAATAGCATCTGCAAATATTAATGTCGCAAACGTTGACCCCGTTAGTCTCTCAGATTTCGAGGAATTTTGTCAGTTGCTTTCCGCTCTCACACCTGCTGGATTCGTCGTTCTTAGCTGAGGGGTCCCCTGCGCTGTTTACCGCATCTAGTGCCTCAAAGTTGTGTCTCTCCGACAATATTTGTTGCTTGCTAAGCATCTTCCATGGCAATGGCTGGTGCTACTAGAAACTCCCGCTCCTCCAATGGGGTTTTCAATCCCGCTCTCCGACCTCTTTCTCTCTCCCTCTCACTCTCCCTCCTCCTCTCGCTCGCTCTCTCTTTCCTTACCGGGACGTCAGCACAGACGGGAGCAGTGCCGCTGACCATCATTCCTCAGAACTCCGTGTCCACGTGGTCCATTCAGAAGCTGCCAGGTGTCACGGCGAACACGTCACCACTTTCGTTCCAAGAGAAGGGCCCCGTGCTGCTCAACATCTCGCAGGCCGATAGCAAGACATTCCAACCCACCGAGGTAAGTCACCTTCTCAACCATTAATGGTGGCGCTGATGCTGCTGCTTTCAACCTCTCAGCTTGATAGCATGGTGTTCCAAACCTCTGGTGTTTAGTTGTTGGGAGAAGTTGATAGTCAATTTGCCATAAAAGCTCAGCCTCTTCCAATCTGACCACCTCTTGCATGTTTCCACTACTCCCAACGTTGTGGGACTCCTGGGCCCATCCATTTCATATTGGAGTGAATCTCGGTTTGTATGTCAATTCAATCTGTTTTCCTTGAAATGCCTGCCTGTCGTTCTGGCTTCCGCAGGTGGTTTGGACGTCGTCCAACATCAGCACTGATCCTTCCACGTGGACTGCTGAGTTGTCATCATCAGTCAGCCGATCCAGCATCGCCAATTTGACCATGCAGAACCCTCAGATGTGGATTTACGGTACGGATGATTTTCCAGCCCATTAGCCTGGTGCCTTATCCTTCCAGTGGATTGCCTAAGTCTACTCATCCTCTCAGATGATTGTGATTCCTTTTATGTCTACTCATCCCAGACAACCGCGTTGACATGAATGCTCATCCGCTCCTTCATACATGGCCTTCGTTTTGCAAGCATACACACAACTCAAATGGTCACCTGGGCTTTTGTTGTGCTTGCGTGGTCACTGGGTTTCCCTTGTGCTTGCGTGAGCTTTCAATGTGAAAATATGTCTGTGTTCCTACAGGGGGCAAGTTCGATGCGAAGAACCTCAACTACTCCTTCAAGCCGGACAACGCTGTGCTGCTGGTGCAGAGCCTCACAGGCACGCTGCTGGGCACCAACGTGAACAGCCAGAACCTGCAAGTGCCCATTGACTCTGACAACATCCCCACCCTCAACGGCCAGCTCATTGCGCGGGTAAAAATGCCTTCTGATTTGTTCTAATGCATGCTTTTCAGTATGTTGTGTTTTATGTACGTCTTCATTGGTGTACATGATCAAGAGACAGACTGGTCTGGGTGTTGGTTCAGATCAGATTCCCGTCTTGTCTTTATTTCCGGTTGTTCTGTTTCAGGGCCCGCAATATGAGCTGCTGTCGAATGGCGTCTTCGAAGTCCCTCTCAGGTATGCAACTTTCATCCTATAATACGCATACATATAATCACGGATGCCTGCAATGCTCTCAGGTATGGTGTGCATTTCTCCAAGAAATTAGATGCATACGGGGACATTTACATGAATGCCCACATTTTCCATGTTACACCGGGCCAATATTCCTTTTTATTTTTTGCCATTGCACATTGACCATCCAACATTAGCCACCCAACATTCTTCAACCCTCCACCGTGCCGCTCTCATTCACAGCGGTCTCATCACGGCAGCGGGCGGTGGGGAGCAGGCAGGGGGGCTTGTGGGCGACAGCTTCCTGCAACTCAACATGACCATCCAGGCCATCGGCCCTCCTGGCCGTGGGCCTCGCCCTCCCTTCCGTGCCCCCCCTCGCGCACCACGTCGACTCAGATAAAAAGTGGCTTGAAAAGTTGCACCTTCCAAGCCCTCCTCACGTGCTAATGGGACTAGGAACAGGTCTTGCTCAGGTAGGGGACAAGGCGGGTTTTGCTCAGACATGGTCTGCCTTTTACGTAGGAGGAAGCTGTGTTGATGATAATGTGGAAGTACTGCAGTATATTTTGAAGTGAGTGGCAGGACTCTAGTCACAGACAGAAGGACCACAATTGGGCAAAAACGTGTTGGTAAAAGATACCTGAACTGTACATCTGTTATAGCCTTCTCATCTCCAACTCACTGGTAGTTACAATATCCACAGGCTCCTTTGACCCAGAATGCCTCCTATGTTCTAAAACCCCATCTGTGTCCGCTGCAATAACAACACTACTACTATCACCTACATTCCCTTCCAAAGCCTCATCTACACCAGAAGAATCACTACACCCCTTATTGGAGATATCAGCATCAACAGCAGCATCACCATCCGTAGCATCAGCATGAGCAGCTGTTGAAGTCACACCCTCACCATCCTCAGCACCAGCACCAGCTGCCTTTTTTCTCTTGGCCCGCTTGTCGTACCGGTACTTGAGTACAGTAAGGGTTACCATGAAAACGATTTCAATTATAAGAGGGATGGCCACGGGCCAGAGCTTGTACGCCACGCCGTATATGCTGATTCCGATCAGACCCAGCAGGTAGCATGCTTGCCTGGCGGACGAGAAAATGGGAGAGGTGAAGGGGGGGAGTGAGTGTGAGGGGGCATGGAAGGTACAAGGAGAGAAGAGTAGGAAGAGAGGCAAGTGCGACTTGCGAAGAAGAGGGGGCTGGAGGAAGAAAGGGCGAAAACAGGGAGAGGAAAGGGGAGTGGAGAAGGGGAGAGGGGGATAGCGGGATGACTACTGGGAAGACGGGGGTTTGAGGGGGACGGGGTGACGGGAGGGTGGCAGTCTGTGCGTGGTCCCAGAGGTGAGGCGAAACGAGGGGGCAAGGAGGAGAGACTCTGACAGCATCAAGCGCAAATTCTGCTAATCGGAAGATTCATGTCAGAGTAACCATTATAAACGCCCGCAAACGATCGGTTAGGGAAATGGTGAAATAACGAGGGATTTGTGCCAATTCTGACCAGAAATAGCTGAGGTCTTTGGCGGACTTGGTACGGTACGTCTTGACCAGCTGCGGCAGGATTGACACGCAGAAGATGATACCGCCGATGAAACCGCACGCGGAGTACGGATTCGCAAACGACGCTTCTAACGAAGCCTCCTCTGTCGCGACCATAGCAGGTAGTGACAACTACGAGAGTGCTGTGGTAGGTAGTGGGAACAGGGTTGTGTGCTGCTGAGTTGAGAGGGGGAACGGGGAACGGGGAACGGGGAAGGGATTGGAGGAATGTTTGGGTCGCTGGGCGCAATTGGAAATGCTTCGTTATGGGCGCTTTCAGCGAGCGCAGACAAGGATTTATGGGGCTGAACACAGCAGCACCGATTAATATATTGGAATGAAAGAACTACATGTTAATCGCTAGTGATTATTGTGTTTGGTGTTCTCCCTTTTTGTGTCTGAGGCTACTTATCCGCTAACGTGAGAACCTAATGTGTCAATAATGAATCTCCGGCAAGGAAATTGCGCCTCTTCCCCCAACCGCAACGAAATTTGCGCCCCTCCCCGAATTCGGAGGCGGAAATTCGCGCCTCTCTGCATTCGTCACTTCCCCAGCCCCGCACCATCCCAACCATTGGAGACCCAACCCAATCCCCTCAGGCCCACCATTCTTTCCGCCGTGTTCAGGCATGCTTCATGCACATTGCTTTCCATTCATTCTTTCTATTCTACGTAGCTTCGCCTTGCCGCGCACCCCATGTCCCGCTGTTCCGCGCCCTCGCGTCGCGTCGACTCACCTTGTCACCCAACGGGCTCGCTCCGCCCCTTGTCTTTCCCCGCGGGCCGCGGGTCGAGAGTCGAAATGGCCCGTCCATCGTCCATCGCGCCCGACGGACCGCCGCAAGGAAACGCGAACCCGGGTTCCGCCGCGTCCCAGTTACACCCCAACTCCGCGCGTTCACGCCCACCGCCTTCCGCGGCCGTGCTTGTCTCCTTGCGCCTCCTGCGCTTTTCCCCCAGCATCTCTCCCCTTGCTCAGGCCGAGCCGAGGCCCCTCTCAGCGCGGGTTTCCTCAACTGCATGCGGCGCTCACACGTCGTTTCCGTTCCCCCTGTGCGGATCCTCAACCCTTAGGCGCGCGTCTCTCCGTTCCCCTTTTGCGGATTCGCATTTTGCAGGACGCGTCTCACGTCTCATCCAGTACCCCCTCCCTCGCCTCTCTCTCTCTCTCTCTCTTAGCGCCAGGCTGTCTACCCGACAGGGCTGCTCCGCCACGTGCTATTCCGCACCTGCCCGTTGCGGAACCGCTACGGGTGCTCCTCTCACCGCGATACACCGCTCCCTTTTCCATCGTCACCCTTCTCCCTCGCGACCTTCGATTTGACTCTACACTTGTCTTGAATAGTCGCCCGCCGCAAGGCCTGCGATTGCCAAAACGTTTGACCGTGAGAGCCGAGATTCCCAAGGGATCCGACAGTCGTGCCGTTAGACTGATGAAGCGGACGGCTTCCGTCGCGGATTCGTTCATTTTCCGTCACCGGTGGTGATTCAATCACCCGAAGTTTGGAGCGATTTGCTGACGAGCAACTCGTGCTGCGCCGAGTCTCCTGGCAGAGTTTGAGAGGCCGAATGCGTGCGCCTGCCGTGGCTGGTTGCAGCCGATGCAGCAGAACCCACCAGGGGCTTTTTAAGACGTAGTTATTCCAGTTGCTGTGCGTCCTATTCTTGCCATTACACCCGCGTCTCCTGGTTTTCGAATTCGTACCTTCAACAAACGTAACCCACGAATCCTTTCTCGTGTTACTCGTGCCTCTACTTCGCTCATTCGCCTCCTCGTCGTCACTCGTCTCCTAGAAGTCACCTAGATCAGTTCAGCAACCGTTGGTTTCCTCAAAGCCGCAGTTACTGCTTCATTTCTTGGGTGAAATCAGAGAGGCGTTACAGTGCAGTGGCTTCTGAGTTGAAACACCGTGTTGGAACAATTGAGTTGAAACCCCGTGTTGAAACTCAAAGTGAAACTCCGAGTTGAAACGCCTGACGCGTCTGCCGGTGAATGGTCACACCTTGCATTGGCGCGCTTTGCCCTCAGGCTGGCCCCAACGCTGCTGCCAACGGACCTGCTTATAACGAGGCAGCTGTTAACGAGTCCGGAGAGCCTGCCGCTGAGCATGGCACTGACGATTTGCGCGCGTGCGAGCATAAGCATGCACAGACGCGGGCGGATGGGGGGAATGAGCGCATGCAAGCGCATCAGCTTGTGGCGAGTACAGAGTGTACCTGTGGGCATGAGCTTGTGCGTGGCTGTAAGGTTGCTGCAGGGACGCAGAGTGTTGAAGGGGAGGGCGCACAAGGGGAGGGCGCAAAGGGGGGGAGCTGCGGTGGCTGTGGTGAGCAGGCGGATGTGTTGGCGGAGCTACTGGGGGGAGGCCTGGGGAAACTGAGCGCAGGGGAAGTGGGGGAGGCGGGGACGAAGAGAGAGCGGGAGATTGCTGGGAGGGGTGGAGAAGGGGACGGGAAGGGGGAAAGCGAGAAGGGGAGGGGCATGGGGAATGCGGTCAGTCTGGCTTGTGGGATTGGGGGAGGGGGTATTGTTCCAGGGGTTGGGGGCAAGGGTAATGTGGTTGGGAAGGATGAGGAGAGGCTAGGTGAGGATGGGAGAGGGGGAGGGATTTTCGCTGCTGTAGCAGCACCACTAGTTGCAGCAGCAGCAGCAGCTGTAGCAGTGAAACCAGCAGCGGCAGCAACAGCTGTGTCAGCAACAACAGCAGGAGCTGGGGCAGCAGCAGGTGCAGCAGCAGCAGGGTCAGAGCCTGTGGTGACAGCAGGAGTGGGAGAGGAAAGCATTGAAGGACTGTGGCATGGGTGGGACGGCGAGGGGCAGGGGGGCGGAGAAGGGAAGAGGAGCGAAGAAGGGAAGGGAGGGGGAGAGAAGAAAGGGGGCGCAGAGGGGAAGGGTGGCGGAGAAGGGAATGGAGGTGCAGAGGGGATGGGGGGCGGAGTGCACGAGAGGGTGGATAGTCCGAGGGGGGATGTGAAGAGGAGGGAGGTGCGGTGGAAGGGTAGGGGTGTGGGCGTGGGGGGGACGAGTTCTGTGAGTAGGGTGAGGGGCGGCGAGGCGAGTGAGGGGAGGAGTGTGGGCGTGAACTTGTATGAAAGGGCAACCGCAGCTGACTTTGTCAACAGGAAGCAGATCGGCTCTGGACGGTCAGTATGGGGGATCGGGGGAGCGGGGGGAGGGAGGAAGAAAGGGAGAGGGAGGGAGGGAGGGAGGAAATGGTGGGAGGGAGGAAATGGTGGAAGGGAGGACATGGGGAGAGGAAAAGAATGGGGGGAGGGAGATTAAGGCTCACTTCAACTCCCTTTGGAATTGGTCTTTAATTGTCTGGTCCGTACTACCCTTCTCACTCTCTTTCCTCCCAGTAATGCAGTGGTGTATGCAGCCTCGTGGTGCACTATAACGGGTCACAAAGGAGCCTGTAAAGGCGTACTTCCTATGTGTAGCGCTATGGTGTCTTGACTTGTTACTATTCTCAATCATTCTCCCTGTCCCTTCCCAGGAATGCAGTCGTGTATGCGGCCTCGTGCGCTATAACGGGTCGCAAGGTGGCTGTTAAGGCGTACGTCAAGTCAGCTCTAAGTGCCCTGGACCGGCACAGGATCAACCGAGAGGTGGCACTGCTAATGACTCTTAAGTAAGAGCTGCTAATGCTGCGGGTAGGTAAGTGAGAAAAGCTATGTGTTTTCTAATGATTTCTTCCTATTTAACTCCAATACACTCACTCACTGCGTGTTGCCTTCTGATCATCGCTCTTGACTGTAGGTTTCAGTAAACCCCACCTACTGTCCGCCCAGCTCCCCCACCAACCTCCATATCCCGCTTCCCCATCCTCCCCCCCTCTCCCATGCAGCCACTAGCACGTACTCCAGAGTCCGGGTCACTTCGAAAGACGGCCTCTGCATAGGCAGTGTGTAGGAGTGGGTGGGCTGTCTGAGAGCGACCACTTGTTGTAACAAGACCCTCCAACTAGTGGGCCGTCTCAATTCCCCATCCCTACTCGATTCATCCTATCCCTGCTTGCATGCAGTCACGAGCTTACAATTCAGGGGCTGGGCTGGGTTGCTTTGAGGATGCGCTGTGTGTGTACACACTACTATGGGCTGGGCGTCTCAATGCACAGTAGTGGATTGAGGGTTCTCAAAGCCCACCTACGACATCACTTCTCCCCACGTTTCGATCCAGTGCCCTATACCACTGCCCACGCCCCCGCATTCCTCTCCATACAGTCACGAGCGCATAATCCAGTGGCTGGGTCACTTTGAGGACCCCCAGTGCGTGTACATAGTGCAGGAGTGGGCGTGGAAGGGGGACCTGTGGCACCCCCTCCCTCCAACTCCACCCCCTCAAACCCCTCCCGCACGTCGCTCTACTGCTGCCCACTCCCCCCCATTCCCTCCCATTCCTCCAGTCACGAGCACATCATTCAGTGGCTGGGTCACTTCGAGGACGCACAATGCGTGTACATAGTGCAGGAGTGGGCGTCAGGGGGGGACCTGTTTGAAGAGCTGAGGGCGAGTGGGGGGCACATGGGAGAGGCGCGCATAGCCAAGCACATCCTGCTGCCGCTGATCGCAGCACTGCACCACATGCACACCAAAGGAGTGGTGCACCGGGATTTGAAGCCGGAGAATCTACTTTTGACATTCCACGGTACTCTCAAGGTGAGGAGCTGTGAACACGTGTCTCGAGGAGGTGATAAGACTCGAGCACATCCTGCTGCCGCTGCTGGCGGCTCTGCACCACATGCATTCTAAAGGAGTGGTGCACCGGGGTTTGAAACCGGAGAACCTGCTTCTCACTTTCCACGGCACTCTCAAGGTGAGGAGGTGAATGGGCGAGAGTGGGATTGTGCTAAATGACTGGCAAGGAATTCGGATGAGAACACTGGAGTGAATGCTCCCGGAGGTGCTGTGCATGTGGCACGATCACGCCTCTCCCTCCTGCAATCCTCCCTTCCCCCACTCTCCTTCCTGTTTACAGGTGTGTGACTTCGGCCTTGCAATCAATTTGAGGGAGGAGCGCCCTGCCAGCCGCCTGGGAACCCTTCAGTACATGGCGCCCGAGGTGGTGCGCACGGCACGAGGGGGTGTTTTTAATGTGAGGGATGGCGACCCCTTTCCCCGCCACACTCTCCCCGCATGTGCAGGTGTGCGACTTTGGTCTGGCTATCAATAAGAGGGAAGAACGCCCTGCCACCCGCCTGGGAACGCTGTAGTACATGGCGCCTGAGGTCGTTTGGTGCGCATGGCCCAACCGTTCCACTCCCCCCTGCTCTCCCCCTTTTCTTCACTCTCCTTCCTCTTTACAGGTGTGTGACTTCGGCCTTGCAATCAATATGAAGGAAGAGCGCCCTGCCAGCCGCCTGGGCACCCTTCAGTACATGGCACCCGAGGTGGTGCAGATGGCACGGGGGCAGCGTGGGCGAGGGGGGCAGGGGGGGAGGGGCAAGAGCGAGGAGAAGAGAGGGGAGATGGAAAAGCCGAGAGGGGCGGCAGCAGGCCATGGGCAGGTGGTGGGTGGCGCTGGTGGTGCGGTTACAGTTAGTGGTACGGAGGGTAAGCCTGGCGCTTCTCCAATGCTACAAGGGGCGTATGATGAGAAGGTGGATATCTGGTGAGTGACGCTCACTCATATTTGAATGATTTCACTCGTGGGCTGTCATGTCCTAGTTACCACATGCTTATTGCACTTGTGTTACCCCATCACCCAACAGGGCATGTGGAGTGCTGGTGTACGAGCTGGTGATGGGGCATCCTTATGTACCACGTGGTTATCATGTGCTTACCACGTTTTTCTTTCCCCCCATGATCCATCAGGGCATGTGGAGTGCTGGTGTACGAGCTGGTGATGGGCCATCCACCCTTTGAGGGCGCATCCGACATGCACACAGCCGCCAACATCATGCACCGGGAGCTCGTTCCTGATGCTCTGCCCCATGGGATGTCGCCTGCATGCAGAGACTTCATCTGCCGAGTGAGTAGAGTGTGTTTAGTCAGAAGGGTGAACGACTTCTTTGAGGGAGCATCCGACATGCACACATGCACAAACATCATCCACCGGGAGCTCCTTCCTGATGCGCTGCCACATGCCATGTCTCCCGCATGCGAGGATTTCAATTGCAAGGTGAATGAGATGCATCCACAGGGATGGTATCCTCGGTGCAGTCCCTTTTTCCATCCGACATGCACGCAGCCACCAACGTCATGCACAGGGACCTCGTGCCTGAAGGACTGCCCCTTGCAGTGCCATGCAGCAAGCTCTTTCGAAACTTTCTCCCCATTTTGCCGCCAGGTGCTTTGCAAAAAACCCCCTCTGATCGACCCTGGCCCTTTCCCCTCGGCCTTTTCAATCGTTCCCCCCCATGCGTCCGCATGTGCTGTGCAAGAACCCTGCCGATCGCCCCTCGCTGCTACAGATGCTCGACCATCCCTTCGTGTGGGGTCTACTGCCAGGGGCGGCCTCTGCTCAAGTTGACATTGGCTCTTACTTCTCCGTTCCCTCCCTTACGCCGCCAGGTGCTTTGCAAGAACCCTTCCGATCGTCCCTCGCTGCTTCAAATGCTCGACCACCCCTTTGTATCGGGGCATTGCCGGGGCCGGCCTCTTTTCAAGGAGGTAAGGCAGGCGGTTTTAGAGGAGCGGTGGCGGCAGGAGAGGGAGAGGGAGATGGGGGAGGAGCGGAGCAGAAGGGTGGAGGCGCAGAGGGAGGACGAGAGGAGGAGAGAGTGGTGGGAGGAGCAGCGGAGGGTGATGGTGCTGCGGAAGAAAGGAGGGGAGGGGGAGGAGATGGGCAGTAAGTCATTTGGGAGAGAGAATAAAGATGGGTTTGGTGAGGGTATGGGGGAGGTTGAGACAGTAACCAGTCCTGTGTGCATCAATCCTCCACCCATCAGTCCTCCATCCATCACTCCTTACCCCATCAGCCCATCAGCACGTCTCGGCATCTTTCCCCCCACTCGTTTTCCTCCCTCATCTCCCCTGCCTCCACCTCCCCTTTTAGCCTCCATCTCTTCTCCCTGTGCCTCTACACCCACGTCCTCGTTATTGTCACCTGCATCAGGATCACCACCAGCATCACCCCCTCGCACTCTGACGACCTCCCTGCCTAGCCCTACCATGTCCAATCAGCCAATGCCATCTGTCGAGCAATCAAAAAGCACTCCTGAGGGTTCTCCCCGGTCAATCCCTGTGTCGACTCCCATAGTCACATCTCTTACAGGAACAGACCAGCCAGTGAATCTCCTGCCCGGTGCCCAAGGGATAGCACAGAAGGCATGGATGTTTGCAGCTGGGGTAGGTGCGGGAGGACCCCGTGGGGGAGGAGCAGCTTCAGGAGAAAATTCAGGGGCTGTGGCAAACCGTTCTCTTGGCTGCATCCCTTCCAGGGCTGGAACTTGCCAGTGGGTAAGCAAGCATGATTGTATGGGTACAGTTCTGGTGGTCTTTAGCTGGTTCATTTCTTTCTGTAGGTCTTACATCTTAAAGTTTCACTGTGTAGATGAGACTTGTAAATGATTATACACATTTGCGCATAACATTTGCTCAAAACTAAGAGCATCAACCAGACCACACGACAAGGAATAACATGGCAGCAAAAACCTTCTTTGGCTCCGAAAAGTTGGACCATGCCTAGCAGGTCCAACGAGATATTTGCTTCAAGCCTAAAATATACCCCTGCCACGTTAGCTTCATTCACCAGGCCTCAATCCAGCCACGGCTTAGCGATAAGAGGGAAATCTTGAAGGTACAGGTAGCAGCTCCCAGGCAGCTGAGCTGACAGAATCTTCACATTAACCAGATTCTCTGGGTTATTTCCGGAGCTATCCACAGTGTGGAGTCGACAGTCGCTGCTCCAAGGCGCCATCGAAAAAGAATGGATTGGCGGAACGAATCTGCTTTGATAGATCCTTATCCTGCCATGATCCTCCTGGGCTTGAACAGTTGCTGCGGCGGTAGGGAAGGCGTCTTTAGGCACCAGGAGTTGGTGCTGTTGCTCGGGTACCGGAACGGAAAGTTGTTGCCTTCAAATAGATCAAGCAAGGCCAGCGTCTGCAAAAGAAGGAAAGTAAACAAACAAAGCAACCAGTTAGCGTCACAACGAGGATGAGAAAAGCACGAGACGACCACGCGAAAAGCATAAATCTCGTCAAGCAGCATCCGACGTGGCATACCTCGGGAACGGACAGCATGAGCCGGAACTTCGGGCCGTCGTAGTGATGCAGCACTGGTCGAAACTCGTCCTCCTCCAACGCTCTGCACGCCTTGCGAATCCGGATCCGAACCTGCGCGGGGAACCGCGACTCGCCTTTCACCTTCTTGTCCTCCCACGCGGTCGGATCGATGTTCGAGCCTCCGAAGCTCGCGGCTTCGAAAACCCCGTGTAGTTGATGCGTCGTGTAGTTGTACAGGAATAAGGGTAACCCGGGTTGGATGGACCGAACCGAGTCGCGGTATCTCTGTGGTAGGCCGAACAATTGGCGTTTCAGATCTTCCTGCATTGTGTCGTTGTTGCATACGAAGATGTACCCTCCTAAGATCTCGTGCCTTGGGAGAGACTCTGAGGGAGGTAGTGTTTTCTGCTTCTTTTCTGGAGATGACTGCGTGCCTGGTGACTGGTTCCCTTGTGACTGCCTCGCTGGCGACTGCATGATGCCTGGAGACTTCAGAACAGCTAGCGAAAACACTCCCGTTCCTGTCATCTCGATATCCCAGAAACCGCTAAACCTTGAAACTGATCGTATGGAAGTTTAACGGAAAACTGAGCTGGGTGAGAAGTGGGTTTGAGAACGCCTAGTAGATATGAAAGACTAGGCGAGGAGGGGTCGTAAGGCTGAAGCAAAGTGCAAGACTTGGCGGGAACGGATCTGGCTATTTGAGCTGTCTGCGGTGAGATCGGCTGGAAAGGGCAGACTGGATCTCGCCCACGGAAGCCTTGGCGGGGCAAGGTGAAACTGAAGCTTTGGCTTGGCGGCCTGGAGAAATGATGGTTGGGAGTTGGGGTGCGGCAGAGTTCACGCAGTGAAGCGAAGAAACAGATCGAGTGACGAAAAGTTCTCGAGGATACCGGAATTTATCTCCAAAGCGCGCCCGGGCGTGCGGGCTGAGGGGCAGACTGCGAAGCTGGAAACGCAACTTTGACACGCAAACTGTCCAACCAAAAACTTCGTAAAGGTTCCCGTGCAACTGGAGTCATGAATGGAGGTCCGTGAACATTCATTGATAGGGTGCTTACCCCCACTTGTCTCGGTTTGCAAGGAAATTATGCACTCCGACCTATATCAACGGTTCCACGCATTTTTCAGGGAACACTGTCCTTCAATGATGTACAGAGAGGAGTTTCCAGGCGATATTGGATTCCAGATTCCACAAAAACTACTAAATCTGCATCGTACCCAGAAGAAACACATACCCTTGTCCTGCGATTTGGTCCCACCGACAGCGAAAGCGCGGTGCAACTTCGAACACCACCACCAACCCCGTCCCATCCAGCTGCTCGAATGTTCGTTCGGTCCGGTCAGAGAAATTTGGGTATAGTAAAAGAGGAGATGAAGGGGGCCACCTTGATGAGGTCACCTTGGGGACCTCGGGCGGGCCGAGTGGGTCCGCCGCACCTGTTTCCTCCCGAATTTCTAGCAAGGTCCATTTCGGTCAGGTTTGGTGGAATCGCGGGTGCGTCCTTCAGAAACTTTGCTTCGTCATTCTGGTCCGGCCTGGCTCTCTGAATCCGTAGATCCCGCGAGGCGAGGAGGATCCAACCCTGGGGTCCAGCCAAAATCCGTTCAAGCCACCGTTTGCTGCCACGCACGATGTTCACTCTGCCACGCATACCCTGCAGGTTTGGGTGCGACGTCACCACCACCCTCGCATGATTGCGTGACGACGAAGTATACCTCTTAGGAATGGACCCGTTGTATGAAGCAAATCCTGACCTGGCAGGTGGGAGTGCGAAGTTGCTATCTGGAGTAACTTCTTGAGCTCAAGAAGCTAGTAAAAATGAGTCTATAATACGTTACGTCCTCTAAAAAAGTAGATACATCTTACTTGATAGGATCTGTTATTTGCACATCTTTAGCTACTTAATATGAAATGTTTGAATGTTCTTACGGTATCAGGTCCTATAATATTTCTGTAGGTGCAAACCTTTCATCCACTTTGTCCCAGTCTAGGTCCTTCACCTGGTATCCGATTGGGCGTGTAAGGAATTTCGCTAATTCCTTACTGAGGCATCTCTTACGCGTACAATTCCAACTTTCGGAATTCAGGCTCGGTCCGTCGACCTCGCCTCCCGAACGTCTCCCGCGTCGCCTTCGGGCTTCCCAACCCCAAACCTGCACCCAACCTTCGCGCGACTCCGCGACCTCGGCCTAGCTAGCTGTGCTATATTATGCCTAGGCCTCGTTGTTTGCTGAGTAGTTGTAATCACTTCCGCGATATTGCATTATGCGCACTCTTCTTTCATACAACTCATAACACTTGGTATCAGAGCTACTTTCCTAGGTTACCCTCCACTTTCCGGGGTAGTTTAGTGCAGGGGTGCGATAGGTTTGGTGGGCTGCAAAGCGGTCGGCTGAGAGATGTCAATATTAGCTATGAAGGAATGGTGTTGTTAGGTCAAGGTTGGGGTACAAGAAGAATGTCGAGAGAAATATTGTACCCCCTAGTGCTAACCCCCATACAGCCTAGATAGGCATAACATGCATATATGATTTGACACACCCCCATAGGCGAAATGGGGATAGCCAGAGCAAGCAAAGGTCACAAGACCAGTCAAGAGAAGAAACAAAACACAGCTCAGGGTGGATCACAAAGTCACCACACATTCTGAGCATAAGCAAGAGGCCACAAGGCCAGTTCACATGCAGAGATGTACATGCAGCAAAAGCACAGTGATCACTACCTAGCAAGAGCAAGCATGCAGGTATATATGTATAGATCACAGTACAAGCAGAGTCTACAGCAAGTGAGGTTACGTGGGCACAAGGCCTAACAAAGTGCAGAAACGCTGATGATCACCAGACGGAAGTGCCTTGGTGAATATATCAGCAGTGTTGGCCCGAGTGGCCACGTGAGCAAGACGAAGCTGACCACGCTGCTGCAACTCTCGAGCCAGGAAGTAACGCAGAGCGATGTGCTTCGTTCTGTGCTCCAGTCTGTGCTCCTCACACAAGGCAATGGCGGCCTTGTTGTCTACGTACAGCACTGGAGGAGAACGAGGCCGCTCTCCCAAGTCGGTCAGCAGGTAGGTGAGCCAGCGTAACTCCTGTGCAGCCATGGCTGTGGCGTAGATCTCAGCCTCACAACTGGAGCTGAGAACAGAAGACGAGCGTGTAGAACGCCAAGAAACTGAACCAGCGCCAAGGCTGAAGGTATAACCCTGTGACGACCGCTGCGTAGCCTGGTCGTCAACCCAAGAAGCGTCTGAGTGCCCAGTGAGGACAACTGCGCTCCGCCCTCCAAGCACGAGCCCCATGCCCGATGTACTGCACAAGTAGCGCAGTACCCTCTTCGCAGCATCCATGTGCACCTTTCGGTGCTGACCAGGAGCCACGTAGCGAGCCAGAAGGCCAAGAGGGTACGCAAGGTCAGGTCGAGTGCAGGTCATCAGGTACATGAGGCAGCCCACTAGCTCTGGATACGGGCCACTCGGCTCTACGGACTCGTCCGAAGGTGGAGCTGAGAGCGAGTGGCCTGTAGCCAGAGGAGTGTGCTGTGGCGAGGACCAGGTGAAGCCGAAGCGCTGAAGAACCTGCTGCACCAGGGGCGGCTGCTTCAGGGCGGCGGCTGCTCGGGGTCCAGGGGCGGCTGCTTTAGGGGCCGGGGGCGGCTGCTCTGGGTCCAGGGGCGGCTGCACCAGGGGCGGCTGCTACAGGGGCCAGGGGCGGCTGCTCTGGGTCCAGGGGCGGCTGCACCAGGGGCGGCTGCTGCAGGGGCCAGGGGCGGCTACTCTGGGTCCAGGGGAGGCTGCTCGAGGGTCCAGGGGCGGCTGCACCAGGGACGGCTGCTTCAGGGGCCAGGGGCGGCTGCTCTGGGTCCAGGGGCGGCTGCACCAGGGGCGGCTGCTTCAGGGGCCAGGGGCGGCTGCTCGGGGTCCAGGGGCGGCTGCACCAGG